CGTGGAGGACTTCAGGCCCGATCGGTGGAGTCGCCCTAATTTAGTCCCAAACCAGATTCCAAATACTGAAGATACACTCACTCGCCGATCAAGGCAGAGACTATTCTACCGATTATGTTAGTTCTGACCATAATGCCTTGTTCTCAGACGAGCTACTCCTTAGTGTCGTAGACTATACATACTTCAACAATTCGGGGTAAAATCGTCCTTGTGTATTGCAATACACATTGGACAGGTCCACATCTCAGATCGACACTCTCTTGCCGCCCCTATCTTCCTCGGGTCTTTCTCTCTTTTTTTTTTTTTTATTAACTTGTGCTTGTGTTTGCGCTCTCATCTCTCCTTTTTTTTTTCTGTCCGCATTCATGCATTGTTCTGCGAGGGGGTCCGAAGTTGAGAACTTCTTCCCCAGCTTCTAGACGTAATCTCCCTGCCGTCATCCCTTACGTCAAAGTTATGGACCCTCGGCAGTCATTACCAGATGTGTTGATACCGGTACGAAGCCTAGTAATAAAACGTCCAAAGTTTATTCTGATCTCTCAGATATTTCATGGCCTTGCATCTTGGCTCCGTGGTGTCAGCTCGTTTCGCCCTGCAAGTCAACCCGGAAGACACACAAGGTTGGTCCTCGTAGATATTATGCTGGTATACGCAGGAGGGTAGACCCGTCAGCCATATTGGTGTCAACTTGGGCCCACAGGGTCAAGACATGAACTGGATTTTCCGGAACGGAAGAGACGGGACTGCCGTCTCATTGCTGTGATTTCCACATGGCGAAGCATCATTTCCTTTTCAAGTTCCTCGGTTTGGAATAGGATGATCCACAATGGTAAAAGCCTTAAAAGTGCTGAGTGACTCAGGAGACAAGCTGAACCCTCCCCTCCCACCCGAATAAAAGCGAGGGTCTCTTCCCTCTTGGTACTTGCACATTGGCAGGAATGTGTAAATCCACTCAACTAGCACGTATAGATCTTTGAGACAGTGGATGCGCCGATCGAGCAATAGCCATCACCCATCAGCGCTGTGTGTTTGTTTGAGAGCTGGGATTTGGGGGCTAGCGCCCCAGTTTGACAGTAGTTCGCCCCCCAAGGTACATTAGTCCTCGCTCGGATGGAGAATTAAAAAAGCAATGTGTGAAAGCACATCAATGATGGACCCACCGACAGCTGCGGCGAAATCTTGTCAATCTTCCCATTAGGGCGAAATTAGGAGGACTGACTCGACTGATGCGGCCAACCATCTTCTTCGATGTCCCCAGCGCAATTCGAGCTTGACGTATCCAATTCGAAAATCGACACTGATCTTCGCATTCCGGAGAAGGGGGGTGTGGGTAAATGCACTGTCAAACTCGCTACTATCCTTGCTCTCTCGCCCTCCTTCTTGTTCCACCGGTCATAATAGCCCTTGAGAGACCCCTTGGGTGACTGGAACCGTGGTATTGACTATCATTGGATTGGCCGAAGCATTCTTCATAATTCTTTTCTTTTTTTTTCTTTGCTTGCTCAGGGCTCTCATGTCTTGGTTGTCTATCATTCACGGCGACCGTGTATATAGACTGTCCCCCCACCCAAGGGGCCTAGACGTTTGAGTCCCCCGTATTCTACCCTAGACATTCCTCGCACCTCTTCGACCACAATTCATCCCTTATCCAGGGATCACTGTCGGGTTATATAACTATTTTGTGACTTTGAATACGGCATCAATGGCGGAGCCCACGGCTTTTGGACCGGCGCCCATTCCCAGGCATTTTGTCCTGTGTTTTGACGGTACCGGGAATAAATTCCAGGGAGATGAAAGCGACAGTAATGTCCTAAAGATTTTCCGAGTAAGTCAATTCCTAGATAAAAGTGATTCCCACAGAAAGATGGGAGGGGAAAGACACGTATCGTGGCGTCCATACAAGCAGACTTGCTGATGGAAGTGGTTTTTCGTAATCAACAGATGCTAGACCGTAGCCAAAGTCATCAATTCCACTACTATCAACCAGGAATTGGAACCTACGTGACTACCAATAATCTCTCCAGCACTGGCCGATTCCAACGGGTCAAGTCCGCTTATATGAAGGCCAAGGACTCCGCCGTCGGATCCTCTTTCGACCAACATGTTATGGGAGGGTACAAGTTCCTCATGCGATACTATCAGCCAGGCGACGAGATATATTTTATTGGTTTCAGCCGAGGCGCCTACATTGCACGCTTCCTCGCTGAAATGCTCGATTATATTGGTCTTCTGGAAGCGGGCAATGAGGAACTGACTCGGTTCGCATGGAAGACGTTTGCCAAGTGGCAGCAACGTCGCGACGACACCGAGGAAGATCACGACGAGAAGCGGAAACTGTTCAAATACATGAAGGCTTTCCGCGAAACGTTCAGTCGGCCGATTACGAGGATCAAATTCATGGGTCTGTTTGACACGGTCAACAGCGTGCCAAGGTTTGAGTCGGCCTGGATGCAGAGAAGCAAGTTTCCGTACACCGCTCGCAGTTCAGCCAAGGTCATCCGACACGCGGTGGGCATTGACGAGCGGCGGGCAAAGTTCCGGCAGGACCTTATCTCGGAAGTGAAGCCCTGTATGAACAAAAAACGACATCATCATAATTGGAGACGTCATTATCTGCACCCACTTCGCCGTGGCTCAGAAAAGCCCGACAATGTGCCCGCGATTGTGGTCGACGACGCGCAGGCCCCGGAGGATGGAAATCACGGACCGGCATGCGTAGAAAAGGAGGAGACGCCTTCGCTCTATCGAAGCGGACATTGCTCCCACGAAAATAACAAGGCTCGCCAAATCAGCCTCGCCGTCCCGATGATGACGGGCTCCACGGAGGATCTGACTTCGATCCGAAGCGGGCACTCGGGACTCTCTCTGCAGATTCCCGGCGACGGACGGCAAGGCGACGATGATGAGGCAGGCCCTCAGGACATTCAAGAAGTGTGGTTTCCTGGCGCCCACGCGGATATCGGTGGAGGTTGGAAGTTGGAAGAAGGCGAAGAATGGCCTCTCAGCCACGCTCCCTTAGTTTGGATGGTCCAGGAGGCCCAAAAGGCCGGTCTCCAGCTCGACCCCCTCAAGGTCAAGCAATTTGAATGTTCCGAGGAATTCGACGGTGACTATTCGCCCATTCGAGGGAACATCCAGTGGAATCGAAACGAATTAGGCTCTGAGGAGGAGTACGGCCCTAACCCCAGAGGCCATGAAAACGGATATCCCACATTCAAGCTCACCGATACGGGCGCAAAACAGCGGTCCAAGGCGAGCACTAACTTTCTAGATGCCCTCCATGGTTCCAGCACAAGCGGCACTTTGCACGATTGTCTGTCCTTCGGCAATGGTCTGCCGGCGCTCTCGGTGGTCACCTGGCGGATCATGGAATACCTCCCCTTCCGGCGCATGGACCTTCAAGAAGATGGATCCTGGAAGCCGATTTCATGGCCCTTGCCCTGTGGGGAAGTCCGCGATATCCCCAAAGAGGCGCAGATCCATGTGTCCGCCATTCGCCGGATGATGGCGAACGAGGGTTACCGCCCTGGCAATCTCATCATTGGCGGAGGTGGGCGTGGAGTCAAGCTCGCTCCCGAGAAGTACGGAATCGGCGAGTGGGTGGTCAAGGACCACCACGGAGATCCGGTGCGAGAGATCTATGAGCGAAAATGCGTGTCGAAAATGTGCCAAGAAGGCAACCATTAGAGCCCATTCCACCTGAGATCCCGTTCTGATGCGTCTATTTGACACATACAGATCTTGAATCTCTCTTCAATCTCACTATTCTTTCAACCATTTCTCCTTTGTCTGCGCAGTCCTCTGATATCGATGTTTTTCCCGCGTCGTGGTCATCTTACCGAGTATCTAATGTTTCGTCGTGTCCAAGGACGCCATCGGCCTTCCCCTGGCCGCTGTATATAGTACCTACTAGTAGTAATGTGAATGTGTTCCGGTCTGATAAGGCCGTTCTTCCGTCTTGCTTATACTCGGCCCTCTCAATGTGACTCCCACCGAGGCATGTGATTTAATTCAACGAATCAAATCCGTTACCAATGAGAGTTAGTTGGAACTAGTTGCAATAGCCTGGGTTGTATGTCTGTGGTTGATGGAAGATTCACGCCAACCCCTTATAGCCGAGGTCGCAGGGAGTGGATCCCTTGTCGCTTCCTTACTCCGTCGCAACTCGCATTCAACAGCATCTGCTGACAAGATACACCAGGGTCCAGAGTGGCATAGCAGATGGTGAATAGGAACCACCCATGTGGCAAAAGTACCTGGTGGGTTCACGCCGCCATCTGTCCAGTCAATTCGTGCAGGACGTACATTAGTCCCGGTCGGATCTGGAATCTCGAAATGTCTGGATCGGGCCAGAACCAGGAACTGTCTTCGTGCACTATCAACGACTCCGGACTCTCGATTTTATTCCCGCATTGCACCACGTTTCTGACCGTTGGTTCAATGATCTGGAAGGACGAGACCACATGCAGTCAACGACATCGAACCCAGCTACCTAATTAACTAGAAAGGGATTAGTAGCCAACAGTGCGGACACAAATTAGTTAAGAATAGTCTGAACCAACTAGTGAATTGGAGGATGATCTAAAAGCATGGATCGATGAGGTTACTCCATGGTAGTTGACTGGAGCAATAAGATTTGCGGGCAAATTCAAAAGGAGCGGATGACCCTTACTGCCGGGAAGCGTGACTGTGACTCGTTTTGGCTGGTTTGGGAAATCCCCTTGGCCTGAGGTCACCACTTTTCCTCTCTCTTTCCCTTTCCGCCCTCGATCAACCAACACCGGCCCCCTTCTTTCGCAACCCCCTCCTCTCCATAACCGCTTCTTTCCACAACCCACCCCTTTCTCCTATATTCAGATCTCCTTAAAATCCCACGACCCGAGATAATCCCTCTTAGTCGCCGACGGTTCGGTTCTAGTCCCAACGAACCATATCAAACACCCGTGGAATCGTCGAGTTCTCTCACCAAAAAGCGAAGGTTTCCCTCGACCTTGTCTTCAAGTCCCCACATCAACACCAGGGTAGGGACGCTGCGCGCCGTGGGTCGGCTATTGAACTTTTAGATGGACTGTGTCCATTAGGTTCTCGGAATGAGGTCGATTGAGTGAAGAATATGGAAATGTTCAATCCTCCGCCAGAGCGCATCATGCTTCCTCCTAGTCCCACCGATTCGATCGAATCAGTGTCCTCCGTGGCATCCGACCCTCCCGTCGAAAAGGCTGGAGATACTACCGACCGCCCAGAGGACGTCATGATCACCTTGTCTCTCAGCCCGAACCGGCCAGCCAACCCCCCGAGTCGGTTGCCCTTCACACGCGCTCATTTTCGGTCGCGATCCTTGGCTGGGGTCCCCAGCGTACCGCCGATGACCCGGGCGCATTCGTCCCCCGGCCTGGACTCGCGGGGGAGATATATTTTCGTCACGGGTCGCGGAGCTTCAGAGAATGCGCTTGATTCTCCGGCAAAGCGTCACTTTCCCTTGCAAGCCACACCCGAGGAGTATCCTTATCACGAGGCGAGGACGACCCCTCTGAACATTTCCGAGACAATCTCGGAGCACGCTGAACTCGACATCACCATGAGTGGGAATCCGACGCCAGGTGAATCGCCCACCACCACCCCTTTGCCCCGTCTGGGTCGTCGTCGCCCATCATCCCCTCTACATTTCTATCCGTCAGCTAGCCAGTTTTCGGGCAGTCCGTCGTCCGGGTATCCTCCCTCAATCATACTCAACTCAAGATACAACGAGAGCTTTCCAGGGTATTCAACGTCGTCGGCCTCCTCCATGCCCTCGACCCCCACCAGCCTCCGCTCGCGTAGCCCTAGTATATCATCGTTGGAAACCATCCCGGATATTCCCGATGCGGAGGCAGAGGCGGACGAAGCAGATCAGATCGCAGCCTTGAAATTGGCAGCGGACACGGAAGATGAAGCTGATGCGACGGGCAACGGAAACAGAAGGCGTGGGACTTCTGATCTATCGGGCCCTTCAAACTCCTTCTCGGGCCTACGGGCCGGGTCAGGAGGCTACGGTGTGAGGGGTGATAAGAGGAAGCGTTGGAGTGTCTGCGGGGCCGAACGTCGTCAGGACCTTGATCTAGAAACTATTTGGGAAGACTGAAATGGGCGGTTCCAAATGAACATCTCAATGCCCTGTCACCCCATTGGGACCGACAAAACCACGGTCTCTACAACGTCTGCGCTGGATTGTTTCAATATTCGTCCTCAAGCTCAAGCTCGGTGTCGGCTTCACCCTTGTCAGCTGATGTCGAGCAATGACTCTGTTTTCGCGCGTATACGTGAAAGTTAACCGCTGTCTCTCGGCTCTGTACTCTGCCTTCGGGCTGTACTGTACCGCCCTTGGCTTGTTCTACGCAAGCGACCTACACGGCCTGTCTATGTGTCCTGCATAGCTTCTGAATGGGCAACCTCCGCACAGAGCCATCTCCTTCATACAAACACCTTGATTTCCATCGCGTTGCGTCGAGGGTCGCGCAGGCTCGTCGATACCCTCGGTACCTCCTTGATCAGTTTTAATTGTTTTGCTTTTCTTGAATTGCACCAGGAAGGCGCCAGCTATCTGCTTCTGTTTGTTATTCTTTTTCCTAATGTCTTATCATTTGCAAGTATGTCAACTTCTGTGATTCCCCAGTTGGACTTTTTTTTTTTTATACCTTTTGTTGGAATTGTGCGTCAAGTTGGGTGCCTTGTATTTTTGCATGACTACGGTGCAGGTTTGATTGATTTGATTGGGTTTATAATTTTATTTGTTATTTATTTTTTGTTCCCTGTTGATTCTCCAGTTGTAAATAGCTAGCTGGTAGCGTGTGGTTGAGTGTATTTTCTATAGTCTTATAAATGCTTATCAAATCAGGGATTTTTTCCTTATTTTTCCTTTTTACTTTGGGAGGGTTTCGTAGACATTGATCTATATATCTTTCAACCTTAAAGGATAGATTTATGCTTATCCCGTTGTTTGCGTTGTGTTTCCAGACACATCCCTTTGCAGTATACAGTGTCACTCACACATCATATATATCACAAAATATCAACCACGAGGTTACGAGAAGAAAAAAAACTCAAAAAAAAAAAAAAAAAAAAAACCTCCAGGAACCTATCTTAAATGGCAACTAAAACCAAGCACCACTCAATTAACACCAGAAACAACATCATCATCAACAAGACTCCCCTTATCCCCTCCAGCCGACGGCAAAGAATCATCCCTCAGCACACCCAAACCAAGTCTCCCAAGCCCATAAACCTCACAAACCTGGCCCGCAGCGCGCTCTCCACTCCAGTAAGCGCCCGTCGTCGTCCCAACCGCCACGAACGGCGCGGTATGCTCGCCCGCGAACCACACGCCTCTGTCTGCGCCGAGCCCGGCGCGCAGAACCTCGATGTCGCGGTCGCCTTGCTGCAGGCCGATTTGGAAGTTGCAGTAGGAGCCGTTTCCGGCGTAGGGGTCGTTCTGCCACTGGGTGGCGATGAAGGCGAGGGGTTTGCAGGATGGGGAGGAGGCGGTGTAGTTTGGGAGGCGGGAGTAGAAGGGGTGGAGGAAGGTGTCGAGGATGGTGTGGTATTCTGGGGAGGTGGGGGGTAGGTTGGCGAGGTTGGAGACGATGTGTGTTGCGCAGGGTCCATAGGTGTAGAAGAGGAGGGTTGGGTGGGCGCAGTGCGGTGGGAGTGCTGCGAGGGAGACGCACTCTTGGTTCCAGGTTATGGATTCGGGGCGTGCGGTGTAGTTGGGGTCGAGGAATTGGACGAAGGTGGCGTTGGTGGTGGGATTGTTGCTGTTGGTGGTGACCGATGTGTTGCTTGTGTGCCAGAAGGCTGTTGGGAAGGTGACGTAGACTTTCTCGAGTCGGCCGTAGGAGATACTGTCGATAGCTTGGGTGAGACGTGGAGGCAGCTCTGGGGTGAAAGCGGATTTGTTACGCTTGAGCCAGCCCAATGGGGTGGTCACTACCACTTCATCGAATCGAGCTGTCTCTCCTGCTGCGGTGGTTAGCCATACATTGCGCGAGGAACCAGTCTCGTGTGCGCGAGGCTTTGACTCGATTTTCACGACTGGCTGGTTCAGACGGAGGTCCGCGTGCTGGAGAGCGGCCCTGGAAACGTGCTCCAGGATTGCTTTGTAGGTGGATGCCACGAATGAATTGCCTGGGAGTGTCAGTATTTGTATACAAGGAAAAGGGTGCAGGCTTATACATACTTCCGTCGATACATTCTTCCAGACAGAAGAACTTCAAGCTCTGTCGATCGACACCGTCACCTACATACACACCCCACATTCTGCTAGTCTCGATGAACAGGTGCTTTTCCTCCGGGGTGAAGTCTGAACCGTCGACTCGTTCTCGGAAGAAGTCGAGCAGGCTCCTATCCGGGGAGATCGTGTCTTTGTGGGCGTTACTATACTCAAAAGCTTCCTCGATGGAGGCCCACAAAAACTCTGATATCTTGTTGGCAACAGCCCGACTAACTGGCTTCCCGTCTGCGGCGATGAGAAGCAGCTCCTCTTCAAAATCGGTAGTAGTGGTGTTGGTAGTTTCTGCAAGAGTGGCCATCGGGTTGGTTCCAGTGCCATGGATCCAGTTGGGACCACTTCAAGATGTCAGTGTGTCCTGAAAAACGGACATATGTAATGTGTACAGCTCGGGGAACAGAAGCATACAGGTCAATAGTGTGATTGTGGATCTGCGTTTGATGAACCTACATGGCATCAGCAGCGACTTCTCAAGAAAAAACGTAGTTAGATCAACCCACCCTTCCTCCGACTCTATCTCGTGCCTCGAAGACGGTCACTCTGGCTCCATTCTGGACGAGAATGTCGGCGCATCTGAGACCCGCAAACCCAGCCCCTATGACTGCCACGTGGGGACTAATGCTACCCATTGCGCGAAGCATTTCAAGAAAGAGCAGAATTCGGTAGTTATAGAGCAAAAAATATCACTGAACAAAAGACTGTATAGGTAAATGATATCCCAAAATTGCCTGTTAAATAGTTAGCTTTCAGGTACAGAGAGTCCTGTCATTATAACATATGAATGACGTGCAATTTTTTTCTCCTTTTTTATTGCCAATGGCAGGCACGACTCTAAATTGCAAAGCCATGGTAAGAATAAAACCACTTACAAGCATGGAAGTATATTTATTTGCCGTCACTGGCGACCAAAGAGACCAAAGACATCTATACATTTACCAGTAGTTAGTGGAGGATGGAAGTGGAGGGATACATACCACCAGTGTACTACTGTATAGGCATCCACTCCAGTATTATTCATCGCCTGTCGCCCCTCCACCGGCCCACGTGCATGGCCGCTCCTCCCTCCGTCATCAATTCAACCATGTCCCTGTGGACTTCTTCTGACTGACAGTTAATCTACATGGCTTAACTATATTCTAGAAATTCATACTCGATGGGGGTATTTTGTACGCTGGAATGACCGAATATGGCTTGATTTGCTGTATTAACCCGGAGTCTTCCAGGGTGTCTAGGTATGTATGCCACTAGTTCTCTCTAGACATAGGTTTTATCATCAACATGATAGCCAGCACAAGGGCATGTGGGATCCATGTATACATCGATACACACAAGAGCTCGACCGGCTGGTAAGAAACAGAAAAGTTGAATCATCGTAAGATGAGCATCACTCACATGTCATACACGCAACACCGCTTGCTTGCTTGCGTGCGAATTTCCAACAAAGTTACAAAAGAAAGGGATATGAGACAAAAGAAACCAACGAACATAGGAAATGCACCATCTTGGAGAGGATCTCGGGAGGCTTCGTATCTCATCGCCATGCGCCTTGGCTCAGCGATAACAGCCCTTGGATGCAATCGAGGTCTTCGTCCTGGCTCGCGCTGCCCCCGCCAGCCATGAAGGCAGATACGTCGGGGTCCACTCCAGGGACGTCCTTCCCCTGGTTGGTGTTCAGCCTGCGCTGGGATGCTTGGGAAAGACGAGAGCGTTTCCCTGACGTCAAGCTTTTGTTAAATTTGTTCTCCCGCCCGTTCGCTTCCCGGAGGGCCGGGCGTTGGGTCTGTTTGTTCGAACCCTGCCGACGGATATGAGACATCCGGGTTCCAGGAACCCAGTTTTCCTTGTCGGAGTCGCCATGAAGTTCCAGGTCTTCATCGTCTTTCGAGATCTTTCCAAGGATCTTTGAGGCTCTCACTGAATAGGGTGTAGAATTCTCGTGCAGCTGGTTTCGACCAGTTTCTAATCGACCCAGAGATGAAACGGTGCGCGAGATCTTCCGCCGCTTCTCCCTTGCCTCCTGCGGAACTGGGGTATTGAGGTATTCCGAAGCGTATGTGTTGCTCTGTCTCCCTGAGAAGCTTCGGGTCAATGAACGCTGGCTCCCGGACCGGAACAGACCGGGCGAGCCAGCATTCGGCGTACTCTGAGAACCAGATGGGGTCGACAGGGCGCTTCGTGCATCCGTATCGACGAATGATTCCCAGTTCCGGGGGTCCCGCGATCTGCCAAAGGGCCGCTCTTTCTCCGGAGCCGATCGGGGCGTCCCTAGGACCACGGCACTGTTGCTCCTTCGGAGCCCTGCAAAACGAGGCTTCCGCGACGAGAACATCGAAATGCGGTTCTTCGATGGGGACGGCTCGCCATCCGCTCGAATCACGGCCTTTCCGTCAGAAGACATAGCGATGCGGAGCGCATTTCGCCCTTTAGGAGGTGACGGCGTCAATTCCCCTTCCTTCCGCACCATGGCCTCTCCATCGAATGACATGGATATCCGCAATGATGGAGGCGACTTCACATGCTGTGCCCCATCCGGTGTTGACATGACTGGTCCTGATAGCATCTCTTCCCGAAGGTTTGTGACAGACCGTTTCCGCTTCGCAGAAAGCGGCTGTAGTTCATTTTGCTGCAAGCTGTCTTGCGACTGCGATTCTTCCGGCATTGGCGCAGCTTCACCGGTGATTTGTTTGGAATCTCCATGTATCTCTGTTGTTGCCACCAGACTTGTTTGGGAGCTCAATAGCGGCTGTTCTCCCTCGTCCCTATCCCCGTGCGGTCCATCTGACCCTAAAGAGCCATTGTCCGAGCACTGGGTCCCTAGATTAAGGTCGACATTGGAGTCATCGTTTTGCTCGTTCCCGCTCGATGACCCGGGATCCGACGGCCCATTGTCATCACTAGAAGTCTGCTTTAACGCGTCCGCACCAACCCGCGGGGCAAGTAGTTCGTGGGGCTGCAGAGGTTTGGACTTCCGACGGTCATTCTGGCGGCGGTTCTGGAACCAGATCTGAAGAGTAGGAGAGAGAAAATAGGTCAGGAGACGCGTCATTTATAGATTGCCGGTTTGTCCTCGAAATACGCACTTGGACTTCCTTTTCCCCCAACGAAACACGACTGACGATATTGGCACGAGCCGTCTTATCTGGCTTTGGATTGCGTTGATACTCGGCCTCGAGAACGGCGTGGTCTTCCGGGCTATATATAACAAAACACGCGTGGGTGAGCGATCTATAGCGGGATCGGCGGGGACAGCATCAACTTTGGAACCTACCTTGTCCGACGACGTTTCTGCCGTGCCAGCAATTTGTTGTCCACCCGCGGCGGGAGATTCTGGGTGAGGGTTTTTTGGGAGTGCACCAAAAAGGCGTAGTTGAGGGCAGCCGCGGATTCGGATGTTTGCGTGGACGACGGGGGAGACGAGGAGAAGGTCGTCACAGAGGGCTCCGGATCAGACATGGCGGGTTTCGGGGAGTATCAGGCCCGAAACATGGAGGGACTTGGAGGGGAAGGGGAAGAGGGCGTGAGTTAGGAGGAGAATTGTAGAAAATGGGACATTGGGAGGGAAGTTCGATCGGAGTTCAATTCTTGGGGAGAGAGTAATATTTTTTTTTCCCTTCTCAGACAACGGGTGAGGAAAAAGAAGCGCTTCATCTAATCGCGTCGCGATGTGGACGCGGACGACGTGCAGGCGTTGTACTAAACACTACTAAGACCCGCTCGGTGTGGTTCGGCCGATCTAGTCCGTCCCGGCACGAGCTGCCCCGACTGACACTTTTCTCCTCCTATTCTTTACATTACATTATTGTCATTATGATATCTTTCCAATTTCCATTCATTTCTTGAATTTGGGTTTGATATACTGTTCTCTGGTAAAATGTATTGAATTCTTACTTACCCAGGTGGATGGCGGACTTAGAGCTCGCGTTGGTGGGGTCCGACGCTGCGAGTGCTGTACACTGTACAGTAGTAACAGTACTAAAACTGCCCGCCGACGCGCTCGACACGTACTCACGTGATACATACATATCCCCGCCTCAAGACAGTCCGCTCATGTTGACTGCTGACGATACCTGTAATACACAATTATCTGATGATTATCATTGGTTTTCTTCAACTTCTTCTTCTGACTGGCTCATGTGGCTAGGGATGTTTCATGAAATGCAGTCCAGATGACGAAAATTGCCCCTCTAGTGACAAGCATTCTATCATACCTATGATATCGAAAAGGCTTACTAGTGTTGGAACTATCCCAAGGTCTAGTTATGATCTCGAAAGTATTGTCTGCCTCTGCAATGAGTGTGTCACTAGGTCGTTGATATGGTATCCTGTTTTTTAAACTCTAGGTGTTGGAGATCAATTGGAGAACCGCATGGGTACTCACCTGGAAGAAACATGTCTCTAGAAATATATTGGACGTGACGCCGATCATGGAATGCTACGCCAGCATTTGGATTTTGGTCATTATCACCACGTGATACATAGACCTGAGCAAGATGTTAGCTCTACCAAATTATGCTGGTCATCGCTGCCTGCAGTGACGGCATAATGGCCAGACTGATAGAGATTGAACCGGTCAGCTTGGAGGCTGTTGTATATCAGGACTACCGCAACACACTAACTACCGCGCTCGAGAAGGCTAATGAATACCCCTTCTGGCACTAAATGTGAACATTTGGAGGCCCTAGTCCAAAGTACACGGCAGGGAAAGGATCCAAGAAAACCACCTACAGTTTTTGGACATTGGATTCGAACTTGCTATCTTGATGACACCTTGACCTATATGGCTGCTTATCAGTGTTTCTAAGTAGAGGGTTTTTACGGCAGTCTTGAAGCTTGAGTACTGTTGATACTTGGGTAACTGTCGCCATTCAAAACGAAACGCCTGTTCCCCTGGAATTTTGATCATCCCATCCTCACCCTGATACGGAAAAACGTGCGTCGGCTTGAGTTCCAAAGACTCTAAGAGCATTGACAAACGAGAACTGCTAAAGATTGACCCGGGCCCGGAGTCGCGGCGAATGAGAATGCATTGCTCCTTCTATACTCCGCAGGTGATGATGAAGTGGATTCTCGTAACTCTGGCACGCTAGGATGCCGGACCCAGGACAGATGAAACTACTCTTGCCGGGCCATCGAGCGACTCTGTGGCTGAGCAGTAGTTATCAGATCGCTTATCACCATTGTATAAGCCGACTCGGGCGAGATTACAGCCCTACAGTACTATGGAACATGGCCGAATACCGATATCGGTTTGAAGAAAAGTAACTTCAATCAAGGCCATCTCGCTTGGGTCATTACCCACCTTGTCTACCTAGTATGTACTGACTTAGCTGGTACTTGGCAGTGCCTATTACTTATCTAGTTTGAGGATGATCTCAGGTACTTTTGCGGCAGTCCGACACCTTGTCCACTGTCGCCCCGTCTAGACTCACTCTATATGTAATTCTATAGCGAAGTTGCGTCTCCACACTCCACAGGAGCCCACAGGCGGACGTCCGCGGGACTCGCCAGGACGTTAAATCCTACTACTGCTGCTGCTCAGGTACTCAAACTGTCTAGGTCGTTTTCTGGTTCTGTCCCGTCAATTGGTCCTTGATGGTCGAATCCTATCGGCGTGGTACTAAACCCCGCTTCTTGCCAGAATGTAGACTAGCGCCTGTCAAGAGATGCAGTATATCGCTCAATTTTAAGGGGTATCATCCAAAATAGCCAGCCCTAAGCAAACAACGTCTGACTATCACCCCCCTCAGTAAATTGATCTAGACATCATTGGTCTTTTACATGTGACTACGTTCTTTCCACCATCCTGTGGCAAATTGCTTCCTCTGTTGATCTTCAACCCCACCCCTCCCTTTCTAGATACTAACGTGGTCTATCATGATCAGATGGAGTGAGACTCGGGGTTAACACGGTACATTAGGATCGGTGCCCTCGCAGGGGTCGCAGGAATCCATTCGGTGGCCGGGCCCGTTGGACCGGACTAGTACGGCCTTGGAAGACTCGAAGAAGGCCGTGGATAAATGCAAAGGCAAAATCCGGTTGGTCGCTGAGAGGAAGGGGATCGGCTAACGGAGAAATCGCTTTGACCCCTGTACAATTCCACCAATACCGCACTACGGAGGCGCAGCCTTGGAGTATCCGGCTCGATGAATAGGATCGCGGCATTGTATAGTGTCATATACCCTAGTTCGGTTTTCCATCGCCTAGGCGGGACTAAGAAGAACCAAAGAATAATTCGATGACTATTAGCGGCGGGTCGGCCACTCGACCCCGGATTTTCACCAGATTCTACCGTCCTCTCCGTTGGCCCCGTCGCCCGTTTCCATCGGCCATTTCTATTCTCCCAATCAGTTGGTCGGCTCGCTTCGTCTCGACTGGGGTGTCAGTAACGGCCCTGTTTCTAGTCCCAAAGGGCGAAAAGAGATTTGGAGGGGTCGTGGCACATTCTCATCTGTCCCCATATGGTATATAGAGGGGGGGTGGCATCCTGCCCCCCTGATGTCTCAATACGTTTGGAACACACCATAATTCTCCCTCTGCCGGCCTTGTTCCCTTCCGAGCCGTCTGCCGTGAAAACACATTGGATGATTTACTGCCCTGCCAAGACAACCTTACTTCCATACCAGTCAGGATGGGCAGGTTTTTCACAGTCTCGTTGGCCGCATTCGCGGCCACAGGGTCGTTCCTGTTCGGATATGACAGTGGTGTCATGACCGATGTGATCGACTCGAAGAACTTTCTCAATTTCTTCAATACCACCAAGACATCGAACATCATCGGTGCCATCAACAGCACCTTTTCCGGAGGAGGTACGCTGTTCTGCTGTCCCCCTTCTAGAGCCCTCCATCGCTGACATGTATGGAATACAGCGGCCATTGGCGCCCTCCAGGGAGGACTGACGATGGACCGGTACGGGCGTAAATTCACCATCCAGATGGGTGCCGTGATATGTCTTGTCGGCGCCATCCTGCAAGCCGCTGCGCAAAACTTGGCCATGATTCTCGTCGGCCGCATCTTAGCGGGGTGGGCAGTCGGCCTCTTGTCCATGTCGGTTCCGGTGTATCAAGCCGAATGCGCCCATCCTCGCTCCCGTGGATTTATCATTGGGTTGTCACAGCAGATGATCGGAGTTGGTTTCATTGTTAGCACGTAAGTCTTCCTTTTATACCGTGATCTGTCCAGGGACCCGTTCAAGCTGACTAGCGAACAGATGGGTCGGGTACGGATCACTCCATGCCCCAGTCACGAGCGAATTCCAATGGCGCTTTCCACTGGCGTTCCAGGCCGTTCCAGCTCTGCTACTGGCGGTGGGCATGTTCTTCTTGCCCGAAACCCCGCGGTATATGATCGAGACAGGGCGTTACGACGAGGCGATGAAAACCCTTCGAAGGCTGCACTATGACGGCGCCAACGATGATTGGATTCAGACTGAGTACACGGAGATTAGAACAACAATTGATGCCGAGAACTCCGTTACGAAACCGGGGTGGCTCATCATGTTCAAAGTGCCCCAGTGGCGAACCCGTCTGCTGTGCGTCTGCCCTCGTCCCTCCTCCTTGTCAATACGAGTCTAACCGCGTTTGTAATTGCGAACATATAGTCATGGAGTCGCTGTCCAAGTCTTCACCCAGATGACCGGCGTCAACGTGATCAACTACTACCAAACCATCATGTACAACTCGCTAGGTATCACCGGCAGTCGGACTACGCTCGTGGCGGGGATCTACAACTGTGTGGGCCCAGTGACAAACCTAATCTTCATTCTCTTCATCCTCGATCGCGTCGGGCGTCGCAAGCCCATGATGTTCGGCGCCATCGGCATCTCCCTGGCGCTGATCTGCGAAGCGGCCTTGAATTCCCAGAACGAAGATGGCACTCACCGCGGGTATAGCATCGGCGGGGTGTTCTTCATCTTCTGCGTCACTGTGATCTTTTCACTGTCGTTTGGACCGTGCAGCTGGTGGGTCTTCTTGGCTTGTTTCTTTAAGAGTAATCGCACGTATATACTGACTCGTTTTCCTGTCTAGGGTCTATATGGCGGAGGTCATGCCCATGCAAATCCGAGGTCGCGGGAACGCTTTCGCAACCGGCGTTGGGAACTGGGCCGTAAGCACGCTGTGGAATCAGGTCTCCCCGATCGCACTCGACAAGATCAAGTGGAAGTTTTATTTTGTCTTTGCCGCATTTAGTAAGTTCCGTCTGTCTCTGTCTGTCTCAAAAAGGGCAAAGGGCATTTTTCGTTTTTCTTTCTTTTTTTTCTTTTCTTTTTTTTTTTTCCTGACATTCGCCATCTAGATATCTTCATCAGCCTTCCAGTGATCTACTTCTTTTTCCAAGAGACTAAACAAAAGTCACTGGAGGAGATTGACATTCTCTTCGGTGGACGGGCCCTAGGCACACTGCCGGAAGACGTCACGGCCAAGCCGACGGCCGAGGAACGGGAACACGCCGGAGAGAGGGGCATCGTGATGGGCAGATTCGACGAAGACAATCGGGTGTAAGTGGTTTGGGTCGGTCGGTCGGTCGGTCGGTCGGGTCATTCATGACTAGAGTTTTATGAGTAGAATCTTACGAGAACACGGTACAGATAGATGATAATTGATTATTTCCATGTCTCAGTGCATGCATATTCCAGTAATACTGGAATCAATAAATGATGTTATGGTCTGATGATCGAACGCGTGTTGATCCCGGCCGATCCAGCATGAGAGCATGACATGGCATGACTGGGCATGCATGGGATGGCAATATGACGAGAGATTAGGGCATCACTCGCCGTTGGACAGCGGGAAGCTTGGTCCATCGCAGTCCACTAACGGTCGCTATACAGTAGTCACTTTGCTAACTTACCATATATCCCGTCAATTTCGGGATACCAGAGTAGGTTATGGATCACTCGGGCATCACGAGACCCAAGAGGATCTGCCCATGCGCCAAGGAAGTTAGTTTCCCCCAGATATTTGAAGCTGGTCGTGTCTCTCGCTCCAGCTTACTTCTTTGTCTCTCTCTCTCTCTCTCTCTCCCCCTCTGGATATTTCAATGTTCCTTCTTTCCTCCCATTTCGAATGATTCCCCACTGATTTAACATTGCTACATAGATGATCACCTCTAGCCAAAATGGTCTGATCAATAGTGAGCCCATCACAAGGTCCCCGTGGTGGACACTAAAACCCCGCTGAGGAGCAACCACCGACGACGATCATCAGCAACAACACCACCAACCGCCACACATCAGCAGTAGCTAGCAGTGCCGCAGCAAGGGGACTAAAACACCCGACCCCTCTCTTCGTCCAGCGACCACACTGGAATGAGACACACAAACGGACGGCCTGATCCAATATAAAGATTCTCGTCCATCTCCTCTCCCAACTCCTGACTAACCATCAAATTCAAGGGTGTTGAGCTGATCCACTGAGCCACCGACTATTAATAACCGACCTAATTTCCGTGGTTCCTTACTTGAACTGAAGGAGGGACCTAATCTCGCTTTACCTTTTTTTTTTTCTGCTCGATCTCCACCCAACCCACCGCCCGGAGGCCACTTGTGGGCCCCGCACATCTTTCCTCCCCCGGGCGGAACATGGGGTTGTCTTCGGATGAAAAACATTTAAACACCAGCAGTACTCGCGTGGCCATTGTCCTCGGTGTCGGACTAGGTGTCGTCTCGTTGATCATTATGTGTTTACTGTAAGGACTGTCCCTTTTCCCTTCTCGATTTTGACTTTTTTTTTTTTTTTTCCTTTTTCTCGCTCTTGTCGACCACTCAAGGGGTGAATTCCACGGTCGGCTCGTCACAACACTCTGCAGTGTGCAGGGATCTGCTCATTCCTAGCAAATTCCGCCGTGCAATTCACCCGCCCCCTGTCTTGCTCCCCCGTGTTGTGGCATGAAGCATGGCTCCTCCAACTAACATGATTGCTTCCTCCTAGTTTGACCATGTTTGTCAACCGCCGTCAACGCCGGCCAATGTTCAAGAACAGTAAAAGCGACTCGAGCGATAAGCTGCGCAAACTGGACGCCGTGTCGCCGACCCGGACCCTCGAGGAATGGTGGTCGAGGGCCAAGGGTCCGCTTTTGCCCTCTGAGGGTGCGGATGGGCATTTTATCTGGTACGTTTACTATCGATAGATCTGTTGTAACCGTTTCATTCTTATTTATTTATTTATTTATTGTTTTCTATTCTTATTTTTTACTTTTTTTCGCGACCATTGGTTGGAAGTTCAAGTGTACATGCTGACTTTGCTATCTTTTAGTGTTGTCTGTCTCGAGTCCGTCCTCCGATCCCAAGAGATCCGAGAACTCAAGTGCCTGCACGTCTTCCACAAGGAATGCCTGGAGCAGTGGTATCTGCAGGATCACTTCAATTGCCCGCTATGCTATCGAGCATATTATATCCAAGAGACCCACCCGACGACCGACTTTGTATGGATGGTATGATTGATGAATGATGTCTGGACTTTTTTTTTCCCACCTGTTGCTCTCAGATTGTTCCTTGCATTATCCTCTTCTTAGCTCATCTCCGGCGTTTGGTGCTTTGCCGATGTATCAACATGGATCGCATTACTCCTTTTTTCCCTCTTGGTACTGCTTTTCTCTGCTCCCTGCCTTGCCCGATGCACCTTGGGTCTCATTGCGCACAGTGTCTGTCAGTCTCCTGATGAAGTCCACGACCGACCTCTGATGAATCATGATAATGAACGCGATACCCCCTAGCGATATCTACTGCAATCAATCAATCAATCGATCAACACTCAAAACGCCTTCCCCCCAACCAACCCCCCATCCAGCGATAAAAACCCATCCACCGACGCCGGATTCTCCAACCCAAAATCCCACCCATTAGGATTATACCAGTCCAAAAAGTTGTACAGCCCCGAGGTCGCATCGTCATACACCTCCCCCTGAATCGGCTGGGGGTCAAGAATCTGGTCCAGGATGTGCGACAGCTTCTTCTCGACCTCCTTGCACGTGTGGTAATTCCCTTGCCCTGGACGCGCTACCCACGATAGACTCGACACGAAGATGCTGAGATTGCGGATGACTTCTGCGCGGGGAAGCACGGCTGTTCGTGGTCCGACGTCGCGGGTTTGGTGCAGGAGTTCGAGCATTAGCACGCTGGCGCTGGGGAGGCCGTAGTAAAGTGTCTTGTCGTGCGATCAGTGGTCAGTGCCTTAAAATGCGCGAAGAAAAAGGCTTGACATACTATCCAAGCATAATGCCGCGTCATATCCATCACGGGATCCCTATCGGCGCTGATGCGCGTGATAATCGACAAGACATGTCGCGCCGTACCGAACAGTGCGTCGTGGCCGGAATTCGTCTGTTTGACTACCGACCGCTGCAGAAGGAAGATCGTGTGCAGGTGGTCTAGATAGATGTGGAGCAGTGTGAAGGATTCGAAGTACGGCTCTGAGTCGTGCATCGCGCGCGCGTCGTAGCGCAATCGACCGGGGCATGCTTCCCACGTTGCGCGCGCTTTGTCGATGATTTCGCTGTTGTTTTGCCACCGCGGTTAGCTTGCGGCTTTCGGGTTATTAGTTCCCCGGGACAAGGAGATGACCTACTTCGCCTTATGCACCAGATCCCAGTGCTCGCATGTCCCGAGCGCAATCTCAAGCGCCTTCTCCCGAAACACGGCAACCAGGAATCGCAGACGGATCATTCCCGCGCGGGTATACTCTTGACGGGGATGCCATCCCGCCATATCCAACTGCGAAACCGCCTGGGTAAATGTGTCCCCCCCGGCTACAAGCTCATCCTCCGTCACGTCCAGCGGAGGCGTCAACGTGCAGTATCGATAATTGATACAAGGCGGGCGCCCGGTGAACGTGGAAACGCACTTGTCGGCGTAGAACGAGGCTGCGAAGCAGATCCGGCGCCATTCTTGTAGGAAGGGTGGACAGTCGTTGGCGCGGATGCTTTCTTGGTGGAGGCCGGCGGCGTAGACTGTCGATGCGAGGTCGCTTAGGCGGCGCCAGGCTTGGAAACCTGGTTTGATTGTCAGTGATGCGGCGTTGCAGGTTGTTACATAGGGCAATGGGGTGTACTGGTATCGCCGTACTGCTGAGTCTTCAGCATAACGTCGTTGTATCGGTAAAAGACCAGCAGTTCGTTGACGGCCGCGGGGTGATCGCACAGCTCGAGGCAAACGTTACTTGCTTCCACGATCTGGGCTCGAATGCGCTCCTTGGACTGGCCGTCGCTAGCCGCGTCCACCAATTCGGGGTCACTATCGGGAGTAACCATGGATGCGATCCCCGCCGTCGCGAAGATAATCCCCAACGCCTCCCAGCGGAGATTATCGCCGGTGAAACTATCGCAGTACTCCCTGACACTCATCGAGCCATTACTAGTCAGAGGCCGGGCCGACCTCTCGAATATGCGATGCGCGACAGCTCGCAGCTGCGCTTCGACATCGCCGGCTGTATCTAGATTGTCGAATATTACTCTCAACGACTCCATGATAGCTTCTAGCAAGATCAAAGGCACGATAGCGACGAGTGACCAGGCGTAGAATTTGCGGATGAAAGCTTCGCAGATGGGGAGGCTGTAGAGGAGCTTTAGCAGGTCTAGGCCGCACTGGAGACGCGCTGGGTTGGTCGACTGCACGGCGTCGGATGATCGAGTAGGTGTATCTGTTGATAAGATCTTATTCAGCTCAAACGGGAGGTCATCTCTATGCTCCTGTAGAACGGCCGAGTAGCTAGTCGATCCCATATACCCCAGGAACGGCTCGGGGGAGTTCAAGGGCGTGACGTTGAGCGAAACATCTTCCGACGTGACCAGCGGGACTGGACTCTCGAGCCTGGCACACAGTCAGTCCTGTTTGTTTATCTACCCTATGATCAAAAAGAGTGCTGAACTTGACAATGCTGTCCAATACGTACCTTCGCCGCGGCCGCCGGCGCCTCGACTCCTCAGCAACAGGGCTAGCCCTCGCAGAACCAGAAACGCCCCTCTTCGTCATCGGCGCAGGATGATAGAAGCAGCGAGCCGTCATATTCTTCGTTAGACATCTTCCGCAGACGGGCTTTGCGTGGTCGCAGCGGAGTTTGGCCTTGCGGCAGGGCTCGCATGACTGGAGTGTTCCGTTGCGACGGACTGCGGTGGAGCGTCTGGGCGGGTTGGACTCCGCCATTGTTGGGTGGTGGTGTCGGCGGGCATTACCGACGCGCCGATGGATGGGATTGGGTTGGGATTGGGGGGTTTTTTAATGGTGGTCTGTTTGGTCTATTTGGTTTATCAATAGGTGGACAGATGTAGGGTTGATTCTGGGCAGGGAAGAGGGGAAATGGTTGCATTGAAGGTGTACGATGAAGCTTGATAGCACGGACAGCTTAAGCCCGAACTGGTTAGGTTGATTGGTGAGCGGTCTCTACTTGAGACGGAGGCTTGTCTGGACACTAGTTATATCTTATTTGCCTGTCTACTTCATTGGTATCGATGTGCACGTGTGCGCCTTGCGAGGGGATCCAGATCAGAGCATTTAACTGTACAATCTACCGTTGTTATTTCACAAGCGGGCAAAATAGCGAGCGGGACTGTACACTGCAACATCTACAGTGTGGTTGGTTCTATGTATCTTTAAACCACCAGTATCTTATTTTCCATGGGTTTGATTTTACATCACAGTCCAGCTGCTGGCCGTGCTTCCCAGGTCGAAATCAATTGCCCAAGACATTAGATCGAAATTCTCGTAATCGTCCAGGTTGATAGCGCCAATCGCCCCAGCTCCACCAGCGAGGGAACCGTCTATACTAGGGGTCGGAATTGACATCGGGCTCGCGTCAGTGCTTGTCGCAACATCGGAAGTTGCCTGAAAGTTTGATGTCGCAAACTTGTCCAAGATCTTGTCCAATTTCGCCGTGATGGCTTTTGCGGCCTGCATGCAGAAAGCTTGGTTTCTTTCCCGGGAACTAGACACACTTTCGAGTTGCGATGCGAGTACGGACAGATTACGAATCACGGCCGACGTCTTGATACCGGGTGGAAGAACTCTCGAAGGATCTTGTGTAAGGTTTTTTAGTGCACTCGAAAGGATTGCGGCAGACGGCAAGCCGCACGACAGAAGCTTCGCCTTGTCAGCTATGTAAACGGAATGCGACGGTAAGGTAGACGAAGTACGTACGATCTCAGGCAAATCACTGAAGGTAAAGGCACCCTTTCTGCGATATTTCCCCATTTGCACAACCGTCTCCAATATGTTTGCAGACACGTCAAGCAGTTCGGGAAGCGGAGACGAGATATCCTCTGCAAGGAGGTGGTATATCTGGAAATGGATTTGGAGGTAGGCCAGATGGACCTTCGCATGCATATAACAATCAGGAGGAAGCATGTCGGATTCCCAACAATCCTGGGTATACCTCAGGTGGGGAAGCAGGTTGTCCCAAGTCTGACGGCATCGAAAAGACAACTCTCTACTTGGTTGTCAGTGACCATTCAGCGTCTCCCTGGTGAATGTTCTTACCTGAGCTGGGCAGGGTCAGCTGTCTGTGATGCTTGGAAATGATATTCCACAATTCCTTCCCGAAACTGGCTCAAAATATACCGTAGTCGAGCCCAGGTCGCTGCCCTAAATTTTCCATCCGTGTTCCAGCCATCTTCTGTGAGCCGATTTTTTGCTTCCTCTAGTTCCTTGGGGGTTTGCGCGAAAATTTCGTCATCGGATAGATCGAGGGGCAGCTTGACGTCAACGTACCGAGAGGTGATGCGAGGGGGTAGATTGAACACCAGGCCGAACATTTTCTCAAGATAATATTCAGTCACAAAGCATTTTCTCCGGCATTCTGCAAGGAAAAACGGGGTTCTCTCCGGGGAATATGTCGCTTCTCTGTTCAACCCCAGAGCCAATAGATCTGTCGTGAGATCGCCCACCAAGCGCCACACACCGAGGCCTAAAACCAATCAGTATCCAGCAATCAACACAATCTGCTTGATGTGACTCACTTGCATCTCCTTCAAGGAATGATCTGAGGTGCGCATTTTCATTCGCTAACCATACGATGACGTCGGTTGACTGCGGTGCAAGATCACGAGCTAGTCTTAAGGTCAACGTACTATACCAAACCATGTCCTGGAAGAATGCGTCATCCTTATCCTCGTCGCGGTCAACGAAGCAAGCTGAGGCACGAGCAGCCATAGTATACAAAAGACCGATAGTCTCGACTCGAAGATTCGGGCCACAGAACAAGGCGACGAAACCATGCAGGTCTAAGGATGGGGTGATGACGACCTCTGTAGAGGACGCGAGCAGGACAGTTTCTGATATCTCCGAGACATTGCCCAACTCGACTCTCTCTCCCTCTTCTCCAAGGATATGGCTTGAAGATACCAGATCTGCACGTAGCGTTTCCAGGAGGTGCAGAACGACTGGCTTCGGCACAAGTGCGTTATGCTTAGAAGAGTAGTATTGATGGAGACGCTTTTCAATAACTGGGAGGTATCTCAATTGAGACAAAATTTCCTTCATGGTGGCTAGGTGGGCCTCATAAGCTTTGCTGCCATGCGAGCCCGGTGTGGGTGTCTGTGGCAGCGTGTCAGAGACGGTCGACATGAAAGGCCATGTGTGAAATTTGGGCGGGCCCGCCGCAGACCGTTTAGGATTGGTCTGGCAGCATTTCGCACTGTTCCTGCTTCCTGGTGGTGTGGCAGGTTTTGATCGGGGTAGTGCAGGCACATCCAGTCGTTGTGCCCTACGATCTTTAGTCAAAGGTGAGGGATGGTAGTAGCATCGAGAGCTGAGCCCACGACGCTGGCAGGAGGCGCAAACTGGTTTGCCATGATCACATCGAGTTTTTCTCTCTCGACAAGGTTCACACGATGCCAGGGAACGATTGCGCCTGGTTGTGGGTGCTGACATGTTCAATGACCTGGGAGGCTGGGCGATGTGTCTGTATGATGTATCTCCAGATCACGAAATTGGACCAACACCGGTATGGATTCAGTGCTCCTTCGGATTTCCTTTCGTGTCCACTCGTTTGAAATTGGTATTCTGCAGATTCAGTACCCTTATTCAAATCACCTTGCTTGTTTCACTGGGGATATTGAGTTATGAGGAGCATTTGAGAACGGGTTCTTGCTGTCAGAGGCCTATCAGGGTACTTAACCCCGTTACAAGACCGGTACGGAAATGCGTATCGGACTTGTATCGGCATAGCTGACTTCGTTGGATATAGTGTCATTGCTGTAGTCAATTTCGCCAATATTGATAGCGAAAGATGTAAGGACGAATCTGAGATACGAATGTGCTACAGCTAGAGACTCTAAACAAAAAGGAGAAGGGAGAAAAAGGACCAAACTAATCCACACTAGAAGTTCTAGGTATCAATAGGTAATGTCCCGGCCTGGGTCCTGGGTAGGCTTCTAGAATCTAGACATTATCTATATTCTCCAGCACATGCAGATTGAGCTCGAATGTCCTCATGGGTCTATGCGCATGTCTTCTCGTCCTGTCTGTGGGTATCTTTTGCGCCCTTCAGGGTAAGCTGCAGCCGCCCCCCCCCCCCCCCCCCCCCCCCCCCCCCCCCCCCCCCCCCCCCCCCCCCACCTCGGTGCGAACACCGTAGTCTACCTGCGGCCTTGTGCTTCCACGTCCGAGATGGCCGCCATTAAAAAGCTGCCCAGCGAGGGTCCTGTTGCCAAAGAGATTGGGAAGATACCATCTAATCTGCATGTGTCGTTGATCCCGCCATATTGTGACTTCCGTCTTATATATCTTCCCTTTCTTTACACGCCCAATCTGCCCGCCACGATCCTTATCAGCCATGGAGAACAGCCACTACAGTTTGACCAAGGATCAAATCCAATTCTACAACGAAAAGGGATACTTGCTTATCCGGAGCTTTTTCGACGAGCCAGAAACAGATCGTCTGCAGCAATGGACGCAGGAAGTTCATGATTTTCCCCGCACTGCAGATGCGCCATACATGCCCTACGAGGTGAGTTAGGGCTTCAAACAATTCTTAATCGGATCTAACAAAGGTGCGATAGGAAGTAAATGCTCAGGGGAAAAGAGTGCTCTGCCGCACGGAGAACTACGCCAACAGCCACTCCGGCTTCGATAGCTTTCTCCGTGGCCAGCGCATCCTGAGTGTTCTCGGGCAACTTGCCGGGGAAGATATGTTGCTCTTCAAGGAAAAGATCAACTATAAGCTTGCCGGGAGTGGTCAGTCCCAGTCCTTCGATACACTTATAACCAATGTGCTGATTGACTGCCAGGTGGCTTCGACCCTCACATCGACGCCAACGCATACACGCACGTCAAGATGATCAAACACCTGACCGTCCTCGCTGCCGTCGACGGGATGAGCTCTGCAAATGGCGGACTCGAGGTAGTCGATGGGAGCCATCTGACGGAGATCAAGCTGGGCGAAGACCGATGCATCGAGCCTTCCTGGGTCCAAAGCCAGAAGTGGACGTCTTGTGATCTTCAACCCGGTAGGTCCTAGCAATTCCCCCATTCCTAACAGCTTAAAGCCATCTCTAATTTGAACACAACAACGTAGGTGACATCCTCGTGTTTGGATCGTATCTCGCCCACCGCAGTGGAAAGAACCTGAGCGACAAGGATCGCCGCGCAATCTACGCGACATACAACTGCAAAGCGGAGGGAGACCTCCACGATGATTACTATGAAGATCGCCGAAAACTGTGGCCGCCGACTCATCTGCGTGAGGAGGGTGAGGCGTATGAAGAGGGCCGGCTTCGCTATGGATATGGCTCCCCGATGCTTACTATTGAGGGCCAGGCTCAGGCGCAGGCTGCTGCGTAGGATATATGGAAGTGCTCCGGATTCTAGGACGGAAATGACGGAATCTACTGTAGCTTGCTAGGAATAATCGTGTTTGAATGATATCGGGAAAGTTTATGGGGAAGGATCAACGTAATGGGCCACTTAAGAAGAATGCTATGCATGCTATTATAGTCTTATCGAAATTGTGCACATTGCCCAATATTAGAGGAAGGTAAATACAATCCTGGAATAGATTTGGAATATCCGAGAGAGTTCAACCAAATTAGGCACGTGTTGCGAGGGTTTACTTTGGGCTTGAAGACCGCTCGCTCTTCTCTCCGGTCTCTGATTTCCACTCATCCTCTTCCAACCACTCTCTTCCCACCTCACCCACCACATATATATTCTCCCCCTTTCACGTTAATTATCAAAAACCACCCAAGCATACCACCTCCCAAAATGAACCCCCAATCGCCTTCCGAAAAAGCCCAATACCTAGTCACCTCCCTAGAAGAGAACGGCCAAAGCGACTACATCGGCGAATCCATCAGCCAGCTTGAGCACTGCCTGCAAGCTGCCAATCAAGCCAAGACATCAGGTACCTACCCAGAACACCACCCATGAACAAATAATTTACTAGTACCTCCCCAAAACGCTCAAGTCTAATTACGATACAGGAGCCAAAGATGAGCTCATAATCGCAGCCCTCCTCCACGACATCGGCCAGATCGCCCCGCTAGAATCCACCAAAGCAGCACGAATGACCCTCAAGAACAGCACCGAGGATCTTGGCCGTGTGGGCCACGAGATGATAGGAGCTGAGTTTCTGCGCGCGCTGGGGTTCAGTCGAAATGTTTGTCATTTGGTTGGGAGTCATGTTGCTGCTAAACGGTAAGGTCCTGTCCTCATTCTACTCTCTTTGGCGGTTTTCTTTTGACTCCTATTATTGTACGAAACGCTTATGTTGATGTAGATATTTGACGGCCGTGAACAACTCCTATTGGGACTCGTTATCTTCGGCTTCGAAGAAATCTTTGGAGTGTCAGGGTGGTCCTTTTAAGGGTGCGGAGCTCATTGCCTTTGAGCAGGATCCCCTTCGGGATGAAATGGTCGCTATGCGACATTGGGACGATGCGGCTAAGGTCGAGGGAATTAAGGATTCAACGCCGCGTCCTGGGGCTTATTTTGATATGATCAGGGCTCATTTGCAGGAACAGGAGGTGGCGTGCTGATCGCACATATAGGTTTTACGTCTTGGCTTGTTGCATGAATATTAGATTCTTCTTGAAATTATTATGATTAGTACTGTCATTATTCTTTGGCTGTCCTCAGATATATAGCAAACGCACAACCATCCACTGACCCATTATGTTTACAGGATACCACGTCTCAGATTTCTATCGCCAGACTTCTTGATCTGATCTGGTGAACAATCGGTGTATCCTTCGGTGCGGGGTCGGGCTGTAATGACTTTTCACAGAATGGGGGACGGAGAGAATTCGGTGGAGCGTCTTTTTATCACTTGTGAAAACTCAAGGTGCCATTGGTCATGTAAAGAGTCTAGCTCATTGGGGTTTCAGGTATCCTCGTGCTTTCAAATACTCTGTTGACGGGCTTGGCCGGCCAGATCGCACGAACTCTCCAAAGTAAGCCGATGCAAGTTGGACCGAGTGCAAGTCCCGAACCTGGCGTCGTGGGGATACATTTCCGAATATCAGTGGCAGCTGCTGATTGCCACGATGCAGACGGAAGTAAGACAGCATAGGAGCACCTCTTAAGAACTCGGCCATTGCTGATGAAACCTCACGTCCGATGGGGCCCGACTCAGCACTGGATCTTCCCATATGGCAGAAGTATGAAGGGCTAGTTGCCCGCGAGGACGTATCTGCAAATGTAGTGACTTGGTTGACGCATTGAATTCCAAACTCAGTGGTGTCTTGCTTGAATGTATCAGATGCTTTTGATGCTATGTCCTCGGGTTCATCATATGAGGACAACTCATGGTCGGGAGTACCCTGAGCAATTCCATCCTTGACGTCCAAAGCTGATTTTGGAATTTCGAGCTTATGTTGGGCAGAAGATGAAGGACGTGAAGAAGCGTCATCAGCGGTGACGACAAACATGACAGGTACATCTGCAGAGCCATGCTCCTTCCCAACCTCATTAGAGTCGCGTGTGTTGACATAATGACCGTCCTGAACGACGTAGCGTGCAACGGTATCTAGCCCGACGACGGTGGACGCAGGTACCTGTCCTAGGCATGATATCTGTTCGACGAGATCCTCACCGGTGCAGCCGGCTGCGGAGAATATTTGCTGACCAGCAATTCGATACGACTCCTCTGGCTTCAAATACTGGCCGTATGTGGCGTTATTGTCACTTTCGCGCCCTAACCCCTCACGGCTGCCGATTTCCGGAACCACAATAGCACCGTGGAACTTCCCGACAGCAGGAGACGATTCCAGCATCACTCTGGCAGATCCAGTGTCTGTAAATTCTCCGACAATCGTGATACGTTGCGGATCGCCTCCAAACTGAGCAATATTATTTATAGTCCACTTTGTTCATGAATCAGTACCATGTCCACGCATTCACTGGGGTGTAAACAAACCTCGAGGGCAACTATTTGATCTGCGATTCCATAGTTGCCACGGATATCAGACCCGGGAACGGCCAAGAAGCCCAGAGTAGAGAGGCGATAGTTGAAGCTCACGACCACAATATCCTCGCGCGAAGCCAGATTTCCACCGTCAGCCAAGGGATCCGAGCCCGATCCTTCAACGAGCCCACCGCCATGGATCCAAAACAGCACCGGTTTGAGGCCGTTGGTTGAGCCCCTCCTCGGAATGTAAGGGGTCTGGATATTCAAGAATAGACAATCTTCACTACCACGGCCAACTTGAGCACAGCTGGACCTGTATTCCGTGGCTTTGATCGTTTGAGACTTTTTCGAATAGAGCCCCGAATATGTGAATCTTTGGGGCGGGTCGGCATACGGGATGCCTAAAAACCGGAATGACTTTCGATCGCGAAGCCCAACATAAGTGTTCCCTTCGGAGGCGACACTCACAGTGTCACGACTGTATCGTCCATGATTATGCCTCGTGTGCTCGGTGCTTGTGTGAGTACAAAGAACGGGAAGCTTGGTCTCTCCGCGCCCGAACTGCCACAAGCTAAGCTCATCAAAGCCTTGACTCACGGCTAGAACACCATCGCGAGTATAGTACAGCTGGTTTGGCCCCGCTCCGCCTGAAAACACCAGATACGAGAAATAGGACATGAATTCATCCACGTGTTTCTCAATGGTAGCGAAAGACACCATAGACTCCCCGATTTCCTCGCAAGCTTCCCCGATCTCGTGCTGGGCTAACGCGCCCAGCAATATGACTCCGACGTGGTTCTCATCATCAGTCGAATTCAAGCTGTTCTGATAAAGCAGCGTCAATGACGATTTCTCATTGGTCGCTGGAACAGAACGCAATATCGAGTCACGGCCGCGCAGATCAAGACCCAGCGCAACAGAGGCAACGAGCCAAAGGACCGCAAGGAGTTTGACCATCGTATGTTCTGTTATGCAAAATCCGAGTGACTCCCTAGATCAGACCGCTCTCAGAATGATTTCAATACCGGCCAGAGCGACTGTACTAGGCGGGGTATAGTACTTGGCGCTTATCAGCCAACAACATGCTTCCGGCGCATAAAGCAAGTGACCTTTGAGCACGGCCTATCCTAGAAGGCCGAGTCACCTGCGGCATCGATTTATATATTAACACAAGCCAATAGTCCTCACATGAAGGGGCGGTGGTGGTGGGATTGCGGTGGGAAATTACCCAGAGCCATACAGCGTGACCCCTAAAGATCCTCACTTATCCTAGACAGGGAAGGTCCATCGGGCCCCAGCCTTGCCCGATGGTAGGAGCGACCTATAACTTGACCCGTTCCTCGCATCCTGCAGGGGGGCCTGAATGGAAATTGGGCAATCCGAAGCGATGGGATTACTACCTCCGAATGCGGGTTTCTTTGAGAGGCGTAGCTGCCAGATCCTGACCCCGAACAGGATGGGTTCTTGCCTTGAGAACGATTTTCATTTTGTACGGGCTAGCTCCTTCCCATCCTTCCAGTTTTTGGCCCTGTTTTAGTATGGTCTTTTTACTAGCCATTTGGTAGCCTCGTGGGGTTTGTGGATATGTAATTTTACTATATTCCAGTAAGTCTATGTAGTGGAGTTAGCCTTGTGGACACACTGCCCACCAGTAAACTCTGCCTGGAGGACAATTCTGAGGGAGAAAGATGGAGAAACAGTACGTTGGCTGCAGGCGCGTTTATAGAAAAGCTTGTTAGTTATATGCAACGTGGGGATACTCCACCAAGTTTTGAAAGAAATGCAAATTTACCTTTGGGAAATAAAACTAACAATTGCTCCGGTGATCACCAGATACATAGCATAAGGACCACAATGAAATGCTGACTGCAACAGACCAACTATAAAAACGCCAGATGAATGGACCAACGGAAAAAAAGCAGAGGGGTAGAAAGTTCAGTAATTCATCACCGGCCCTCCGCCACCAGGCCCGGGTCTCTCTTCGTGATTTCCTCCCTCATAACCCCCTTGGTCATCTAGTGATTTATACCCTGGGTGAGGACCACCATCACGTCCACGGCCTCTGCCACGCCCACCCCGGCCGGGGTGACCTCGACCCCGAGGACCCGAGCCACGGCCACGGCCACGATGTCCTCCGCCACGGCGAGGACCGTCATCGTGATGATTGTGACGAGGATTTCCTCCGTGACGCGGGTGATAGTGAGCTCTTGGGTGATGGGGGCCATCATAATTACTGGGTCCCGTGGGCGGCTCGTCACCGATTTCGGGCTGATGGCGCCGCTTGTTATTCTTGTTTAAGAATTGACTCTCCCACTCGCCTTCGTTGGGGTTCTCTTCTTCCACACGAAGAACGACTTTCTCCCCGACGACCGTGTCAAATTTCAGCGCCTTGTCAGCCGGGACAGGGTGCCAATTTTGGATTTTGCCTGCGTCTATGGGACGAGCACCTTTACGGACCGCCAGCACCACTAGAGGCTGGGGATTCTCAGTGTAGAACTTCTCATTTGCAGGGACCGGCGCCAGCCGAGCCGCCCAGATTTTGTTCTCAAAGACAGCGGTTCCGGTAACCTGCCAACTGTGCTTTTTCCCGATACCACCGACCTTGTCCAGAATGGAGCGGGGCGCGGGGCGCGGGGTGATTAGTATGCTATTAGCCATGTACTTCAGATCATTGGATTCAGCAAGCCCTGACGGCAGCATTGGGTTTAGTATTTGGCCGATGAGATGGTTAGAATCAGCATTAGATATCAGATAGCCGGTGTAGAAGATGGTGCGTTTGATGCGCAGTCGACCATATGGTGACTTGATCCGGCTGAGCGCCGGATTGCGAATGGACAGGTTGTGAGCGTTGATCATACGCTGAACTTCAGCTGTTTCAGTTACAGGGGGGAGATAAAGAGCTCCTTCCGCTACCTGGATCACTTCAGCATTAAGCGGTTTCCTTGGGTTAGAAAACTGGAACCCCCGGTTGAGGGATTCAAAGAAGTCGCGGAAGTGTTTGACACTATTCAATGGTTAGCACACCTAATCAGTGGCAGTGCGCTATCACCATGCGACTCACTGCTTGACGCGATCCTCGTAGACGCGTATCTCATCGGCCTGCTCATAAGTGAAAATCAGGTCTGCTAGGAAGGTCTGTTTGAATTCCATGGTCGTCGAGAACTGTTCGTTGTTCGGACCAACTTCCGGCTTCAGGCAGATCAAGTCAAACTCCAGGTTTCTACTCTTGGTCATGCGTTTGACAATGTCCTCGAATCCACTTTCCCCGCGACCGGTCAAGAGGACGGTCACCGCATCTTTCTGTTCCATACTCAACTTGACCAGTTGAACCTAGGCATGTCAGCGAACATGTCCGCATCCAGAGGGAAATACAATCCGCACAATCTGCTCATTCCACCACCCAGCCCAACCACGGGGCTCTTCCTTCTCAGGCCCTTCCCCAGTGGCGGAAAGCAAGTTGGGGTCATGCCACCAACCGCCGTTTGCAAAGGATTCGTAGGCCTGCAGAAACCCAATAGTCGGACCGTTCCATATTTGCGGGTTGGGCAACGGGCTCAAGAAGACTGGATAGGATTAACATCGAGGAGGTCGTTTGTCGCACCAAGTTCTGGTCTTACGAGTGTTATCAAAGTCATAAACGTGGATGGCTTTAATCTGGGAGATAGCTGTGGCGGGGAGGAGACAATAGGTCAGCAATGAGGTGTCAGAAAAATAAGGGAACGAACAGAAACGAAGGGCAAAGAGTCTTACGAGGGAGCTCCCTGTTTGCGATCGACCAACGTCTCAGACCTGTCAGCGTTCGCGAAGATGACCGGGCATAGTCGGCCACATTCGCCTGCCCACGCGCCATAGCGGCAGCTGTTCGCGACTTCTCTTTTACCACAGCTCTAGCAGATCGCATAGTATATCACCTTACTGAAGTGATTCATGAACGGTGGTTGTCAAAGCATCACTCCATGCAGTGGGGACGATAGAAAGATGGAGGGTATGGACGATGGTGTTGGTCATTAAATGAACGGCGGCAACAGCAGCTTCCGCCGCGGAATTTTTGCCATCGGCCGCCGACAACAAGCTCCTGCCCAACGTGACCTCACCCGCCATCGACACCCCGACACTCCCCGCCACATCTTCTTCCTTTTTGCTTTCCCCCCTTAACCCATCTCGCTGGAAGGCACACTTATAGTTATTGGGTGCCACACTGATGTCGGGAGATGTCGACCTGCAGCAGCAAATACTGCAGCGAACTCTTCGCGAGGTAGCGCAGGAAGAGGATCATGAAGCGGCCAATCCGTGTGTGATCTGCCTGGAGCCCGTCTCCGAAGTGGCCGTCGCGGTGCCTTGCAAGCATGCGAACTTTGACTTTCTCTGCCTGGTAAGCTGGCTGGAACAGCGCCGCAACTGCCCGCTTTGTATGTATGGTATCTTGTGCGAACGAGGTTCTGTCCTTCCGTCTAACATTCACCCGACTAGGCAAGAGCCATGTCACCTCTGTGACGTACAACCTCGAAGGCCCCGAAGCTCCTAAAACCTATCAACTACCTGAACTACCCCCGCCGGCATCGGAGGCCCATCCTACAAACCATCGAGGTCTTCCTGGTCGTGGTTTCCGACGCGGTCATCCGCATCCACACCGTCGTGGAAGCCCGCCGCGCCCGCCACAACAACCTGATGATCCGCTCCGACGACGCCAGCACGTCTACCGCCATCAGCTATATTCTCTGCGAGTGGGTACCAACCGCCTCTCGCAGTACTGCGAATTGTCACCGGACATGTTTAACCGCGACGAAACGCTGGTTTCACGCGCACGGAAATGGATCCGGCGGGAGCTGCAGGTCTTCGCTTTCTTGAACCCAGAAGAGTCTCAACCAAGTCACGTCACCCGTCCGGGACAGCGCAGACTTGAGAACCGTCGAGGGAACAATGCCGAATTTCTCCTGGAATATATTATTGCGATTCTACGGACCGTGGACGTCAAGGGCAGTGCGGGACAGGCGGAGGAGCTCCTCCGGGATTTCTTGGGGAGGGATAATGCGCGCCTGTTCCTGCATGAGCTGCAGGCGTTTCTCCGAAGTCCTTATATGTCTTTGGAGGATTGGGACCGGCACGTTCAGTACGATGAGCCGACTCCGGGTTCCGCCACCCCTAATGCGGGCTCCGATCGCACATCTACACCGGTTTATCGGGGAGGTCGGGGTGGTCGATGGTCTAATCGTGGCCGGGTGTCGAAGCCGTCTCATGCGCGGGGGCCTCGTCAACAAGGCAACCGTCGAGATGCGTTGACGCAGGCAAGAAGAGTGCAGTACGCACGGGACCGATATGTCCCCGATTAACCGCCTGCCAGTCTCGAAATTACGGGGTTGCTTACGACGTTATGAGTGATGCACGATGAATCTTCAAAAAGCCACGTTTGTGTATATATAGAATTGAAATAATAATAATCCTCGCTTGAGGGTATCTCCATGAATGATGAAATGCGATGCCACGCGATGCGATGCGCTATGTTCGTTGCTCGTAAATAGTATCCCAACAGGGAATGTCCCAAACAGCCCCTATCTCCTAAACCGACCACGACCCCGACCCTTAGTGTTCTTATTCCTAATATTCAAAGAGCGATAGTTGGCATGCGCCTGGGGGTCAATCTTGCGGGGCGCAGGCTTCTTGGTCTCCTTAGGCTTCTGCACCCGGGGAGCCTTCGCTTCCTTCGTCTGAGGAGGCTCATTCGACTGTGACTGCGGCTTGCTATCCGCAATAGCCTCCCTCATCTTCTCCGAGAAGCTCTTTCCCCGTGTCAGCGACGGGCGATCCTCATTCTCGTCATACTCCGGGTCGTCGGAGTCCATGTCCGGCTCTGACATGGTGTGCAGGGAGTCCGCTTCGTCATCGTCGAAGCCATCGGCCCCGTCTTCGTTGGCTGGTGCGTGTAATTGATACTGCGGTTCTGGGTCTGCCGCAGGTTGTTTCTCACTGATGTGGTCTTCCTGTTCCTCACCGTCGTCATCGTCATCGGCACCGTAATCAGGCACCGGTGAGCTGGACTTGGTCTTCGGTTTCGAGAGAACGGGCTTCATGTTGACGCGCCGTGTTGTTCGCTTCTGTCCCTTCTTCTTGTACGGCCGACGGAATGGTTCGGTTGGACCGGCCTGGCTGTCTGTCACGCCCGTCGCTGCCTCTTCTTCTCTCGTCATGGCCGCGTACTGTTCGGCCTCGATCTCATCCAGCACGTCCATGTCGTCCTGCATCCGCTCCTCTTCCATGTCCCTCAGACCCTGCACCAGAGCAGACAATCCCTTACCGACGAACTGCGGTCGTTTGCGCACAGCGATGGGGCTGAGCCCGCTTCCGCTGCCCCCTACATGAGGACGATCGGGATTAGATCGGCGCAAAAACGACGGAGTATCTGAACCAGCGGTTTGCTGTGTAGAGTCATCGTCTGCTGCGTTTACAAGTGCGTCTTGGGCTCCAGCAGCAGCTGCGCCCCCGTCTCCATCCTCCACCATCGAGGCATACCGCAGCGTGATCGGCGTCGCGAAAAGGTTGGCCAGCATGTACTTCTTTCCTGACGACGCGGGGGTGCGCTCCAGCCGCGAGGAATCTTCCTCGTCTTCTTCTTCGTCCTCCTCCGCGATAGTGTCCAGCTTTCTCCGCTTTGACGGCGTCTGCGCAGCTGCGCCTCGCACGGTCGCTAGGCGCGTCGCTGTCGGCGTGGCCGTGCTGCCGCCGGACTCGGACAGTAGGTCGAACAGGCCTAGGGCTTTCCCGTCGCGTTGCGGCGTAGGGCCGATAGTGCTCTTCAGTGGCGAGGGTTGCATGTGGGTTGTGGGGCTGAATAGTCGGCGCAAGGTCGAGGGGGAGTCGTACGGGTCGACCTCGGCAGGGTGGGTGGTGTTGAGTCGGGTTTTGGAGGGGGTGGTAAAGGCTCCGCCTCTGTTGGCTTTGCGCGGGGTTGATATGGATGTTGTCTCTTCTGGTCCGGTGGGAGACGCATGTTTTCGTTTCTTGGGAGGGTTTTCGCGTTCGGCTGGTTGATGGGATTGTCTGTCGGGGTCGGCGGATGTTTCTAGGGACTTGAGACGGGAGTACTGTTTGTACTTGGCAGCTAGATGAAAACGACGTTAATAATGGAGGAGATCAATCCTTTAGACAAGTTAAGAAACATACCAATTTCAGGGACCTTCTTGATATCGCCCCGGTCGGCTTTGCGCCCTCCGTTGGCGGCCGCAAAGGTTCTCTCCCATTCTTTCAGTTCTGCGCGCAAGTCGGTCGACTGAGAAACAATGTCTGGGATGGCGACACTAGCCATTGTTGCATATTGCAGAATTTCTGCCAGCTGTGTCGAGTCGATTGGTGTTATTGAGGAGACGTGAGGACGGTGGATGGGGTAGTGGCAAGGGCAGGATCGAAGAGAGACGGCGCGTTGCGCGAAATCAATTAACGCGGGTCTCGATCCGCGGGTGACGTAGCGCGTCACTAGTATTTTCTACAAATCATCCACGGACTTGAAAATTAGTTCGTGATCAACCATTCTATGATTCTCTATGAAATTTCTAAACATCCATTGGCTGCATCACCAACTCGTCAATCCTCGTTGTCGATCAAATCCCCCTCGCAACTGGGTCTCAGGATGGACCACTTTCCCCTGGAGTAGTGTATAGTTGACCACTCCCTCACAATGCTCGGGTTTCACCCGCGCCAACCAGATCATCTGCTGTTCCTTCTTTCGATAAACCAATACATTGGCTGAGAATTTGTGACCTCCCACGTGGGACACGAAGAATATGCCCACACCACCCGGCCGTTCATCGTTCGCGTCCCGGTAGAGACCCCGCGGTCGGAGATGACGCTCTAGCTCCTTTTTGATGAGAGGCGCCGTGATCCCGCAGCGGGCGTCTCGTCGTTTGTGTGAGCATAGCAGGATGACATATTCGTACTCGCAGGGTCGCGAGGTCAGTCGAGATCGGATGGGCTGTTGTTCCGTTGATGGTGGGTTCATGCCATTCTGCGACTGGGACTGTGGGCTATCAATGAAACCGTCGATTAGCTCTTGGATGTCGCGAGTCTGTACGAAGTCCACAAAGGTGAACGACGGTAGAAGTAACACGGTGGTTCCTTTATCCCTCGCTTGATCGTCAGTGGTGTTCTCGTTGTCGGCGGGTTGGAGGTTCGATGCGGAGACCATGATGCGCTGCTTTGGTTAGCATCATTCCAATTATCCCTAGAGTAGAACAATACTCTGGATGGGACGCAGAGGACATACGCCATGTCGCGATTTGTACGCACTCTGGTCAAATGCCTCCATTAGGCTGCCCTTCTCCTGCTCGGCATGTTGGTTCCAGTCGGATTTACCAGTAGCCACTAAAACATGGGAATGAAACTCCTTTGTCTTTCCATAGAGAGGCCTAGACGTCTCGGTTTTGACTTTAGATGGGAAGTGAACGGTGCAGTCGGCGCAGTCTCTCTGGCAGTCGGGGCCATCCTCTTTTGGATTGACCGTAGGGAAGATGTAGTCGGTGTTGGATTTGACAGCTCGGAAGGAAAGCAGAGATCGAAACATTGCAAATAGCCGAGCTTAAATATTATTGTTTAAAGAGTCTAGGTATTTGACGATTCTCGTCCATAATGTTAAGCTGGATGCATGGTTTTTGTAGGGCCAGGAGTTCGGAGATGGTATCCGAGTCCGAATACCCCGAGTTATTATCCCCGAATTTGAGTCTGACCGTCTGACACTATTTCTGCTTACCTCTAGGGATGCATCAATGACAGATAATCAGGAATGCAATAGCCCCCCTCGTTCTTTACCTATGGAATGATTAGCGCTGACAGTCGGTCTGGGATCCAATCTGCGGCTGTCGACATCTTCCACGTGCAGTGACCCGCAGCGACTGACGCATGTCTGGCGTCGGGAGAGTGGCCTGCATCAGAAGGCACCGAGAGGGTTCGAGTGCGATACCCATTAGAATAGATAAATCTAGATATGAAAATTTCATGTCAAATCTTCGCATACATTCTCTACTGAGGACTCTGATATGAAGTGGTTGACTGGGTAAATCAACAAATGGCGTCATAACAAAAACAAGTCCCTTTGTCATGTGACTGCGACACGTGCACCGCCCCGGAGTCTAGACTTTGGATGGATTAAACTAGTCAGTTAAGCTTGTTTACCACGTTTCTATTCATAGGTTGGGACCGGTCCCTTCTGTTTAACCTTCATCCCTCAACCTTGGATAACCCCATGATATGCCAATGTGGACATCGTTGCTCGTGCTATCGTGCATACTATGCGCGTGGACCGCCAATGCCACGCCGGCCGGTAAACAGTTTGTCTTCCCGTCAACCACCAAATACCCGCTCCCCAATCAGGGCAATGTCCGCGCCCATGATCCCAACATCGTTGCATACAACAACGCCTTTTATATGTACAAGGGTGGTGTACACCTACCCATCCACAAAGCCCCTGCGCTTGATGGGCCGTGGGAAATGGTTGGCACCGTCTTGGACGGCCCCAGCATTGTAGAAAAGGGGAATAGCAACCGGCCCTGGGCTCCGACCACGATCGAGCGCAGTGGCCGCTTTTACTGTTTCTACACTGTCAGCTCTCGCAGCGACCGCGACAGTGCTATCGGAGTCGCCTCGTCCGATAATCCGGAGGGTGGCGGCTGGAAGGACCATGGCGCCCTGATCAACACTCAAACAGGGCCCCGAGCGGATGTCTGGCCCTATACCGTTTCCAATGCCATCGACGCCTCCTACATTGAGGACCAGGACACGCACAAGCCATACTTACTCTTCGGTAGTTTCTGGCATGGCATTTTCCAGGTCCCGCTGGCAGACGATCTCCTATCCGTGGAAGATGAGGATCATCCCGACGCAAAAAACCTGGTCTACTTGCCAAAGCGCAAGCGCAAACCCGACGAGGGTTCTTTCATGAGCTACCATGAGCCGTACTATTATCTCTGGTTCAGCCACGGCAAATGCTGTCACTTCGATGGTGATCTCCCCAAAGCGGGACAAGAGTACGTCCCTTCTTGAGTTGTGGATGTACCTGTGAAGTCAACATCCATCTAACAATCAATTACAGATACAGCATTCGCGTCGGCCGGTCGCGGAACATGCGAGGCCCGTTCGTGGATAAGGACGGCGTCAAGCTGACCGAAGGGGGTGGCTCTGTCATTTACGGATCCAACCATGGAGTTACATATGCCCCTGGTGGTCTTGGTGTCTTGCCGGGCAACTCGTCCGTTCCGTCGGATATCTTGTACTATCACTACCGTATGTTTCTCGCGCCGGGCATGCACATATCCCAGCATTAGTTGATCAAGCTAACGTCTTACAGTCAACGCATCTATTAATCTGGACGTGAGTGGGCTCATATCTCTAATGCACTTGAAGATGCACCTCGCTTACATATCCGTAGGAAGCCTATCTCGGATATAGCTACCTCAGCTATGAAGACGGGTGGCCTTCAACTACTAGGTTTGTTTCCCAAGCCATATTAATTGCGTGCATGTCATAGTGGAACCACCGACTGATCTACTGCGTCACAGCAACACATCGCCCCAACCGCGCCTCTCCTACCACCTCTTAGCTGTTTTACGTAAGGTCCCTGTGCTCATGCACCCTTTTGAATTGACACTTACAATCAGTGGCAGTTACGGGGACGCTGCTTTGGCTATGCAGCTGATACTACCCATCGGATTGTTGCTTCATTTGATACCCCGGCACGACATGCACATAAAGTTTTCTACAGTCAACAAGAACATAGAGCTGTTTTGGTTAGTCCTTTACGGAGTTTTGGATTATATAACAGCGATAGAACATTTGGCGCATATATGATTGGCATTTATTCATTCAACAAAATTCCTTATTCGATAGCATGCGATTTATACACTTCATTCTATTCATTGACTCGATTGTACAAGTGCACGTCGTCTGTCCTTCGAATCATGGGTCCCAACCTCCGTCCACGTTCAGAACCATCCCTGTTGAGTACGACGACGCATCGCTGAGCAAGAATAGTACAGACTGGGCCACCTCGTCCGCCGTGCCGTTACGGGGTATGATGGTGGGATTGGCGCTCTCGCCGCCCTGAATGACCTTGGCCTTGTCGAGGAGGGGTGTTTGAATTGAGCCCCTGCTGGCAGTCAGTATGGTTCTCCTATAAAGGATAATCTCCATCTATCCCACAAACAACAACAAAAAGAAAATATATAGAAAGGATGAAGGGAGGGAAAACATACGGCGCAACAGCATTCACCCTAATCTCGGGCCCCACCTCCTTAGCCACACTCCTCGTCAACCCCACAACCCCATGCTTCGTCGCCGAATAAGCAGCATGGAACCCAAACCCCCTCACCCCCTGAATACTCGCCGCATTAACGATACTGCCGGCACGGGAAGTCTCCTTGATAGCGCGCAGCTGCGCCCGCACACAGTACATCATGCCCGTAAGGTTCACCCGCAGCAGGAAGTCCCACTCGTCGTCCTCCTGCTCCGTCAGCGCGCCCACGCCGTGCTTCTTGCCGATTGCTCCCGCCATATTTGCCGCGCCATCCAGTCGGCCGAAGTGTTGCACCGTCTTTTGGATCCAGTCGTTGACGGTGGCTGCTGAGCCGACGTCGACTACTGTTGTGAGGATCCTTGCTGGGCCGTCTGCGGGTGGTGAGGACGGGGAGGAGGCGTTGAGGAGTTCGACGGCCGAATTGAGTGCCCTTTCGTCAATGTCTGCTAGAGATAGCAGCGCGCCGTTTGCGTGGAGGCGTTGCGCGACGGCGAGGCCGATGCCTGCTAGGCCGGTGACGGCGTAGACTTTGTCTTTGACGGAGTCCATTGTTTCGGAAGTCGAGCGTAAGTAACAGGGGATGCTGAAAGTAACAATTTACTTGACCTGGAGCATAGAAGTGTTTGTTATAAGCTAGAAACTCTCCCCGCACTTGGTTCAATACTGTGCTTGTGCTGTTTTGCCAGAATCCGGCTAAATTGCGTCGGCCGATTCCGATCTGCGGGGACTCTTGATTGACACTAATCCAGGTATAGTAGGTATAGTAGGTAGTCGATGCAAATATGTACTCAAAAATTCTAACAGATAATAGCGTCCCCTCAGCATGCAGAGAGACACATGCGCATGCACTATAACGTTAGTCATGGCAGTAATTAGTTGATACCCTTGACGGATATCCCGATCCAGCAACGGTCACAAATACCACAAGTCCAAGTCCATACAAACATACATATTTAAAGCCCCTTACAACCGACTATCCTTACCCGCGCCGTTCAACCGCCGCCACATGCGAATGCGTCGCTGGTGCCCACTATTAAAGTCATCCACCCACGACTGTTCGAAGGGGGGCAGTCTCCGACCCGGTTGACCCTCCGTGGGGTTCCCCGCCAGCCGACGGACATGCTCGAAGTAAGGCTCAAACTCCGGGTTGACCGACAGGAAACCAGGGCCGTCACCCTTGACGGCGATGCGCTCGTTCTCCCATCTTTGTTGCTCTTCTAGGGGCGGTAGGCGGGCTTTGCCGGCTAGGACCCGCGCTGCGACTACGGCTTGCCATTCGAAGATTTTGAAGGTGAGGCCCGCTCCGACCTGGGTTTCGTTAGCTAGTTGCATTATGGGGGGAGGTTGGGGATGAAATTGGTTGCTGCTTACCCCACCAACGACTACCAAGGACGGATCGTGCTGATAGAACACATGGAGGAAGAGGTTTGGAACGCGGTTGTTCCGCAGCGGAAGGTCAGGTAGGAATGGGAGCGTCCAGGTGAACCCGGTGCCGAGGATGATGTGATCGACATCCGATACGGAGGTCCCGTCTTCGAAATGCACGGTGCGCTCGCCGTTGTCGCTGCAGATTCGCGCAATGGACGGCACCCGCTTGATGTTGGGGTGTTTGAAGGCTTCATCGCCGAAGTAAGGGTTGTATCTACCCCGCACAACGGAGTAGATGGGTGTTTGAGCCGAATCGACTAAGCTGACTGCCGTATCAGCTGCTGAGACAGACGCTCCAACGGTGACGACCTTCTGTTATGGGGCACTGGTGTTAGTTCATGGGCCCGCGGAAAGAAGGCAAGTAAGCCACTGCGACGATGCCAGACACACCTTTCCGCGGAACTTCTCCGGGCCACGGTATTGTTTCGTGTGCTCCACGCGATCAGGGTACCGTGCCGTAAACTCCTTCAGTCCTTCGATGGCCGGGACATACGGGACTGAGAAGTGTCCCGACGCGACCACCAAGGCGTCGAAGGTTTCGCTCCACCAGTAGTCGTACCCGCCTGATTGGCCCGCGCGTCGCAATACTAGCACCCATTGACCGGTGCGGGGGTCCTTAGTCGCTCGCTCCACGGTGGTGTTGTACTCAACGAGATCCTGGTACCCGTTCCGGTTGAGGAGATCCTCCACGTATTGTCGGATGACGGTGTGGTGGCGGAACGGACTGTCTGGCCCGTGGAGGGCTACTGTCCTGTCTGTGCGGACGGTCGGAATCGACTCCTGGGAGTAACACATGGTCGTGACATCGACATTGGTCTCTAGCGTTGGGTAAATGTGCGAATCGGTAAAGCGATGCTGCGTGAGCGCAGGCGCATGTCGGGGCAAATCTGACGGAATAGCAACCGGTAGGTCTGCGGTCCGGTTGGATAACCGTTCAATGTCGAGAGGGACGTGTTTTTCATTCTCTCGCGAAACCCTAGGCAACACAATGAGCATCCCGTCATGTTCATTGACCCATATCGCGGTGCGGAAAGAGAGAGGGCACCGCCTACCAGCAACCACCGGCTTTCTCCTGCCGTTCAAACACCCGGACCACGTCGAATGCCTTTTCTTGCACGAGCGCATCGACCGCAATGGCCCCAGCCGGACCTGCGCCGATAACGGCTACCCTTTTAACGAGCGACATGGTGACCCGCCGGCGGTTGAAGTTATAGCCGTACGACGAGATATGCTTGTGACTGGAAGCGCGGCTGAAATGGCGGAACCAAGCAGTCGGGAACCCTCTCTTTTAAGAAACTTTAGTCTGGATCTACCGGGGATGCGGCAATGTTCCTTGTGGAGGGTTGGATCGACCTGGTGCGAATTGAACTGAAGCTGATGCGAGTTTGGGCGGCGATTGCATCAGCGGACACCAGTTAAAGGCGTGGCTTTGGGGTTTGTGGGCCCCAATCAGGACTCTCTGGCGCTCTCGACCGAGATAAGGTCCGATGTTTTGCATGTTTGTTTGGTCCTGCAGTTTCCTGGGCCATCGTATGCAGTTAGAGTATACAATTTTATGGAGATAAAGGATTTCAATATGAAGTATTTAATTCAGGAACAGGAAGTTCTTTGTACTACCTCAAAGTACCGAGTACCTTATTTAAACTCATCGGGAACCGGCAGTTTCCGGGAAGCTGATTGGTGGCTGCCCACGCGACACACGTGGTCTGGATTGGTATTTGGTTAGAGAAGGAATTTTCACAACAACTTACGTATTGTCTAAATCTATGACCGTGGCAACGTGAGATTTAATGTACCTGTCCCGTCGCAGAGTGCTTAAGTTCGGTTTTTTCGCGCGTCGATGATAGAGAACGGCACGACCGGTTCATCCGTTTACTGTCTTACTGCCGTCCCATAAGATATTAGGTATTCTTGACTGTACGGAATAGACCCGGTTACAGCTAGAAAACGACCACTATTGAAGCACCGCACGCTTTAGCTCTGTCGACCAGCAATGCGCAAGCAAGGCATATCCGCCAGGTTCTGCATAGAGGTCACGTGTTAGATCCGTTCAACCGAAGAGCCACGATCCAAAGGACCGTGTACGACAGTATGTGCCCAGGTGACGACGTGTTTGGGCCTTGAGATGCCTATTTCGAGTAGGGTATAATAAGATGGAGGCGATAATAATTATGCCCACCGTTGTCAGGCCTTGGATGAAGTAGGACCACTCCGTACACCAGCCCTTTCTAAAGAATCATATCTAGACTACAACCGCCGCGCGTGTAGAATGGCAATTCAAGGAGCATGTTCTTGGGATACTCAGACTAGCCGGTTATAAATGGTTTTTAAGAGTAGAGCACCATTCCAAATCTGCCAATAACAGTTCAGTTATCATAGACTAGTCCTTGACCCTATAGATCTGTGCGGGGTTAAGAGATAGGCATATCCAACTTCTTAGGTAGGTATCCGCTTCATCGCTGTCCAATTCCATGATCGAGATGGCATTATAGCTCATAAGGTCAACTTTGAGCCCGAGGTCTGGGATCGAAAAAAACATAGTGGCTTACGCCACTTTACTGTTCGCTGAGTGAGACTGATCCTCGCTGTGTTTCCATTGTGAGGAGTGAGGTCAGATCAAAGCATCCAGGCTAGGTTGTGGCAAACGCCACCTGACACGATATTGAACAAGTCCGGGAAGCATTTCTCCCTGGCTGGTTTGATGATGACATTGACCGTAGGGCACCGGTTAATACAATGCAGATATCAATCACTCTGGTGAGCATGGTATCCTTGAAACGTTCCCATCGACTGGTGTAGATATGCTAGAGCAGCAACTGAAATGGTCTTTCTCATCTGTAAGTGTCGCATGTTATGTCGTTTCATCACGTTTTTTTAAGTAAGAACCATAATGGGTGGTCCAGGTCCTTATTAATCGTCAATAGAGGTATCGGCGTCTAGAGTATGGCGGTTTAATGACATCGCCCATAAGGCCCTGTTGTTCTCATCCAGACGATATCTCCAGGTAAGGTAATCTCCATGGGTGAATGCACGGCATTTATTGTCTCTCCGATGTACATGGTTAGTATGCCAAGTCTACCAAACAGTATTTGGCCAGGGTACTAACGAGACCGAGAACGGAGCCCCTGGCAAATGATACCGACATACGAACTCGTCGTCTTCAGATCGACATGGCTGTGTCCAGCAGTGGGATGGAGGGGACAACTACGAGCGCAGTGGTGCTCTGCTTATTTACCGCCACAGTGATGTAGAAGCAAGCTGTTCCATAAACGCAAACTAAGCCGCGATCTGCTCCAATGAGATCAATGTTCAGCTGTTGCTTCAAAATTTGAGACGAAGGAATGATCGGCCTTACAGAACTGACGTAGTTGCAACGGGCGAACCTCCGACGTATGACCACTGGGGATGTCCGGCTATTCTCGAGCCATGATCGTCAGGATCCCCACGTAATCCCACACGCTTTACGAGTAACCAAACATCAGCACCAGGGATCAAAGAGTTTGTCCAGGATGACTAGCAGAAGATATTGGAAAAAAACCCAACAACCCGCTCCAGTCACCTATCAGGTGGAAAAGGTTCCGCTTCCGCTTTCGTAAAGAATGACACAGTCATGGTAAGATGCAACCAAGTTACTGCAAGTTGCACGACAAAGTAACAAATGCCGAACCGGGATGATTATGGTGTATACCTCGGGTAGACGATGCCGGGCTCGTGCCACAGGATATCCAAACATTCCGATATTTCATGTTGTCCTGTTCATGGACATGATCTTCCCTGGGTTTGGTACTCGGCAAGGTGAGGAGTCCTGGCTGTGGGTTATGACTAAAAACAATACCTAGCTCTCCAACGTGAAGTTGGTTCAAGGCAAAGTCGAGCCCCGCTGGAAACACATACTCCATAGTCATGTACGGAGTACCGGATGGGCACCTGGAAACTCACTTGACCCAAGCGGGGCTATCAAGCACTTCCGCCGATCCTTTCGATGTTCAGTAATACTCCGACACGATCCTTGGCCTGTCCATTTCTGTCAGTGTTTTAGCGTCGGACCTCGAGACAAGTGCGCAAAGATTTGACGTAAACGCGAAGAGGTGGACTTGTCGCTTCGAAAGACTCGAACGGATCTGATAAGAACCAGTGGGGACGTATTTCACCATTTTCGCACTTGTAGCAAACATCCGTTGGGCGTTCTTCGGGGGTTCATTTGTAGTTAGTAGCTTCCCTTCGTCTGTCACTTTGATGATATAGCCGACGTGGGATTCCATGGTGCTTCAGCGCAGGATCTAGTCCCCGGGTTGGACACATGTAAACCCCTCCCCTCACCTTGGCAATAACTGTATATCTGCAGGCCAATCGATCCTGGAATAAATTCGAAGCCTTCAACCTGGAACTATTGATACTTCAAACCTCTTCATGCGATAAGTGGACTCGTCCATGCGCATGATCCATATTTGTAGAATTGCTTTGTAGGGATACGAAGACACGAGGGAAAAAAAAAAAAAAGAAGCCGTATAGCTGCCCCACAGGGCTGGATGCATGATGAAACGGTGAGGTGTGGAGAAAGATGATAAGAAAAGAGTGAAACCAAAAGGGTTTGAAACGGGAAAAAGTCTTAGTGGAGGAAGAAGCTGCCTGAGGCCAGCGGCTCGTGAATTTTCCGCGCAACACAAGATCCGCAAAGTTTCTTCTATCCACAACAGACCAAAGATGACGAGTCCACGTACATTCCATCCGGTTTCACTCCAATTGAAGTTTCAATTTGTTTGAGACCTCATCGGTCTGGCCACTCTACTATTCATCATACTCTACTAGTGTTTTCCCGCCTCTGTTCAGCCGCCCTGACACCGTACTCAGCCACAGCAATTCGGCCGTGTCTGACTACGGAGTACGAAGTAGAAGGATTATGATCGTCGCGACTCCATGCAGAGAACAGTCACACCCACTACTCTCAGTGGGTCTAACGGATAACAATGTGGTATTCGCATAAATCTTACGTTAGCGGTATTCGACTGATTCTTATCAAACTAGCAGCCTATTTGACACTCGCACGGTCGTTTCAAGCCCATGGGCGAAATCCAAATAAATTCCCTATCCAAAGATCGTCGACTGTCCTTCCCGCGGTTCAACCAAGGTACTGTCCGGTGACCTCCAATGAGAACGGTAGGATTCTGATGGGTTCATATATGGTTCCCACAACAGAACTTTTCAGCCATGAAGGCTTCTGTGCCGCCGGGATACCCGGGGTGATTGGGTATCAGCAATACGAATCGTGGGCCAGGTCTCCACCGGCACAGAGATCTACGTTTTTAATCCCGTAGGATGAGCTAGGTTTGGGATTGAATGGGACCCGAAGCTGCCAAGCTCGAGAGAGCAATGATCGTCCAACATGTCTTTGAAGGGTGGCATTGTTCAGTTTTTATCCGACATCCACAGGACGGCCTACGGAGTACCGGATATCATATCATATCACATCATGGCAATATCCCTCTCAACTTTCTTTTGCTGAGGTCTCTGAGGTTTATGCATGACGTGCGATCGCCTCATCTTCTCTATCACCCCGTGATAGCAGGGTCAAGAGTATCTGTAATAGGAAAGTGAAGGCCATTCGCACTCCATGATCGACTATCATTGGCCACTACAACGGAATCTGAAACTCAGGATATCTCTCACACAGGGGTTGCTCATACCAATCCCAGTCAAACCCCGGCTTGCGGCAGTTAAACCATACCTAGTTAATTGTCAGTCCACCGGGCCTAGGTTGTGGGAAGCCAATACCGGTCAGTAGGTCTATCTCCTGTGGTGGTTGATTCATGGAAATTCCATGGCTCCACCATTGACGACCGTCCATTTTCTGATTCAGGTACCAAGGTAAGCGAAGCTGAATGTTTACAAGCCGGGATCCACAGAAACCTTTCCCTGATCAGTGACGCGAACCGAAGACCCTTCCCCCCTGGGTGGATTCGTACCAATATCTCGGCTCGGCGATGCTGTCAGGTCCCATAGCATGTAGTCTATAAAGGAAAGCTGATCTCCCCATTCTCGATGGGCCCTGGCAGTCCATCTCTTTCAATTGAATCTGGTATTCATTTTTTGTTCTGTGTCTTTTCTACTTTCTTTTTGATTCGATACAATTCATTCATTCTTTTCTAAACCAAAAAAACAAACCACATTCTTTCACCATGAAGTTCAACGTTGTCGCCTCGCTGGGTCTTCTGGGCTGCGCCCTTTCCCTGCCCGCTCCCATCCGCAACTATATCCGCCACCAGGGCCTTGAGGCGCCGTTCCCTCTGCCTCCTGGCGTCCTCCAGCCTCCCGGTGACTTCGCCACGGGCCTTCCCATCCCTACCGGCACCTCCGTCCCCACGGGCCTCCCGACCAACACGCCCGTGCCCACCGGCGCCACCTTCCAGAAGCGCGAGGCTCTGAACATTCCTGGTCTCACTGACCTGCCCTTCCCTTTCCCCACCGACCTCCCGACTGGTCTGCCCACTGGCCTGCCTACCGGCCTGCCCACTGGCCTGCCCACTGGTCTCCCGACTGACCTCCCGATCCCTACTGGCCTGTTCCCCACCGGCCTTCCCACCGGCCTCCCGAGCATCCCCTTCCCGACCGACCTGCCCATCCCGACTGGCCTCCCGACTGGCCTCCCCACGGGCTTCCCTCCTCTGCCCACTGGCCTCCCCACGGGCTTCCCTCCTTTGCCCACTGGCCTGCCTTTTGGCGCTTAAGTGGGTGTCAGTGACGGGATCAATCTGCCATCCGAGTGAAGCGGCGGTGGAATTGAGTGTGAATGGGGAAGATGCGATGCTAGAAAGTTTGTCACATATACTTGTCTTACATGGGATGAGGTTTCGGTTGATACATAGTTCCAGCGGTTCTAAACAGGCACGGGTTGTCTTCAGGAAGTTGGACTCTTCAATTCATTCTCTTATCTCTCTACATATACTTGCATGGTTTGCTCATAACGTAAAGTAGCAAGCAGGTCAAATCTGCCTCTTCAGCCTTACACTATGGCATATACTATAGCCCATAACCCTACGCACAGAAGCGAAAAATCCCCTACATGAGAATATCTCAATAGCTAGGTCAGTAAGTACCAAGGTCAACACAAACCCGCCGACCCACCACCACCAAGCCACTAGCCCTAAAAACGGACCATACTGTGTAGGCTTGTCGTGCCACAGCCATAATTCCCCATCACCCGGACGCCACCAAAGACTAATCCCACCCCCAAACTCACCAGACCAAAACCTACCACCGTCAAACACACTGACTCACAATCCCACGGCCCCTTTCTTTTCTTGTTTCCACCGACAAAAAAAAAAAAAAAAGCAATACATATATCTCGTCACATTGAGATTTAATATATGAGACGGGGCCAGAGACGGGATGACTGGTCTAGGCCCTACCGTGTATATTGCTTTATATAGCACCTACTATATACAGATTGTTCCTGTCGATTATGGAAAGAAAAAGAAAACAAAAGAGAAGAAAAAAGAAGAAAAAAAAAGAAAAGGAAAGAAAGAAAAAAGAAAAAGCGGGTTCAAGATCTGGGCCCGTGTTGGCAGTGGCCACGATCGGCGGTGATCTATCTCGAGCCGTTCTTGAAACGTGATTTGCACCGCAGTGTAGGGTGTTGAGTATTACTGACTGTTTGGTAATAGTATACTGATGTGTTGTGTTTTGACGTGGGCTTAATATATGCGTAGTGATTAAGTCGTTGATGAATGGGTGGGTCTGACTGGGAGTGGGACGGTTGAGGCGGGAATACGGATACTACTCTGGGAATACAGATCTGAGAATTGGTGCACTGTGTATCTACTACTCAGGTAGGTTAGGTTGGTAGAGATTAGAAACTTAAGGAAAGAACAGCAGCGTAAATCTCGACGACGTCTGTTAAATATCACATGCCTACTGGATTTCTCTCCAAAGGATACTTCGCTAGCGGTTCTTGATGCAGACAACAGTAAACCTTCGCTTCCCGTACTTACACATACACAGCCTCGACAGTCTCAAGTGAAAACGTCCGTCGCATACCTCTCCTTCACTTTCAGACCGTCGAGGTATGCTTCGGCCAGTGCGTCCTCGTCAGCCTCGGTGGTGACATTTTCGCCACGTTCCATCGCTTGACGGACGGCGTCTCGTTCCCGTTTCAGGTAAATGGTCTTGAAAACCTGGCGCACGCCATTGGCCACCCCAATACCGCCACACACGTAGACCCTCGCGCCGTGATCCATCAGCTCAGATATTTCGTCTCCCTGCGCTACCATCAGGTCCTGGACGTGCTGGCGGCGGTCCAAGCTTTCGGCCAAGCGTTGTGGGCTTGAGGCTAGAACGGGTGAGGAGGGTCCGGCAGAGGGATCAGCAGGGGACGATGGACAACTGTAGGCCCATCTTACTTCGACAGCCCCCAGGTGGGCCCAGGCGTCTAGCTCTGTGGCGTAGATGTCGTCTTTGCCTTTTGTGCGACAGCCAACGTACAGGATTGCTTTGGCGGGTTCTTTGCTGCCTGCTTCGAAGCCGGGGTTGTTGCGACGTCCAAGGATCCTCTCGGCACGGTCCATGATGAAGCCGCGGAAGGGAGCAAGACCGCTTCCTGCGCATATCATGATCATGGGTGTCTCTAGGTCCAGGGGAGGCCGGAAGCCCGAATGACATGGACGAACGTCGATTTGAGCGCGTTCGCCGGGTCTCAGCTCGGAAAGGTAGTTGGATGCAACTCCCTGGTGATCTTGAGGGGCGGATGCGGTGGGTGCGGTGTTAATCACAGAGAATGTGATGGTGCACTCGGATGCATTTGGCAGAGGCGAAGACGAAATGGAGTATTGGCGCACACGCATTGGTGGAAGCATGATCAAAAACTCTTCGAGGGGAATTTTGATGGAAGGATAACGAGTGAGAATATCTAGTGGGCTCACTCGTTTCTTCACAATCTCTTCCGCGAACGTGGTGGGATCGGACGCAAAATCCCTCAGTTGCGCCTGCGTGCTCGCATCTCCATGGGCTGCATCGGCCAAGATATTCAGGTCCCGCTTGGATGCTGGCTGGGAGAGCTCGACGTATGTCGAAAACAGGTCAAACGCCGACATAGGTGTCCCCAAGGGAATACTGGCAGTGCCATTGGAAGCCAACGTGAGCGTGGTATCCCACGAGAGGCCAAAGTGACGAATCGCGCGGCGGACAACATTGGCGGGATTAATGGGGAGCACGGCAAGATAGTCGCCACAGCGGTAAGCCATGTCTGAGGGTAGCTTGAATCGAATCATTCTCTTTTCTGGGACTCCCGGTGCTGTGAGAAGCTGATTCTCAAGGACGGTCCCTTCCTGCAATTGAAGGCCTAGAGTCGAAGGTCGTACACCTGAGCTAACTCTGACCTGCAGGGCCGACTTTTGACCTTCTCTACTCATGAGCTCGCCGAGACTCGACGCGATGGCAGGCCAAAGGTCAGACTCGGCCCAGCTATCGAAACTACTAAACATATCTGCGTCTGCTGCGTCCGCGAGTCCAAGGTCACATAATCGAGTTCCACCATGCCGAGCAATCAGAGTGTCGGCAGCCTTTGGAACACGGTGAAAAGTAGACTGCCAATCATCTGGAAGAGAATATCAGTCATTAGTACACAAAATGCTGGGAGGATGACGGATGGTTGAAGTTGAGAAAACGTACGATGACCACAGCCAAACACGGCAAATTTGGTGCCTTCTAGCTCATTTCCTTCCAAACCATTGAGCCAGTGAAAAAAATGTGCAGCATTGTCCGGAGGCTGTCCCTCATACGAGGCTGTTATGAACACGACAGGGCCGTCGCGGGGAACCTTCTGCATCGCCGAGTCCAGGGGCTTGACCTCCGCAGAGAAGCCATATCTGACAGCGTCGTTGGTTAATCTTCGAGAAAATGCCTCGCATGTTCCAGTATTGCTGCCGAAAAATATGTGCATTGGTCTGGTCCTGGTACTTCCAAACACAGACTTGTTTGCACGGCTGTCGACGACTGCCACGGATCTTTCAGTAGTCACATCACCACTACCACTCAAGGACATAGCCAGCTTAGTAGCATCTAAGCCACTGCGCAAAGTAGCTCCCATGTAAAAATCCCTGGGCTTGATCGTGAGCATTTGCGTCATCCGCAGCTCATAGTTCGGATCTTCCATCTGGAAATTGAAATTCTGGAACAGCAAGGCCACCACGAGCAGCATTTCCTGCCATGCAAATGGGCGACCGGTGCAAGCCCGGAGTCCGTTTCCGAAGGGCTTCCATGCATTCTTCGGTAGACTTTCGAATCCTCCGTCGAGCATTCTCTCCGGTCTGAACTCCTCCGCATCTGCGCCATACACCTTGGGGTCCATATGCAGCTTGCCCAGTACGACGACGATAGGTTCGTTCTTCCCTATAACGTATTTTCCGTCTCCAAGTGTGACCGGATCTTCTTCGTTTTTGGTCGGATGGGCGTGGAGTGCCATCAAGGGTGCTGTGCTTCTCATGCGCAGGGTTTCCTTCAAGGCGGCATCGACGTAAGCTAATTTGGGCAAGTCCTCCACCCTGACCTTCCGCTGTCCGATAACCGTGTCGATTTCTTCTTGCACTTTTTTGTACGCGCGCGGGGTCTTGAGCAGGAAGTAGAACAGGAACGATAGGGCACCGGAGGTAGTCTCGTGTCCTATGACAGCAACTGGGTTAGCGAGATTCTCCGGGGAGTCCAAAGTCTTCTTACCAGCAATCAAAAATGTGAGCATGTTATTCACAATTGACTCATCGCTGAGACCCTGTCCGGTTTGGGGATCTCGGCCCAGAACGAGAGCATTCATGAGGTCCTGTTTGTCTACGGGGTGGTTCCGTCGCGCAGCCAGAAGCTCATGCGAGAAACTGCGCATGTACTCGATGTCGACCCAGAACTTCTTATCCTCAGTGGTGGGTATGTTGCTGAGCAAGCTGTTCACCAATCCGGGTCGACGGGACCTGTTGCCGGCCACTTTCAGCATGTTACCCATAGCCTTGATGAACGGGTGAAGGTCTTCGCTGTAGAACGAATTGAAACGGATTCCCATAGAACAGAGGCCAACAGTGTCCAGTGTCAAGCGAGTGAAGTCGTCCGTGACCACAATGGGAACATCGGAACCCTGGCGCGCCCATTTCATGACAAGCTGGGTTCCAATATCGTACATGTCTTTCCCCAGTGTTAGACCTTCTGGGTTTTGGGAAGAATATTATAAGAACATGGGGTTACTCACCATCGAACATAGAGCGAATCATGAGGGGCCCAAAAGCTGGAACGAGAATGCGATGTGCGATAGCCCAGTTCTCCTCCTCTGGGTAGTTGGCAGTAAACAAGCCGTCTCTGACTCCATTTCGTAGCTCTTTCAAACCAGAAACTACGAACTTTGTGAATCTCTCTTCGTTGCAAACCTCGTTGGCTAGTTCTTGGGAGCTAATGAACACGAGGGAGTTTCCGGCGACGACCAAGCGGAATATCTGGCCTGGTAGACATGAGAGTCAGTATCTTATCCTTTCAAAAATGATAGATGGTCTTTTAGAAATTAGAGCATACCGTGTATATCTGCTAGCTCGTGCAACCGGTTCAAGGGAACGTCAGAGTCGAATTCCAACAGGTTTCCCAGGATCGGGACCCCTTTGGGCCTGGGGATTGGGACATGCCCTGAGTTGGTCATCGAGAATGTCAAGCAGTATTCTATCTTGGAAATGAACCCAGAAGGTAAAGCTGATTTGATTTTGACTATCACCGGGTACAGCCAGATGAGAAGATGCAGTGAGGATGATGGAGAATGGAAAGGAGAGTTAAAGGATTAATGGGATTGGTTGAAAAAGATGCAGAGGAGGAAGAGGACGGAAAAGAAGAAGAAGAAGAAGAAGAAGAGAAGAAGAGAAGAAGGAAGACAATAAAAGAGAGAGGGAGTGTGTCTGAGAGAAAGTAAACAAGTGACAGCACTAGTGATAGCTAAAAAGAAACTATAGTTGAATTCAGTCACTTGGAACATTGCTATTATCACTCTCTATCTCTATATAATTTACCAAGCACTTCTGACAATGCATGGAACTACATACGAAGTAACTTCCGGCAAAACATGGACAGTCACTCTTGGTTATCTGACTTATGCTTCATCTGTCCCATCACAAAGATTCAGAGATGATAAACCAGAGCATGGTGACACTAGCAATCCCAATAGTCGTCAGCATGTAACAGAAGAAAAAGAAGGTGCATGTTAAACGCCTCTTTGATGTAATAGAAGCCATTGTTTGGGTCAGTCCTAGCACTGTCTAAAGGAATCATCACTTTGACATCTTATTAAGATCAACCACTTCCGCTCGAACCCACTCTTTAAAAGTAGCAAACGGAGATGAGATACTCCGGTCGCAGGAAGGTTGCGGCGGATGAAACCTACCTCTAAGAGCGCAAGTACCGATGGTATCGCAGATGGGACTTCTCGTACAGATGCCTTTCGTGTCCAAGTCGGATAGATGGATGCGTGTTGGATGGGTTTTGCTATACTTGGGGTTTTTACTAGGATGGGATGATGACCAAACCGCTGGAGTTTATCGCCAATTGGCATGGTCTAGTATACTGACAGTTTCTTAGTGCTGAGGTAAACAGGATCTTATAACAGCTCAATAAGAATCAAACAGTGGAACAAACGGCAGAAGTCCTATCCAAAGAACCCACAGTAGGCAGTTTATAGAAATATACTTTCTCGCCTGATGTTTGGAACCATAAATGCTCGCTGAGATAGTGAAAGCCATTGTGCGACTGCATGAATGATGTGCCAGGCGGACTTCTAGAAGTGACCAAAGCGTTGTCTTATGCAACTACCCTTCGAGGGGTTGATACAAGCCACCAAGAAACATAGTCCTATAAACGACGATACAAGGGCGTTGAAGAGATCGCATTTGATACCAGGAGAATTGGTCTTTGTTCAAAGCAGCAAAGCACATCCACATCTTAATCCTCAGAACGTATAGCCAAAAGAGCACAAGACTGCAGCAGAAAATAGTGGGATTGGTATATACAATAACGAAAGTCTATCTTTTCCGAAGGCACGAGACCACCGATAGAAAATATAGATATAGTAAATAAAGTAGTAATAAATTGGGTATGATGATCGAAGATGGGAAAAGGTATAAAGATGGTGAGGAAGGTCAAAGATTCATTAATTCAACTGCAAATGCAAATGGATAAATAACGATCCAAGAGATTCACGAATTAGTCGATTGTGATTCCGGCGGCCAAGCCGCATGACTTTGTCCTGCAAAGCCGAGAACAAATAGGCACAATGCACGGCGGGTTTCCTCGGGAGGGAAGAGGGGGGACAATATTCGCCCCCCTTATGTTTCATGTCTGTCGTTGACCAAGTCGGGGGAGAGATTTGCATGGCTTGCGGTTCCAGGACTCGACTTAGTTCACCTGGGAGTAGCCATTGTGCCGCCATTCGCTCTGCCTCCAGTCCGATTGCGCGTTGCTCATCTCAGTGCGCTCGGGGCGCTCGTTATTCCAGTTGGTGTCGTCGAGGGCCTGTTCGAGACGGCCCTTTCTGCGCTGCCGGATGAAGAAGAAGATGAAGCCCGCGATCAGCATGGCTCCGACTGCAGCCGCACCGATGAACACGCCGGCGTGGGCGCCTGTCGGTAGGTCATCCCACTTCTCGGAGAGCGACTTGGGCGGAGGCTTGTTGATTTCTTCCACCGCGGTGGAGTTACCCCTAGGACAGTCAGTAGATGATCATCAGGATGGGGGCTTTTATGGCAGACAACATACTTGATCACGTTGATACTCTCCCACGAGCCCGAGTCATCCTTGTACTCGTACTCCTTGCCCGAGTGGAAATCTTGAATGCGCACGCTCTCGATGACCATGGTGTAGGGACCAGCATCATAGTCAACCTCGCCACCGGCCCACGCGATGACGCCCTCCTTGTTGTCCCCATCTCCGGCGGGCCAGATGCCGAAGCGGATATTGCTGGGCGTCTGCGGGTAGCGGGAGCCGTCCTTCGCTTCGGCGTATGGCAGGGTCCGGACGAGTTCGTCGTCAATCCACCACTCCAGCTTATCCTGAGTCCAGTAGGTGGTGTAGTTGTGGAACTCGGTGTCCGCATTGGGGACGTAATGGTATCCGCCACGATCGAAGGAAGAGTCGTCGCCTTTGCCGAAGTAGTTGGATTGCACTTCGGTGTTGTTGGAGCCGATCCACTCCCAGTCGATCTCGTCCAGGTCGTCGGACTGCAGCACCACACTGCTGACGATGCCGTTGCCCTTGGCCATCTTCAGGTGGGTCTCGACGACCCCAAAGAAGATGTAGAAGGTCGATTGTAACGTGGGAGACTGGAGCTTCTCCTTGATGGAGAATTCGGCGCCCTTCTCGGTCCAGTCGATTTCGCCATTGGTGGTGTTCCAGAGCTTGGCGTTCATCGTCTCATTGAAGGTCCACAAGTGTTCGGAGCCCAGGGCTGGGTCGTTGGGACAGTCCTCTTTGAGCGGGTTACAGTCGGACCATGTCTGCGCCGAGACGTGGGAGAGGCTAGCCAGCCAGAAGGCCAGCAGGTAAAAGAATGACATGTTCGTTTGAGACTCTGCTGTCTCTCCGAACTGTAGATAGATTAATCGAATTTCCGCCTCCCACTAGAAACTAGGATGGGAACCACGGTCAATCTTATCGAAGGAATGACTGATTCAAAGAATGAATGATGGGATGAGTGGCCAGGCGGGGGTGGAATGAATGGACATGCGAACGAGTCGCACGAGGAGAGAGGCCACACCCAAAGGAGAGTAAGGAACGGTGATAAGAGCGAAAGGTGGTGGATTGGAGAAGATGTGAAGAGGGGGAAAGAAGAAAGAAACCGGGGGAGGTCACCCATATCCCTTTAATTAACGCCCTCTCCAGTGGAGACAACTGGATTGGGTGGACTATTTTTTTTTTATTTCATTTTCTTTGAATTAGAATTTAAATTTTTTTGCAGTTATTATTAGTACGAAGTAGGACGATTCTTGTTTAATTCCGCTGTAAACAGAGTGTTTCTCACAGGTTCCAAGTAGGATTTTCTTGGGTGGTTTTTTCTGCAGTTCATTATACCACTAGTTTCCCGGCTAGTTGTTAAGGGGGTTTCCTGTTCAAGTAAGGCGTGTCCGGGCGGCGCAAGGGCTAGACTGCTTCAAGGTTAGCCTTCCCCTTGACTAACCCGATCTGGTAAGAAGCTGGGGTCTCATGTTCCATAGGCTAACTGGATCGGGTCAAGCGCGTGAACCTTGGAACCGTCCATGGACTCGACTGGACTCGACTGGGCCGTAGTCTATCTTTTTAGTCTCCTACACTGAACTCCATCCTCATCTAGCAGAATCTGCAGGGGTCTCCTGATTGATGGGGTTGATTGTCGTGTACTTGATGACTACAAAGTATATGATATACCCTTCAAGAAAAATGATGCCGAAGAAGAATAGAAAGGAAGAGGAAATATAAAGGGGAAAAGGACGGGAAGAAAATGTTCAACAAAATAAAATACAAGAAATAGAAGGCAAGCAGAAACAAAGAAAGATAGGGAGGAGAACTCTTGGCTGGTACAAGCGAATCTGACGATCCATCCACCGGGTGAGACTAGCCCCAACGCCCCCAGCTGTCTGCAGAGGAGCAATGGATCCCTTTATCGCAGGAGACGGAGATCCAGGACGGAGAAAAAAACAGGTTGGTGAATGCCAATCCTTTTAGGGCCCGAATCACAAATCAGGCCATCGGGCGATATCTCGCACCCTATCAGGTCATCAATAGTCCCCATTTTCCACTTTTTCAGGTACCAGGCGCATTCGCATTCTGGAATCTTCAAATTTAGAAAAGGGGCGTTACACAGGCCTGAGCATGTTACTCGGAGGTTATTTCCTCGACCTGTGAGATTCATGCAATAATCGACAGGAGGGTAGGATCGTGGTCTTCATCTTAGATTCAACCTACCAAGGATGTGGTGCACCTTGGATTTCGAATGCATCTGCCTAGTTATGTCGCCGACAGGGTTTTAAATTGTGGATATTGGACTGCGAACTCTCCGTATACAGAAGACCAAGTAAACGAAAAGAAGTTTGAAGAACCATCCATTGGAACGCCCTCCGGTTCTTCTGAGCAGCGGGTCCTTGAACGCCACTGATCCCGGAATAGATACATATCTCCACGTCTCTCATTACTCTAGGACATTAAAGGAAAACAAAACAAATCATAAGCCATTGACATCATGAACAGCGTGCATCCACATCGTGACTCGGCGGTACTCCGTACAAGGGAAAGGAAAGAAAGAAACAAGCGGGGCCACCACTCAACCACTTTTATTGCTTCCTCTGATTTTCGGGAACTGTGCGATCAGTTGAGATAGACCTTCGCTGGCCGTCGTACCGAACCACTTGGCTTCTCCACATACTCATATGTCGGACTGCGCCGACGGCGACTTCGATGGCGATGCCGTGCCTCCACGCCCACTGGGGTGGAATATTTATAGTCAGGGGAGGCCTCCCCGCGTGCTCCCGGCAGCTGACACAGTCGTATCAGCCACTGGATCAGGAGCGTACCAACGATAGTGCCAATAACAATGCCGGCGATTCCACCGCCGGAGATAGTGCTGGGGCACTCATTGGACGATGATTGGCGAGCATGGAGAATATTCGGCCGGACATTGTTGTCGAGGATGGGAGCCTGCGGATGACTGGTTAGTCGCACACTGTTCTGTCTCCGTGCCCGTGGTTCGATCCCCACGGGCGGTTTCGGGTCTGTTCCATGGATGCGACACCAAACTTACCATGGTATTTTCTTTTATTATTTTGGGGAGATTTAAGAAGGTACAACTGTCAACTGTGAGAACTTGCTGCAAGCACAAATTCCGAGCAATAAGCAAATTCTTTCTTCTCCGAAGAGAGAAGTGGTACATATAAATCCAGATCCCCGCTCAACCCCTCAATTGACGTCAAACACACGTCCTTGCGATCTACACTGGCGAAGCACTGATCTGGGAAAGAGGCGAAAAATCAGGCTGTACGATCTTCCATCTTCCAATCAATGAGATCGTTTTCCGATCGTCCTGGAGTGAGACAAGCAACTGGAGAGGGAGGTTGCGTTATCATCGAATCAGACTAAATATTAGTATCATGCAATATTCCATCATAGGCTCCCTGTTCTAGGCCGAGGACCCCTCGACGAAAGGTTATTCCAGCCGACATTGAGCATGCAAGATCAAGATATCATGTTGTGCCGTCATAATGGAAATTTGGCGCGGGGCCTTGTCGGCAATGCCGTCGCAATGCCATGAGGGGACACAAGGCTGTGGCGCACAACGCCGTCATTCCTTTTCAGCCAGTGACACTCTTGCGTGGATAAACGGATGGAATGCAAAGCATATATGAGCGCATTCAGCCAGTCGGGTTTTCAATGTCCATGCGAAATAGATTATGTTCTCGTATAAGCCCCCAGCTGACCGGCTCGCCTCACCGTCAGAAGTACAACCGTGCAAGTAGGTAGAGGCTTCGCCTGCCCGACCCTTGGCGGGTACAGCACCAAAAGAGCCTCCAAATCTTTCAGATAAGCACGCAGAAAGGCCTGCTCATGCTGCCGTGCGGATCTTACCAGAACCAAAGATGGGACCATGACAGCGTCAGATTATCCTCCGATGGAGGATCCCCTCCACTGGTCGTTGACGGATCGACCCTCCGGTCCTGAGGAGAAGCAGCTGTTGAAAGCGCAACTTCTACTAGCCCTATGGACGTCGACACCAGGCAGGGACCTCAGATCTTCCGACGCCTTTCTCGAGTACTATCTGGCTCAGCGCTATCTGATCAGAGTGTACGGCTTGAACCTCCAGACCCACGAGGACGTAATCAACCTGATCCTGTTCATCCGCGCGCGCTCCACCGTCCCCCGCGACGACCTCCTCGCACAGTTAAACAACGACCATTGGACCTGGCTGGGTCCCGCACCCCAATCCGCAGAGCACGCTGTAGAGATTGCGGTCGGCATCTGGCTCATGGTCGGGGTAGACGACTGGGCGGGTTCGCAAACACTACAAGAGTACGTTGCAGCGTTATTCCCCGACAAGCACGACAGCAGCGTTGTCACCGCGCCAGTGTCGCTCGAGTTCAACGCGTACAACCTTCACCGCATCGGCGGCTTTAATGTCGTCTGGACAGACTGCATCCAGGACCATCTGTCGCTCATCAATGACCAGACGCAAAAGGAGCTACGCGTATTTCACGTAGCCTGCTTCCTACAGTACTCCACGTACAGTAACCCTAACCAGTCAGTTTTCCCTTCCAGTTAAACCCCCAGGATTACTACTACAACTTTTGATCACCCCAGCTAAGCAATCATTCAAACCGCAGTAAGATATTCCCCCCCGGGTTCCTCGAAGAAACAATCCGAACCCTCGCCCTCCTCTTCCCCGCCGCCCACCTCGACTGCCGCCAATGGATACAAGGGGCCCAAGAGCGCGAGAACGTTGGTCTGGAAGCCGGTCTCCTCCTGCGGGCGCCCCGCGACCTGCGCAACTACCGATACTGGGGCCAGCGACTGCGGGAACTCAAAGACGAATATGATCGGACTGAGCCCACCACGATCAGACAGTGGGTGCTGGACAAGCGGAAACCCAACCAGCGATACACGTTTTGGATAGCGGTGGCGGCGTTGGCGCTGGCGCTGGTTTTTGGATTGATCCAGTCGGTGACGGGGATTGTGCAGGCGGTTGCTGCTGTTAGGGGGGATGGTTGAGTTTTCTTCTCGTCTTCTGTCTTTTATTTTTTTCTCTTTTTTTTTGGTTGACGGGGACTTTCTATGGGCGTCGAGTCAAGCAAACATAGGAGGTCGCTGCATTTCTGCTCAATCCCATATTCGATACAGATGGTTAAGGTTCAATTAATGCATATTCCATTCCCGTTCCTTATTGAGATGATGAACCAGTCCTTATGGATACATGGGCATAACACAAGGATACACATAGGACCCTGGAACCGAACACCCTGGGCCTTTAATGGAACTAATGTATCTTGGGACAGCAATTCGCCCGTCTACCAGATTATGAGCCAGTCTCTCGCCAATCTTTTCCATCGATGTCAACATTGTGGCGATTTCATACAATCTCTTCTTGGTGTAGTGTTTGGCTACATATGTTTTATAAGTTGGGGATACCAAATGGACTGTATCGTTGTTGTTGAATAATAACATCTGATAGAAATAAAACCCAGGAAATCATAGAGCAGCCTGAACCGTAAGGTCTCTAGATCGGTGGAAACTGGCCAATCGGAAAAACCTACCCAATCGGGCACCGAATGTCCGACCCGCACATGGATGACCACACTGAAAAATACCAATATTATTCACTCACCACCACTATCAAATCGTCCCGCCTCTCTGAAGATCCACCTCACGTCTTCTTCTCCTCCCACTTCTACCTCGAACTCCTCTCCTCCTCTCCTCCTCCTTCTCCTCATTACCGATTTCAAAATGGTTGCCGCTTTTGACAAGTGCGAGACCCGGCCGGCCAACATCGACGCCATCCTCGAGGGCCTGGACCGATATAACCCCGAGACCACCACCATCTTCCAAGACTATGTCGCCCAGCAGTGCGAGGACCGGACGTTCGATTGCTATGCCAACCTGGCTCTCCTGAAGCTGTAAGTCCAAGCGTGTGCATGTCTTGCTTGATCCTTTGCATTTTCCCCGAAAACTCTCCCCGCACAGAACGAACGCCTGCCTACCCCAGGAGGCTTCCTTTTTCGTTCAAAGAAAAGAAATATGATTATATGATGAAGAAACCTCTTTATTATCACGTTTCCTATTAACTGACCCTCCACGTGGGGGGATGTCGAGAATCGATTTTTTCTTCTGAAATACAAACCAAAAAAGCACTTCCTATCCACCACTTGCACCCGATGCAGACATTGATGCTAACCAATCTCAACCTCGCAAGCTACCAATTCAACCCCCACCTCCTCCAGGCCGAGACGGCGACCAACGTCCTCACCAAGGCTCTCACCGTCTTCCCCTCGCCCGCTTTCTCCCTCTGCCTTGCCCTGCTCCCCGCCTACACCCAGCCCTTCAACACCGACGGCCAAGCCGCCGCCCAGAACAACGACTTCGTCGAGTCCGTCCAGAAGCTCGCGCAGCTATCCACCCTCCTGGAGTCCGCCCAGTATGCCCAGTTCTGGTCCACCCTGAACTCGGACGACCTGTACGCCGATCTGGTCGCCGACGTCGCCGGCTTCGAGGAGCTCGTGCGCATCCGCATCGCCTTCGAGATCGGAAAGACCTTCCGCGAGATCAGCATCGATATCCTCGAGCAGTGGCTGGATCTGCGCAGCCGCGACGCCCTGGAGAAGTTCGCTACCGAGGTCTGCAGCTGGCAGGTCGACAACGCCGCTGGCGTCGTCCGCGTGCCCACCAACAAGGAGAACGAGGTCCGCAGCGAGGTCAAGAGCGAGCGCGTCGGCATCGACATGTTCGGCCGTGTGATCCGTAGAGGATTCGAGCAGGCTGCTTGAGATTTCTCTTTTTTCTTTTTCCTCTATTCCTTTTTCATATCAAATGAGGGGGATTCTGCATCCCCTCATTGGGAGGGGGCTACCTGAGCCCGAAAAAGCATATTCCATATCTTCTTTTCTCCCACTTTCTTCTTGATCATAATTGTTTTTTTACTGGCTTGAAGATCCACGGATCAAGCTTTTCATGTTGTTTACTCTATTCTTTCATGTGTTGTGTTTCCCCCCAAGGTCCTGCCTATCAAGGGCCGTGTCCAATTTTGGAACCTTTGGAGCCCAGATGATGACGGGGGAAGAAACTAGACTCAATCAATCAATCAATCAGCCCAAGGGGATGATGGGAAGTCGGGACCTGGCGCATCGGGCGTTTTGTGTTTGCTTGCTTCGCATGACTTACGACGGCTGCCATCATCGAATGAAATCGTGGAGAAAATAATCAATCAAAAAAAAGACAAAAAAAAAACACTACTAAATAAAAAATGAATGAATGAAAGATAGACAAAAGAAAAAGAACCTACCCCTAAGTAAATTCACCCCCCCTCCCCCCCCTTCTTGTCTCACTGGTTATTACCAGGGCACTGGATGATCTATCAATTTTTCTTCAAGGTAGCCCTCAATATAAAGCAAACAAAGTCATATACATACATGCACCTCAGTCTTACTTCTATTTCGTTCTCCGCTGGACTTGACGGTTCTAGATTCCTGTCTTGTGTCTTTTGGCTGTTCCATGGCTGGTCGGGTGTGCAAACACACCAGTGTCATACTGAGTGGACAACTCCGTAATTGTTGTCGCATGTAATATTGCAGATACTTCACTTTAGTATAATTTACAGGGAAAATATCAAATCATGAATAATCATGAATCATTAATTGTTCTAACTACCTCAAGGTTGTTTGAGGGTAATAACCAAAAGCCACGTGAGCCCTGGTGTGTCCTGTTGAAGAAATGTGTTGAAGAAACCATCCCAGTGCTATAGTTCATGCTGATGCATATCCATGTCCCATGTTGAAAAATCAGACCTGTATAAACCCCTTAAAAACGCAACCCAACAATCCATTTTGGTACTCGCATGATGTTGAACTCAAATCAACAAAAGAAAAACAAAAGGAAAAGAGATAATTTGAAAGGAACATAAGAAAAAAAGTTACAGCTCAAACCCATTTAAACGGGCAGAGGGAAGGTGCTAGCCCAGGCGGCAACCTCCTTGCGCAGCTCCAGGATCTCGGGAACGGTCTCCGAGGCAACCTTGGCCTTGAAGTCCTTCTGCTTGTTGGCCTCCTTAGGGAGCTCGCTCTGGATCTTCTTGCAAAGCTTGACGGTCTGGTCGATGTAGCGAGCGATGCGCTTGAAGTCCTCCTCACCCATGCCACGAGAGGACATGGCAGGAGCACCGATACGGATACCGCCGGGGGTCAAAGCCGACTTGTCACCGGGGATGGAGTTCTTGTTGCAGGCGATGTTGATCTGCTCCAGAACGGCCTCGACACGAGCGCCGTCCAGGGCCTTGTCGCGGAGGCTCAGCAGAACCATGTGGCTGTCAGTGCCGTCGGACACGAGCTTGTAGCCCAGGGTCTTGAACTCCTCCTCCAGGGCCTTGGCGTTCTTGAGCACCTGCTCCTGGTACTGCTTGAACTCGGGGGTGGCAGCCTGCTTGAGGGCAACCGCGAGGGCAGTGATGGTGTGGTTGTGGGGACCACCCTGGTGGCCGGGGAAGACGGAGAAGTTGATGGGACCCTCCAGGTCGTACATGATGTCCTTGCCGGACTTGGGGTCGGTGCTGCGCACGCCCTTGCGGAAGAAGATCATGGCACCACGGGGGCCACGCAGAGACTTGTGGGTGGTGGTGGTGACAACATCGGCATACTCGAAGGGCGAGGGAATGACGCCAGCGGCAATCAAACCAGAGATGTGAGCCATGTCGACGATGAGATAGGCGCCGACCTTGTCGGCGATCTCGCGCATGCGCTTGTAGTCAATCAGACGGCAGTAGGCAGAGGTACCGGCAACCAGGCACTTGGGGCGGTACATCTCAGCGTTCTTCTCCAGAGTGTCGTAGTCGATGATACCGGTCTCAAGGTTGACACGGTAGGGGAAAGTCTCGAAGTAGGTGGAGACAGCGGAGATCCTGTGCGAGGAACTTGTTAGCCATGCTAGATCTGGCAAACCAATCCCGAACTTTGGTCAACTTACTTCTTGGAGGGAGTCTGATAACCGTGGCTCAGATGGCCACCGTGGGGGAGATCCAGACCCATGAGACGATCATGGGGGCGCATGAGGGCCTGGTAGACCTGCAGGTTGGCAGGGCTGCCGCTCAGGCACTGGACGTTCACACCCCACTTGGCGGGGTCGAGGTTGAAGGCCTTGAGAGCACGAGCCTGGCAAGTGAGCTCAATGGCGTCGATGTGCTGGTTGCCACCATAGTAACGAGCACCGGGGTAGCCCTCGGAGTACTTGTTACACATGGGAGAACCCAAGGCGTCGAAGACGGCGTGGGAGGTGAAGTTCTCGGAGGCAATCAAGACCACGGATTCACGCTGACGCTGGATTTCTTTCTCCTGTAGAAACGGTCAGATAAACCAATCGCCCGATGTATAACCTGTCAAAGAAACGTACCATGATCTGGGCGATCTCCGGATCGCTCTCAACGAGAGTCTTCTCCATTTGCTGTTTGAAATGAGTCAGAGGTCCAGCTGTTACCTATACAGGATGGATACTCACCTCCCGGTGGGACTGCGACAGGGCGTAGGAGGCCATTGTGAAGAATTGGCTGTACGAAGACGGTGAAGGGGGAAAGAGGTAAATATGGAACAGAGTAGGATAGAAGAATATGAGAGGAAGAGGAAGAGAAAGAGAAGAAGACGAGAAGAAAAGGGAGCGCAGATGAGGCAAGCTAAAGGTGGGGGAGAAGGAAAGAAGGAGGAAAAAAACCAATCGGTCATCAGGTGGGGGGGGTGGTGGCCTCAGGAATGAATCCCGTCGAAAATTCTGCCGATTCCACAAGACGACATCGGAGGGATCTTCCTGTGGGTGCGATTTGGTTGGAAGGATCTCCCTTGCTTATTTTTTTTTGTTTTATGAAGTTTTATCCTATTCTTTTATTTAAGCAATTACCATAGCTGAGTTCAATATCCATTATAGTATTCAGGTTAATATAAAGGAGGGTATCTATGATGCCGTTTTTCAAGTCGTGCTGTAAATGCTTCGGGCCCGATGGTCACATGACAAACCCGCGGAGATCGGGATGTGTCCGTATTCCGTTATGGTTTGTACTGTGGGTCGGGAAATGAATTAGGTTGATCCGATCAATTTCAGGTCAAATTGAACAATGCGTTCTGCTTCCTTATGGTTGGGACTGATTGCTGAGGATGGGAACTGGGGACGGGAGTGACAACAGGGGTTTAACAGTCCCCGCACCCAGATCCCGCGTAGAATAATCCCACACTTCTTGATTGGGCTTTCTCTTGTCGACATGATAGACCGCTGAACTGCCTGCACCTTCAATACAGAAAGAGGACTTGTCTTCCCATGTTCGAGCAGGGCCCAGTGAAGAATCTACCACTTCCAATTCCCCATCTCGAACAGGGCGACGGAGGAAGCAAGTCAAACCCACCAAGCGGGGCCATGTCTGGGGAACTGGCATGAAATGGGCAGACCGGTGAGGCTAGGGGCTTCCCCTTCTCTGCATGGGAAATTGGCCTCCCATAGGTCGACAGGTCGACACCGTCAGAAGAAACTGTGCTGTTTCCTGATGACCTATTCTCAGTGCCCTGTATTCTCGGCCCTGTATCTCGAGGGTCAGTCCCATGGCTGTCACCATCCAATGTTCGACCGATGTGTCCCCATCGTAACAAAGCGAGCCTTGCTGGTCATCGAAAAGGGTGTGGTTGCTTGAACATCAATTTCCCAAATCTGCTCTCCTGCCAAAATCGGAAATGACCGACTTGAGCCTTGAAATCCGATCCTCCAGCTCGGCAATTTCTGCAGTCTGCTCCGAAACCGAACGCTGCACGTCAGGCAAACTGTCCACCACCCCGTATGCCTTTTGTATCCGAATCTTGATCGAACTAGCTTCGGTGGGCAGATCCTTAAGGTCCAACGGCGGAGGCGCATTTGACGCGAGGGCCGCTATCTCTGCCGCCGCGGACGCGCTGCCGGGGACTGCAGAGGATGGACCGGGTAATAAACCACCATTGCTGCCGTTGCCGGTGCTCGACTGTTGTTGCGATTGACCTTGTGCCTGCTGCGACGGAGTCTGACTGGGGCCCGCAGCCGACGATAGGCCGGCCGCACCGGTGGCCCCTGTGGTGTCTTCACCCGCTCTGGTACCGTTCGACGGTCCATCTGCGTTAGCGTGCGGGGAGAGGAGACGAAGCAAGAGACCGTGCAATGGTGGGATAATATCAAAAGTCTGGGGCGGAGGGAAATCAACCGGTTGTTGGGGAGGCTGTGGGATGGGCGTGTTTATTGTTGTCTCCTTGCCAAGCCCAGGCGTACCCGGGACGGATTTGGGCAGTGGAGTCATCGCCGTTGGGGATCTAGAGGCCATTGCGGGGGAGAGGAGAGGGGGGAATGTCAATTGACCGGAAGGAACAGGTTCTGGACGATAAATAGGGGAGGCCGATTTCCGAAGAATAGGGTAATTGTTTAGGGAAGAGTCGGGAAGACCGGACGAGAACGGACGTGAACGGGAAGAGGAAGAAAAAGAAGATTGGGGGTGAAGTGACGTCGGGGCGGTAAGGTACGCCTACTACAAAGCGTCACCGGGAGCGCCTCAAGCTACCCCTCCCCCGCCAAAAATCGGATTCTTTTTCTCCTTCACCTTTTCCTCTTCCTCTTCTTCTCTTCTCTCCATCTCTTCTTTGGGTTTTTCTATACATCATCCTATTCCATTTCTCATCTTTTCTGTAAGTAGTGCTGTCTTCCCTTCCTACCCCTCCAAAGCTCTTTATACTCCGCAATTTCAATCTTCGTTTCGCAACTGACCGCGACTACAGGGGTCCATTTTGACATCATGGCCAAGGTCGATCACAAGGTCGCTCTCAGTAAGTTCAATTTCCTCAATGCCCCATCTACGCCCATCTCGGACAGTGTTCTAACCTCCCCCTCTAGTCGTCATTGACGGATGGGGCGTGGCCACCGAGAAATCGCCCAAGGACGGCAATGCGATCGCCGCCGCCGAGACCCCCTTCATGTCCGGTTTTGCCGAGGCCAACTCCAAGTCTGCCCAGGGCTACACTGAGCTGGACGCCTCGTCGCTGGCTGTTGGTCTGCCCGAGGGTCTCATGGGTAACAGTGAAGTCGGTCACTTGAACATCGGTGCCGGTCGCGTGGTCTGGCAGGACAGTGTCCGCATTGACCAGACCCTCAAGAACGGCGAGCTCAACAAGGTCGAGAACATTGACAAGTCGTTCACTCGCGCCAAGGAGGGCAATGGCCGTCTCCACCTGCTGGGATTGGTCTCCGACGGTGGTGTGCACTCCAACATCACGCACCTGATCGGTTTGCTCAAGGTCGCCAAGGAGAAGGAGATCCCTCACGTCTTTATCCACTTCTTCGGTGATGGCCGTGACACCGATCCCAAGAGCTCCGCCAAGTACATGCAGCAACTGCTCGATGCCACCAAGGAGGTTGGCGTTGGTGAGATTGCCACCGTCGTGGGCCGCTACTGGGCCATGGACCGTGACAAGCGCTGGGACAGAGTCGAGCTTGCCATGAAGGGCATTGTCGAGGGTGAGGGCGAGGAAAGCTCCGACCCCGTCCAGATCATCAAGGACCGCTATGAGAAGGGCGAGACCGACGAGTTCCTGAAGCCCATTATCTTTGGCGGAAAGGACCGCCGGGTTCAGGGTAGGAGGACCCCCATACATCCACGACGCCTGACCATCGGCTGACGCTACTGAACAGATGATGACACTCTCTTCTTCTTCAACTACCGCTCCGACCGAGTTCGCGAGATCACCCAACTCCTGGGCGACTACGACCGCTCTCCCCGCCCCGACTTCCCCTACCCCAAGAACATCCACCTCACCACCATGACCCAATACAAGACCGACTACACCTTCCCCGTTGCCTTCCCTCCCCAGCACATGGGCAACGTACTCGCCGAGTGGCTCGGCAAGAAGGAGGTCAAGCAGTGCCACATCGCGGAGACCGAGAAGTACGCCCACGTTACCTTCTTCTTCAACGGCGGCGTGGAGAAGCAGTTTGCGGGTGAGGAGCGAGACATGATCCCCTCCCCCCGGGTGGCCACCTACGACCTGGACCCCAAGATGAGCGCCGCCGATGTGGGCAAGAAGATGTCCGAGCGCATCGCTGAGGGCAAGTTCGAGTTCGTCATGAACAACTTCGCGCCCCCCGACATGGTCGGTCACACCGGTGTTTACGAGGCCGCCATCCAGGGTGTGGCTGCCACCGACAAGGCCATTGGCGAGATCTACGAGGCATGCAAGAAGAACAACTATATCCTCTTCATCACCGCGGATCACGGGTAAGTTTTCTTTCAGGGTGGGACTTCTGTAGCGTGGGCCAACAACTAATACGATTTTCCTCAGCAATGCCGAAGAGATGCTCAACGAGAAGGGCACCCCCAAGACTTCTCACACCACGAACAAGGTCCCCTTCATCATGGCCAACGCCCCTGAGGGCTGGTCCCTGAAGGACGACGGTGTGCTCGGCGACGTTGCCCCCACCCTCCTGAAGGCCATGGGTATCGACCAGCCCGAGGAGATGTCGGGCAAGAACCTCCTGGTCCAGTCGTAAATAAACAAAGAAAAATGGAAAGAAAAAAAAAAAAAATATGAGTAAATAGACAGGATGGGCGGGCGAGTTTCATGAAGTCAATGAATCGTAATGGAGTTTGGATGAGATGCCTCTCAGAGGTGGCTTCAGAGAATATACTACATATAAAGGAATATTATCTGAGCTGATGTTTTGTTTGGAGTGTGTAGAATGGACCCATAAATACTAGCAATATTATGTATTGTTCTTCAGGGGTATCGCCTTGAACAAGTCATGGTAAAGGCAAGTTGTTCGCTTCAATGACTTGACGTCGTCTAATATTTTATCATCACGAACCTTTCCACCTCAGGACCACCAATCCTCCACTCCTATATCTCAGCAGACCAATTCACTTGTATGGGTCTTTCGAAACGGTTATTTCGAACTGCACTGTGACTCCTTCCCGCCTGTCCAGGACCTGGCCACTTCACGCTCAATGATGCTCGGGGAGCTACGAATCCGAGGTTGAAGCTTCTCTTGATCAGGGAATCAACCCGCAACCTCCGCACTCCCGAGACCCATGGACATTACCTTGGTCGGACACGCAGGGCCATCTCGTCTGGCAGAGCTAGGTAGTATGTGATCTGCTCAAGCAGAGGCAGAAGCCGCTGCAGCCTGCTGCGCCTGGCTCTGCAATTGGAGAACCTAGATAGCACCATCAGACCCCGCTTTTCACAAGCAAACTTGCAGCACCATCCCAAACGTAGACTTACCTCCGCGCGCTTGCTGTCACTCTGGTCCTCGTTTTCCTTGATCTGCCCCTCAATCCGTTTACTATCGCCTCGTTAGTAAATTGTCTTGTAACAAAAGTCACAGCGCAACGTACATCTCCTTGTCGATGAACTCTAACCGTCCCTTGACAGCCATGACCGCCTCGCTCTTATCCTGCTTCAGCAGAACGGGCCCGACGAGCTTGTAGATGTTGGATTCGTCGTCCAGCGAGTCGAACTCCTTCTGGACTCCTTCGTTCTCCTGTTGCTGCGATTCGAGCTTCTGGCGGGCATCGACCAGACCTTGCATGTCTATAGACCGGAGACGAAGTGAGCTTGATGGTGAGGGGAACAGCACGGGGGAGGGGACATACCGGTCTGGAGCTTCTGGAACTCCTCCGAGAGAGCTTGCATTCGCTTCTGAGCGTCCGCCATGGTGAAAGAATAGTTGATAATGGGGTCTGACACGAGAGATGGAGTGGTGCGTGAACGAGTCGACTTCAAGTTTCTCAGATAGATCGATACGATGATGGTTGGCGGGGCGAATGGCAAAATGGAGCGGAGCGGAGCGGCAGAAAAAGGGCCCCAAGAACGGGTAAACAAGAGAATGAGAGAAACGATCAACTTCTCCGCCCGCCGCCTTTCTTTCCCTCCATCTGCTCGTCCTGTCTTATCTCTCTTCTCCCCCGTCAGACTCACCTCTCGTTCTCCCACTATCCTTCCTGTTCATACCCAATCATTCATTTCCAATACTCCTAAAACTTCATTGTTCTTGACCGCTGTGATTTCTTGGACCCATCCCTACCCGCATTTCTCCACACCGTCTGCGAATCAGGCGTCTGCCATTTTCCTCCCCGCCTTCGATCATCCCTCCCTTCAAGACAGTCCTACGAGAGTGACGAGCAAACGAGCGGATATCAATCTCCAGCACGAACCCTGTCAACATGAGTAATACCGATTTTCTCGGGCGGGCGATTGATACGGTCAAGAAGGCGATCGAGCAGGACAATGGGGGCGAATACGAAAAGGCCTACCAGACGTACTACAGCGCGCTCGAGCTATTCCTCCTCGCCTTGAAATGGGAAAAGAACGCCCGGTCCAAGGAGATGATTCGCGCAAAGGCCGGCGAGTATATGGCTCGTGCGGAGAAGCTGAAGAGCCATTTGGATTCGCAGGATCGCAAGAAACCCAGCGCGGTAGGCGCCAATGGTAGTGTGGCGCAGGGTAGCGGAAAGGGAGGGTATGTGTGGACACTCTTTTGTCTCTCCTACGTGGTTCCGTTCCTATGACGAACGGCCAGGCTCATTAGGAAATTGGATATCGTGGGCTAACGAAGGACTTGTACAGGAAGGAAGAGGATGCCGAAGATGCGGATTCGAAAAAGCTTCGATCGGCCCTGGCAGGTGCGATCTTGACGGACAAGCCGAATGTACAGTGGGAAGACGTCGCCGGTTTGGAAGGTGCGAAGGAGGCTTTGAAGGAGGCGGTCATCTTGCCTATCAAATTTCCGAATCTCTTTACAGGGAAGCGACAGCCCTGGAAGGGTATCTTGCTCTATGGGCCTCCCGGTACAGGAAAGTCCTATTTGGCCAAGGCAGTCGCAACCGAGGCAAACAGCACTTTCTTCAGTGTCAGCAGTAGTGACTTGGTATCGAAGTGGATGGGAGAGAGTGAAAGGTACGGTGTCACTTACCATGTTCGAGGCGGAGCTGGGGACTAATCTCCTCTGCAGACTTGTCAAGCAACTTTTCAACATGGCCCGCGAGAGCAAGCCGGCTATTATCTTCATTGATGAAGTTGATGCGCTGTGTGGGCCGCGTGGTGAAGGAGAGTCAGAGGCGTCGCGTCGCATTAAGACAGAACTGCTCGTGCAGATGGATGGTGTAGGGAAGGACTCCAAGGGTGTCTTGATTCTGGGCGCAACCAATATTCCGTGGCAACTTGATGCTGCCATCCGGCGTCGTTTCCAGCGGAGAGTGCACATCAGCTTGCCGGATATTAATGCCCGGATGAAGATGTTCATGCTGGCGGTGGGCTCAACCCCGTGCGAAATGACCCAGGCCGACTACCGCCGGTTAGCGGAGATGAGTGAAGGCTACTCGGGTAGCGATATCAGTATCGCAGTCCAAGACGCCTTGATGCAGCCAATTCGGAAAATCCAATCAGCTACGCACTACAAGAAGGTATGGCCGTTCTCTTGGAAACAGAGACCGATATACGGTGGCTGACTCGCGTTACAGGTACTGGTAGACAACGCGGAGAAATTAACGCCATGCTCCCCTGGCGATGAGGGTGCCATGGAGATGAACTGGACCGCTGTAGACGGCGACCAACTCCTGGAACCCCCTCTCGTCCTGAAGGACTTCATCAAAGCCGTCCGCAACTCGCGTCCCACCGTCAGTGGCGACGACCTCAAGAAGAACGAGGAATGGACCAAAGAATTCGGTAGCGAAGGCGCATAAGTCACCTGCCTACCTCTCCTGCGATATTTGCTTTCCAAAAAGATGGCCAATCTGCATTACATCATACCCGTTGGGCTTGGTTACCGTCTGACGATTTATGTCCCTTTTTCTCTTTTTTTTTCTCCCCTTGCTTCTGCGGTTTGCCTCTGTTCCTTTTCCTTTCTTTTCTCGTCTCCCCTTCTTTGTGTGCTGGACTGGACAAAGGATATGACTTGTGCTTGTATGGAATGTATGGATATATAGGAGTTACTGGTGGCGTATTCTTATATCTATAAAAACATTCAAAGAAGCTTTCTAGGATACTTGATATGGCCCTAATTTGATTCAAACAATCTCATAGTAGCTTAATGGGTAATCCTAAGGTTGTCTGTCTATATAGATTATCTGCGAACTGTAATCTAACTATAGTCAACAGCAGTGGCAGACAATATACCTATAGCCAATCACATAACTGTCAACCATCGTGTCAAGAAGTATATACTCAAATTGCAATCACCGCGTAGGAAGACTTTATATAGCTAATATATACACCTGGGGCTGAATCCGGTTAGGTCGGGGTAAACAAATCTATGAGATGAAATTCATTTGAGTGAGGATACTCCTGTTTTACCTATGCTTTTAATCTATATATATAGTAATGAATTCTCTACCTGAAGAATTTATAGTATTATGATGTCTTCCACATGATCACATGCCACATCGGATGTATCCAGTTCTCATATAATTTCGTGGAGTCCTGTACGCACAGATGACCATACTAAAGTACGTATATATATTCCCCACAACCAGGCAAGTGGCAACTTGGTATGAAAGTCCTATGATGATATAATTCCTACAAGTATTATATTTGATTGAAGTTCACATCTCTTGTCATATTATTCTAATCATCACTCAAGCAAGAAATCAAAGCATAAACTGCATAGAAGGAGAATACCGGCTTATAAAACTATATGCATCAGGTTTCCAATATTCTCCGATAGACAAGTCAAACCCCACCAACACGCACACACATCCTGAGCCAAACAAACGCCAGAACAACAATGGTTGAGAATTGGCAGAGCAATATGCACACCTTACACAAAAACAAAACAAAACAAAAAAGCGCAATGGGGAATCTTGATCAAGGTAATGGCCGGCCTTAACAGGGAGCCTTCGAAGCAAAAGAAATCATGAGGGATGGATGGGGTTAGCTAGGTTATAAATCATCTCTCTCCTCCTGGGTAAAAGGGTGGAAGAAAGAGCAAGGGCATGACGGATCACGAGATGGCTTTATGAGAGCTCGCTCGTCTCTTAAGCAGATCGTTCTTGGCGCGTTTGAGACCCTCGCCTATTTTGCGGGCCTTCTTCCACTCCTGGCCCATTCGCTGCATTCGCACGATGGCCTTGACCATGGAGAGACCGGTTCGGAGCTTTTCTCGGGGCGAGCGGCCTTGGCTGCGGTTCTGGGACTTCACGCCCATCTCGGAGATCATGCGGAGGTCGGCGTCGTTACTGTGGGCGGGAGCATGTTAGATGACAAGCCATAGTGATAGTAGATAGAAACATTGAAAAAGAAGGGGAAATAGCGTACCAAGCGACTCTGACCCGTTCACCAAGCTCCATCAAGCCCTTACTCCAGGCGAGATCACGACGGAACTTCTCCTCGCGCTTCAACCGAGCGCGCAGCCAGACGATTTCCTTACCCAAGCCGAGGATCTCCTTGTCGTGTTTGCTCTTATTGTCGGTCTTTGATCCCAGCTTCTCCAGAACCTGGTTGTAGCGGCCCTGCGTCGCTTCCAGATCCTTGATCGCCGTCTCGGCCTTCCTTGCGCAAAAGGCACGTTCTTCGCGAATTCGGCGCGCCTGTGTCTTCAGATCGCTCAGCTGCGCGTCTCGCTCCGACACCTGCAGAGCCAGCGATTCGGCTTCGAGAGTGGACGACTTGAGCAGTTCGTGGAGATCCCGCTGGTCCTCCTGCCTCATTGCTACTCGCTCCAATTCTCGGTTCTTCGTCCTTAGTTCCCTGAGCGAGCGATGGGCTTCGGCTAATTGCTTTCGTAGACTCCGAAGTTCGCCATGGATCTTATCAGATGGTGACCCATTGGGAGACTGTGATGCAAATCGGTTCATCACAGCATCGTGGAGTTCCCTCTCCAGCTCGGCGATCCGTGCCTTGCAGTTCCGGACGGACGACTTCTGGTCAGCATCACGCTGGATGAGAGTCTTCTCACGCTTCCGAGCTTCATCCAAGCTATGCCGGAGCATCGAGAGGTCTGCGTTTGCGGTGGAGTGTTCGGGTTCCGCAGTGGGTTGCTGTTCAAGAAGGGCTTCGAGTTCATGCACACGACGCTCAAAGCGCTGGACTCTGCTCTTGGTTACAGCAAGCTCTCTGTCTCGTCCTCCAGAGGACGTGTGTAGCCGGTCCTGGAGCTGGTTGATCTCGGCGGATAATCGGTTCTCTTCTGAAGTTGCTCGCTCAATCTCGGAGCTAAGTTGTTTCTCAACCGCCTCCTTTGCTTCCAGCAGGGACGACTTGTCGTCTTTCAGCCGCTTAAGCTCACTTTCAAACCGCAGGGCAGACTTGCGAAGCTCGACCTTCTCCCGGTCAAACCGTGTCGTGTCGTCAACCTGGTGTTGGACTTGGTCAAGCTGGCCTTGTAGCTCGTCGCGTTCTGCCTCAATTTCAGCCAAGGAAGTTCGCAGGTCATGTAGCTCGACGTGAGCATTCGCCAACTGGTCCCGAAGCTTTTGCTTCTCAGAGATCAACTTCTGCACTTGGCCATCTTGGTCGGAAGAACCCTTCTGATTTCGGCCTTTGGCATATTCTTGCTCTTCTTCCAAGCTTGCCTGCAGGACAACAACCTCATCCTCCAAGCCCTGAAGCCTCTCCCTCACTGCCACCTCCGCTCGTTTGGCTAGGCGCATCTCTTCCTTGACCGAGAGAAGTTCGCTTCGCTGCTCGTCAAGCACTTGTCTCTTGGTCGCCAAGTCGTCGTTGAGCTCTTTTATTTGACGGCTCAGGACAGCCTCTGAGTTGAAGTGGCGTGCCTTTTCACTGTCGATGACTTCTTGGAGTTTTGACTCTTTCCCGGTCAGGGTGTGTTCAAGTTGTTCAAGTTTTTCGATGGTCCGTTTGAAGCCAGCTGCCTGGTCCTCGGCTCGGTCCTTTTGCAGCTGTAGGGCCCGTTTCGTACTCTCCCACCTGTCTTGTTCAAGTGCGAACTGGCCTTCCTTGTCTTCAATCTCGTGGTTAAGAGCATCTATCTCTTCCTGTAACTTCTCGATCTCATCCCTGTACCCGACACGGGCGGTATCCACATCGTTCAATGCGTGTTGTTTCTCGTCGTGAAGGGCGTCCTCGAGGTCCCGTATCTTGGTCTGCGCCCGAGCCAATTCGTGCTGCAGACCACTAGACTCCTCTGTTAGAGCTTGATGCCGAGTTTGAAGAAGTTCCTTTTCATCCGTCCGATGTTGCATTTCTTCTAACACTTCTTGTAACTGGGCAGATAACTGGTCTCGTTCTTGCCGAACCGATTCCAGTTCAAAACGAGTCTGTGAAGCATTTTCATGAAGTTTGTCCTCATTGTCATTCAGGCTTTTTTGAAGGGTTAGATAACGTTCTTCCAGACGAGCTTCGTTGTGAGATTTGGCATCCAGCTCGTCCTTGATTGTATCATTCTCTTGCTGTAGAATTCTAAGCTCTTCTTCGAGTCTGGCAGTCTTCTCTTCCAGCTGCCGAGAAAGACCTTTTGTGTTGATAGATTTGTTCGCCATTTCTTCGTGCAGCTCTTGGAGATCCTGTTCGGCCTTCTCCTTGTCCTGTTCGGCCTGGCTTGCCACGTTATTTGCCTCCCTTGCCTCCGATCTCGCCTGATCGAGAGAGTCTTGTAGATCTTCCATCTGCTCGTTGGCCTGTTGAAGTTTGGACTCAAGATCTGAGAGGGCGTTATTGTCTTGATCATCCCGATCCTTCAGGTCTTCAAGCTGCTCGTCGCGTTCCTCAATGATGCGCTCCTTTTCCCGGAGGGACGCCTCCAAGTCTTCAATATCGTCCCGCAACTTGTCGACTTCTCGAGATTGGCGATCTTTGGCTTCTCGCAGTTCTTCTTGGAGCTCCCGCACTTGGCTCTCTCTCCCCTCAATCTCCTCGCGCATCAGATCCAGTTCCCGTTGGATGGTATCATCTGTCTGCCGCCTCCGAGACTTCTCTCTGAGATCCTGGAACTGTTGGCGATATGATTCTAGGTCACGTTCGGCCTGTTGCAAGTTCTTCTTATATCGGGCGATGTCTCGTTGCATGGTGAGTTTCGACACCTTGAGTTCTGTGTTCTCTCGCAGGGCTGCTTGATTGTATGCGGGGCCGGCCTTTTCTATCTGCTCTTGTAAATAGTGAATCTTCAGCTTGAGGCCAAAGTTGTCCTTATCCAGTTTATCAATCATCTGAAGAGGTTAGTATCCATTGCACGAAACTAGCAACAGAAAATCCAAAACCATTCACCTTTTCTTGTTCTTTGAGGGTCATCATGTTTTGCCCATCGTTTAGTACTCCGCCATCTCGGCTGGCTAATCCCGGAAGTGGCGTGCTTTGCACGCTGCTGCTGGCAACCTGCGGAAGCGGTGTTGGCTGATCATCGGTCACATCTTCCTCGTCGATCCCAGTCATTTCCATAGGAGGCAATCCAGGGGTGTTGATATTGCTCCGATAGCTCGCTCGCAGGTAGGCTGGGGTCTTGGGGGCGCCGGTGTTTTGTCGCATCGCGGAGAGGTTTTTCATATAGTTGTTCTTGGTAGCGCTCTTCATCATTGGGGTGAATTCGCCTTTCGGGGGAGGGGCGGAAGGGAGTTGTTGTCGGTTATTCAACGCGCTTCTCGACGAGGACTTGGGACCAGCACCGGCACGCGGCGTGCTCAGCCGGAAACCCCCCGAACTGCGTCTTCTGCCATCGCCGATGACCTTGAGGATATCCTCCTCCTTGGAAGGGGTCGCGAACGAGTTTTCGACTGAATCGAGCGCGGACAGGTTGTTCCGCGTGGCGCTTCGAAAGCCGTTGGTCAAGTAAGTCGCGTTTCCGTCGACTTCGGTGCGCGGGGTGTCAATATACGGCAACGCCATGGTCGCCGAGGACACACGCGCGACGATGGATCAATGGGTGTGTTATCCGGAGAGAATGTAGGTTGAGTTCAGAGAGCAATCATGTCCGAGGTATTTCGCGTCTCCAACTGCAACGACGACGAAGGGAAAGAATCATGAATAATCGGGATGGATAGAGGCAATGACCCGTGTTTTGGGCGGTGAGGATCGACATGTTGACATTCATCCCAATCGGGACTAGCGCCCGGATTCCCCATCGGGCCGGTCTAAAGTCGCGTTTGCATAACTTGCTGAGTAATTATGGTGTCATTGCTTTGTTCATGGGGCGAATGTGTTAGACACCACGAGTCTGTTTGCCACACACACACACCCAGGCCCATGTTGCAGGATATCAAATGAGCCAGATCCACTCTGCCTCGGCTTGTGCAGTACACAAACCAGATGGGATAATCGATCGATCTAGAAAGAAAATTCGCCGCTTATCTAATCTAATCAACCATGGGCTCGATCACGTGGCGACGGCGGGGTTATCTTATCGGGGACTTGTTGCGCCTCCTCCCCTCCTCTTCTCTCTCACGCCTTCATCTTCCGCCACGTTCTTTGTGATTTTCTCGCCTTCTAGCCAGCTCTCACCAAAGGTCTCCCACAGCTGGCTTTCTGGGGCTTTCTCAGACCATCTGAACTACTGACAACTCAGTTCCACAGGGTCTAGTACGCTTCGGCCAAGTACTGATCTAGTACCGGTATTCGTCGAGAAGGGAGACAGTTGCCTCAGGTGGTTTGGGTCATTCCTAGATATAAAGAAGACCGGTTTCATTTGAGAAACACAACGGGCGGAAGAAAAAATACCGTCATCTTGGGTTTAAGTTCTTGTATCGCACTTGTTCAAGATATCGACTGCAAGAAAATGGCAAGTCCAGCCCAATGCTACTATTGTTTCGAGACTCTCGCGGCGTCCTTCAAAGGCCTCGAGCCTCCCAGTCTTTCGACCGTGGAGGACCTCGGGGAAAGGCACGAACAATTTAAAAAGCTAGCCGCTTTGCAAGACAACATGGATGGCACCATTGACGAAGACGACGATCCAACCAAATCTGACTACGCACCAGCCATCAAGCCACCAGGTGTCCGCCGGCTTCAGAGTGAGATGTCGTTAGATTCTAGCCCATCGAATTCCCCGTCTGAGATGTCGAACAATTCGTCACACTCGGCCCTATCGAACTTGACGGGTAACACGACGCCCAGCTCTCAGTCTCTTCAGCCAGAGTCGGCAGGTCACCTTGCCCGCAGGGAGAAAACTCAGCGGTATCCGTTGTTTGTCACGTGGAACACCATCTCGAAGAGCGGCCACAAGTCTCTGCGTGGATGCATTGGAACCTTCGAGGCGCAGGAACTCTCTGCTGGCCTCAAGTCCTATGCCCTCACTTCGTAAGTACTAATATATGTCCCTTGACATGGCTGAATATGATAGGATCTTTCTTTCCCCTTATCCCCTATCACAAGAAAGTAGCCAAAAGACACTGACAGCGTGACAGCGCTTTTGATGACACACGGTTTTCCCCGATCCCGGAACAGTTGTTACCGTCGCTGTCGTGCTCGTTGACACTGCTGGGAACGTTCGAGCCTTGCACCAACGCCTTAGACTGGACTCTGGGCGTGCACGGGATCCGTATCTCCTTCATCCACCGCGGCAGACGGTACGGTGCCACCTACCTCCCAGATGTCCCGGTGGAACAAGGCTGGACCAAAGAAGAGACAATTAAAAGCTTGATGCAAAAAGCCGGCTGGGACGGAGCCACCGAGAACGCTGCGCGGAGGTTCCTCCGAGGCAGCAGCAGCAGCGCCGCTTCCAGCACCGCCCCCACCAATCCCTGGGACCAGGTTTCGGATTTCCGTGCTGTCAAGTACCAAGGTCACAAGGCGTCGGCAACCTATGCGGAATGGCAGGCCTGGCGGAAGTGGGTTCTGTCTCTGGAAGACGGAAGTGACAAGCTTTTGTCTCCGGAGGCCTGAGGCTGACAAGGGCAAAGAGCTGTGGTTGTCGTTTTTAGTTGATCTGAAAATGCCATCTACAGCGACGTATTTGACGATGTGACGGTGTCTATGAGGACAGTATGGAGTTTTTATGGCGTTTTTCATTTATTGGGCTTGCGTTATATGGGCAGCAGCACTAGACACATTTCAGGTTTCCTAGATGTCCACGACTGTGCATGTCATTGCTTGACTTTAATTTAAGCGTTTTTCTGTATTCCAGAGAAGCTGTTAAGTAAACAACCTCCTCCGTACAATACTCTGTAGACCTTACCTACCTACAATATAAAGTCTAAGAAACCACAACACGCCTAGTGAAATGGCTTGCGGTTCTCCTATCTGTCTCTGGCGAGCTATCGCCTGAGGCTGTTAGCCTATGCGGCTGAGGCTATTATATTAGTACAGGCGAGATCAAGAACCCATGGGCTGGGTTTGTGGAATAGTTTTTATGCTAATCTAGAAGAAAAATCTTAGTATCAGTGCTGCCTTTGAGACCAATCTCGTCATGTTTGTTTGGTATTCCAAAATGCTAGTAGTATTCAGCAGAAAAGACAAATATGCTAAATAAAACCCGCTTGGGAAAAAGGGGAATGGGGAAGGAAACAAGAAAAAAGCATAAAAGCATCTCCGCTACGTCTATATGTTCATGACTCTCTCTCTCTTTCTCTCTGTCTTTCATTTCTTTCCAGACCGAGTCCACAATCCCGCCACCATATCTTTAACCCGGCGTTCCTGGTCGCGAATCTGTTGCTCTGTCTGGCCGCGGGCATCTCCACGACTGTCGACTTCCATGTTCTGGTCGTACACTTGTCGCGGCGGGGTAGGGTGTTGCTCCTCCATGACTTCGTTTCCGTTTACCCGCTCCGGCTTGGGGTCAACGCTCATGACGCCGTCCATCATCAAGCCGCCACCTTCGCGCAGTTTGTTGATGGCACGGACGGTATCGATCGCTTTGTGGAGCGTCCGGCGGGCGTTGAAGTTCTTCTTGACCGTGGGAAGGAGGTCTTCGCCGGTGCCGAGCTCTGCGGATGGGTCGTAAGGCGGGTTGACCCAGGCATGTTGTAGTGCTTCGTGGGCGGTCATGCGCGCATTCGGCTCCACGGTCAGGCATCGTTTGATGAAGTCCCGGGCGCTCTGAGACACTCCACGCCAGTACTCCAGTGGTGTGAAGGCGTAGTCAGCTGCAAGGATGGCCTGCATCTCTTCCAGGTTTGAGTCGCGGTCAAAGGGAGTGTATCCGCAGAGCAAGAAGTAGGTGATCACGCCAACAGCCCAGATATCCCTAGTCGATTGGTTAGTCTACTCAGTATAAAGTTTATGAGTTAATGAAATACATACACTGGCTTCCCATGGCCGCTCTTCTTGAATATTTCGGGGGCCATGTACCCCGGAGTGCCACAAGTGGTGGTTAGGACGTGGAATTGCTCCTCATCCATAATACGCGAAAGGCCAAAATCCGCAATCAGCAGATCCGCGTTATCTTCCGGGGTGCGGAATAGAAGGTTCTCGGGTTTCAAATCGCGGTGCACGATTCCGTGATCGTGCAGATAGGCCACTGCGGACAGGATTGCGCGTATGAGATCAGCAGCATCCGACTCGTAATAGCTCCCCTTGCGACAGATGCGATCGAACAGTTCCCCACCCAGCGCAAGATCGGTGACTAGGTACACTGCAGAGCGACAAAGTAGTTAGACACACCCGTCCCAAAACCAACACTAGCTTATCAGGGAGAACATACGGTTGTTCATGGTCTCGAAATAATCCACCAATGTCAGGATATTCTGGTGACCCATCGACACTCTCTTCAGGATGGCGATTTCATTCCGAACCTGCATCCACCCCAATGTGGCATCGTTGTCAGTCTCTGTCCATGGGCGTACACATTGCGGGGTGGTAGAAGAAGACGTACCATATGTTCTCGTCCCGCCATCAATCGCTTATTGATCACCTTAGCCGCATAGTACTGACCGGTGTCAATATGCACGCATTCCTTTACCACCGAGTACGAACCGGCGCCCAGTGTCTTCCCCGTCTTGTATCGGCAAGGCTGGACCTTAGGCCGGCCGGCCGGTGGTGTTTGTGCTGCCATTTAAGGCGTCTCGAATGGCGTTGTAAGAGTGTTGTAAAGATGCAAGATGGAGAGAGCTCGATGAGATTTTCGCTGTCTCAGCGAGAGGAGGGAGAATGGGGATCTAATATCGTGTGTTGTCTATTTTCTAGTAGTGGTGTCAGAAACATAGCCTCGCGAGTTACAGCCTTGAGAAAAGCCACGAAATCACGAGATGGACCAGGGACACATAGCCCAAATTATCATGCAGAACATAAGGTTCCGGACTAACCGATTAGAAAGACGACCAACCGCGTGCCTTTACTGAGTGCTTGGGAGTCTTGCAACGGCGGCTTATGATAAGCAGCGAGTGGCTGACTGCGGGGTTGCGAGGGGAGGCTGATGTGATTATGGTGGGACTGCCAGATTGCGCTGGGAGACGGAGCACAAAGGACGTGAAAGCTTATAAGATAAAATGTCATTAAATAAAAAAGGAGGGACCAGTGTCATATGCAGGCTGAAGGAGGAAGTAACAGGGCCGCAGGAAGTGTGGAAGAGAGAGAGAGGTGGGTAAGTGGAGAGGGAGGCCTCAGGCTTGGCTCGGGCGGTTAGAAATTCGATGAACCAATTTTATCGATCGATCGACATTGATATTGTCCGACACTCTATTAAACAGAACATACTAACCAAATTGGTCTTGAAGTATTGATTTCTACTGTATGAGATTGTTCAAATAGTACAATGACTTCTAATAAGATTGACAAACGCCTAATCCAATGCAATCCCATCACATCCTACCTAACCGCCAATAACTCAGAAAACAATAGACATAGAACGTGATCATAAAGAGATAGGAGAGGGTCAACAGAAGCTAGCATCACATGTGCCCGAGGACCTCTCCCACCACAGTGTTTAGAAGCTGAAGTCCATGAAACTTGGCCACGCTCTCCAACACTCGCAGTTTCTTGTCCACGGCTGCCCGGTCCATTGTCTCCACCCAGGCCCCGCTACAGGAGCAATGCTCCATGAACTCGCTGATCTTCAGTCCACCGCACTTGGTACACTTGAGATCCTGCGTCGACCACCCGACAATCATGCTCTGGACCTCGCCGATGAGCATTTCTTCCTGCGCGAGCCGGTCGTACTCGGTCTGGCAGAAGGGGCAGCGCCACGGTTTACTCGCGGCCTTCCGTGTGTCGGTCCCCGGGTCCGGTAGCAAGTCTTCGTCTCGACAGAGGTCGAGATCGCGAACTAGACAACAAGCACCACAGGTGAGATCGGGCAATTTGAGGCTCGCCGTCGGGTTTTCGAACCGGCCTTCTTTGCTGAATTCCCGCACTTCAAATAGCGCGAGGAGTTCGCGGCGCAGAAGCCGGTTTTCCATCGACGTGGTCTTCGACAGACTGAGTACCTGCATAAGGAGCTTCACTAATTCCAGGACCGGATTACGCTTCTCATCGTTCGGGTCTGATAGGACACCCGGAAGAACGGGGAATGTGTAGTCGGATACTAGTTCGGGATGCAGCATTTCGTCACGCTGCCGGCGAATCAGCCCGGCGATTTGCTTCTTGAGGGGTTTCGAGAATTTCTCGGCGAGGGTGGCAGAAATATCTTCGCTATCCTCGTCGCTCGGGCGTCCAATTGGAATTTGAGTCATCCGAGGCGTGGATGAATCCTCTGTGTCAGGAAATTTGAGGCTATGCATCAAATCAACATACTCCACCACCCAGTCATTGAAGATGGTCTGCATGGGTGCTGGCAGGGCGCGGCTCAATTGCCAGTGCATGACAGTCTTGAGTTCCTGCTCATCAGACCCAGTAACTTCTTCGCATCCTTTGCCACCATAATTATACTCGTCGTACCAGACCAGGTAGTCCCAGTATTCCTTAATTTCGAGGTCGATGAAATGGAATGATGGATTCGCCCGGATGGACTTTAGCACGTATTGACTGTAAGCGTACGCGTTGCCGACTTCTGTCTTTGTCGTTTGAAGTAGGAGGCGTGTGGAGCTCGCAAAGACAATGTTGGAACCCACCCGTCGGAACTCGGCCATCAGCCGCTGGAATGATTTTCGAGATAACATCCGCACGTAGTGGTGCAGCGATTGATCATAGAGACACGATAGGGGGCTTTCGACCCATCGGATAAGGTGTTGTACCATAATGTCGGCCATGCTATTCCCCTCGCAAGCTTCGGTCCACCAGTGCTTTACCATTTCACGCAGCACGTAAGCCCCAGCAGAAGCGAACGCCTTCTCCGAATAAAGAACGCCCGAGTCATCTGCTTGGGCAGTCTGCTCCGACGAGGCCAACAGTGTGTCGGCCCCTTCCATTTCGTTGATAATTGACGAGGTCAAAATGGTGTTGATAGCAAGGTTGCGAACCTCCAGCTCGATGCATACAGTGGTGTAGGCACTGGGAACGTTGACAGAAGGCATAGCAACTTTGTCGAGGGGTCCCAGAACGTCATCTTTTTCGTAACCAGCATGGTCCGGCCTCGGGCTCAAAGACCACCATAGAACAACGTTATTTTGCTGGAGTCGCCTAGCGTAAGATATGTCGATCAAATACTTGGGATCGTCGCTTTCCAGATTGCACAAAGGCACATCGCCGTATCGAGAAAGCAAAGTCAAGTGCTGGACCCATGCAGAAAGATAGAGATAATGTGTGACTATCCGCCTTGCGATGAAGGTCTGCCAGCCCAGTGGAGGCAGATCCATGTCAGAGACTTCTGGTTTCACTGGCAGCACTGGGAATTCTCGCAGGATGGGGATGTCATGACACAACCGTTCTCTCTGCTGCGATTGTATGACAAGGACAATTGGTTGGACTTCCTCGTTGCGGAACTTCTTAATCAAGTCACCAACTTCCAGGTGGGCCTTCCTTCTGGTCGTGACCTGCGTGGTCCTGAAGTGGATCTTCTCTGGGTACTCAAAGGCACCTTGTAACTTCTCTTCCGCCATGTTTTGCAACCTGCGTGTAAGGAGTTCCGAGTAAATCTTGTCCACATTAGGAAGGCCCTGAACATCTCTTGTGCGGTTCAGAATGACAATATGAGCTTCCTTCTTCGTTGTTGAGAAGAGGGCGAAGATCTGTCTATCGCCTGAAGTCACATGGTATAGATAATGGTAGGCCATGGCTGCATCCAAGAGATATGGCTGCTCAGATGTCGTACGGCACAGAGACGAAAGCTCAAAACCCTGGTCCAAACCTTTACCCAAGACCCCTCGCTGCTCCTCATCAAAAGTGCAAATGCTACCCAGCTTTAGGATAGCCCGAACGTTCAACGGGATATTCTTCTCATAAACACCCTCTACACTTGGATGCTGTAAGAGAACGTCGATATTTTCCGCCTCTTGCAACCATGTCTCCTCGGACAATGTCATCTTGAAAAGATGGACCGAAGGATGTCCGTTGGGCAGAGTATGATTCACCTTCTCAACCTCACAGTCTGGGATTTCGACATCTGGGAGAGAATCTTGCTTTAGGTTAATGTAAACTTGCCGAGGCACTTTGACGGTCAGGGTATGTATCTTTCGGTCAATCAGAACGAAGGCCTTCACAATGCCGGGTCTAGATATCTCGGTAAGCTGTAGGACCTGCCAAGTACTGATGTATAGCAATTCGGCTTGGTTCCTGAAGAGGTGGCTCAAAGAGTCCGTGCCAGAATTACCCTTCTCGCCAAAGAGTTGACGTCGGCGTAAGCGGGCTTGCTTCTGGATCTTCCATTTTTGTTTCTGGTATTTGATAAACCCAACATAGTCATCCGAAATCGACGGCATTTTTGGCGGCAGACTAGCGAAAGGATCCAATGAAGTTTTCGGGGCATTTTCAGGGTGCTTCCTTTTTTGTGAGATCTTCGTTTCCGGCGACTTCAGCTTGTCGGCTGAGCTTGCCATTGCTTGCTCGATATCGCCTACATGCTGGACACGATGATCAAGGATGTTGGTCGATATGTCGGCTAACGGATTTTTCTCAGTCTTCTGGAAAACATCAGTCATTTTGGTTTGCTTGAACTTGTCGTCCTTCATGTTGATCCGCCGCTGAAGCCAGTCAGGGTGCGCGACCCGGGGAACCGGGTTTCGAATCTTCTGAAGAGCAGCTGGGATCGTGATCAGTTTCTGGACAACTGAACCCAGTCGCTCCATATAATAATCCCAATCGAGGACGTTTCGAGGATCCATATCACCAGGGTCGTCCTTAAGCCACTTCCTCAGGAAGTATCGCTTGACATTCTCTTCGGCTGAAAAGATCGCTACTGGAATAGCACGTTCAGTCACAGGCGTATTCCTTGGTCTAGAAGATATAATGTATTTGCAGTTTAGACCCTTGTCTTTGACCATCTGCTCTCCTAGGAATTCTGCCAAGCGACGGGCGGTCGTGATAGAGGTTGACTTTTGGCTTCCGTATTCCTCAAGAGTCTTTGTCATGCTTCGGTTTTCCGAGATCAGCTCGATGAGTTCTTCGTCTGATAGAGTTGTGCCATGGTCGTAGAGCACGTCCAGCCATCGATCAGCGACGCGGGCGACGGCAGCATAAGTCTCCTCGAGTGTCTCCCCCTCGAGGAAAAACCGGAAGATCTGGGTTTGGAAGATCTTGATCAATTTCAGTTCTCCTCTTCGCTTAACTTCGAATCCCTTCAACTCTGCCAATGACCCGTCGTGGTTAAAGACGGCGTAACGCTTCTTCAAATTTTTATCTTCCTCCTTGGAAGTGGGTAGAATCATTGCTTTGTACGGTCCGTCGACCTCAAAGAAAATGGAGTTATCGCTGTAGGTCTCGTATCGGAAGGTCTTTGGATCAACCAGTGTCTGGTACTGGTGATTCGTATAGCTTCCATGGACAAGATGGTTCAGCATAACGCAAGGATAGGAGATTCCCAGTTTCTTGCCGTTTTTCATGGTAAACGTAAAGTTTTCGGGAAAGCTCCCCGGAAGCATACACCAGATACCGTCGGTATCGAGCTCCAATGGCCGCCCAATGCGTTCAACGAGCTCCCTTGCCATTTGAATGATACGAGCACCCGTCAAACAGGTCACGCCAGCCATTTCCATGGAATACCACCGAGAACCTTTTCGCATCACGTAACCGTAGAAACTGTTCAAAATGACCTTGTGTGCAAGCTGCAGAGAGTCGAACAAAATGATCATCTTCTTCGCTTCATCAATCTCCGCGGCCGAGCCACCCCCCGCCTTGAGCGAGTCGGTTTTGTTCTTCCAAACTTTTTGCTTTCCCTTGAAGTCATATCTTCGATCACGAAAGCTTCGTACTGTGTCTACATAGAAGGGGTTTTCTCGCTGGCAAATGATAGCCTCCCGAACCATGGTCTTGCTGTCATGGATCTTGTGGTAGATCTTCTTGCTATAATCTTGCAGCCTCTTCTTGACGATTGCGGCCTGTTCCTCGGTGTTCATGTCGGCAAAATATCTCATGGGGCTCAGCTTCGTCTTTCCGGGAAACCGTTCATTTGCGACTGCGTGCCGGATCATATTGTATTCGTCGCGCTTAGCAGGGAGAAATTCGCCACGCCATGCCCAAGGCATTCGCCTATCACACGATTTACCAGGCCGGTTGAAGTCACATGCAGCGCAATTTGATTCATCGATCATCGAGTCAGGCTGTAATCGGTTCGTGATCATGATGTTCGGGTACATGGAGGCGACATCCAAGTGATAAATGAACGGCACTTCGTCTCGCTGTGGCCTCTCCCTGAGATCTATCAACTGCTTCGCAATCTGTGCCCTGACCTCATCGTAGTTGGCGATATCATCCATTGATTTTTTCTCCTCAACTTCAATACTGAATCGCAAGGCTGCATCTAAATCACGTAAAAGCTCGTCGATAGCGGATGGCTGGACGTTGAAAGTGACTGGGATGTCACTTCGAAATACACCAGCTTCTATACTTTCGACATGCCCGCCAACATAGGTTTGCGATTCGAGCAGATGTCCCTCGTAGAACGACTCTGGTGGGTCTTTGTGTTTGTTCGGAAGTATAATCTCGCCTTTGTAGGCTTGCACCATGAGAAGCATCTCGCAAAGTGTGCCGGTACCTTTCCGTAAAGTGTCATCGGCGTTCAAAGGAATAATATTGCAAAGTGAGAAGATGAATGGGTGGACGTATTTCATATATAGATAGTACGTGGCCACAGCATCGGAGACTGAGTATTCAGCCAAGGTCTGGGGGCGTTCACTCGCATATGGTGTCATGAGTTCCGGGTCTAATTCATCAGGGTCGTATCCAAGCTTCGCAACTGTGACGGCCTTCAAGCCACGACTGCCTTGAGGGAGATAACTATCACGGTTGACCCAAGCAAAACAGTCCATGTGCACACAGTGATCACTTTGGTATATATCCTCGTTGTTTTTGCGGAAGCCGATTTCGGTATACATGTCAATCCCGAGAACGCTTGCTCTTGCTTCGACGAACGGCCAGTCGAAAAAATCACCGTTGTATGTGGCAATGACGGTCGGTTTTGCTTCATTGATGTGCTCGAAAAATCGCTCTAGGACGCCCCTCTCGTTGGGCTCGTTGAAAACCATGAACGGTCCTTGGTATTCAGGCTTTGGCGTGTACTCAAAGTCGTCGATATCTTCGGAGACTATTTCCCGATTCGTAATCAGAAAGCCCTGTCCATCAATCATGTACGATATCATCATGATCTGATCAATGACCGAGTCTGGAAATTTGAGCGGAAGTTTAGTCGTCTCAATATCGTAAGCAAGCACCACTGGATCCGGTCGTTGGACTCGTTCTTCCAAGCAAGTCAAGGAGACAACACCATGCTTCGCCTCTACATTATACCACTTTCCAATCCGGATATCTGATGAACTGCATTAGCCGAGAGGTCATGTAGAGAAGTGGTAAACAATGGTGTACCTTTGTCAATCGCTACCCGGACATGGTAAGGAACGTCATATTCTCGAATATCAATAATAAAATCACTCGCATTCGTACGCCCATTAGTTCGTGCCTCGTTAATTAATTCGTCATCAAAGAGATCAAACCCCGCATTTGCGCTTCGGCATCAAATTAGCTGAGGACAATAGAAAGATTGATTCCAGAACAAACCTTGTGGTCTCAACATAAGTATCCATTACACTTGCATTCTTTTTATTCTTCTCCGCCAACGGGAGTATAGCTTTTCGAACATCCAACAAATGGCTCACGTTTGCGAAACTCAATTGAAGGAAGGGCCGTCGAATCCCCAGTAGATGGTTTGGGAGTTTGAGATCATCCCTCTCCACTCGCTTGATTTTCTTGACAAGTCCTTCGAACGCCCGACGACACCACTCTTCGACTTCTTGCTCGTGTCCCTTCTTGACCGCGATGAGAAAGTACGGGTCATACTCGACAGTCGCCTTGAAGCTGGTACCGCCGTCCTCCAGGAAGTAGTAATCCACACCAGCACGCCCTCCTTGCACATTGGAGTCCTCGACGGACGTGCTGTGCATGTTGATCAACCATCCAGCCCTCTTCTCACCGGCCTCGAAGCGCGGGAATCCCAGTTTCTCGTCGATGCTGTTCGCCAGCCGTATCGCCTCAAATTTCTCATCTTGGGATGTCGCTTCCGTCGAACGAAGGGAGGAGAATTCGACCGTCTTGGATTTTCGCGGGTTGAAGGACGAATTGTTCGACCGAAATTTGTTTCCGAACTTGGAGGGCTTTCTCGAAGCCATCGTGACTGTGCGCCCGCCGTCCGGGGCTGAGGATCAGTGAAAAAACGCAAGAGACGTGATGCGCATGGAACGTGGAGGTAGATTAATATAAAAAATCGCAGAGCATAACTGAATCTTGCAACAATTGGTCGTGGAATGGGGTATCTTGAATGATCACAGATTGTGTGGTCCAATGTGATTGACTTGATTCCAATATTGGGCCCAATGCCCATCCTGAAAGCGCCGACGCGTTCGCGTTTCCACTATACGCGTACTAATCGGGTTTAGCTCCGCGTCTATCGGATAAATTACCCACTTTTGTTGGCTTGGGATTATATAATATCCGACAAGATACTGGAAAAGCAGCCCAGGAGAACCAAAATTGAATGCAAGTATTCCCTAGATGGTTCAAGTGGTCTTGGAAGACAGCCCTGGCTCGATCTAAGACATTTAGAGGAAAGATTTTGGGATGCTACGGAGAGAAAAATATCTGAAAGAGCAAATTGGAAAGCTATCTTTTTAGTACGACATAGGCTTCAATCAAATAATTTACAAATACCCAGCCCATTAGGTCGTAAATTGGAACAAAGCAAGAAAGAAATGGCAATAGAAAATCAACCCAACAACGCCGCGACAATGACGCCCTCGTGTCCCAAGACATGGCATGTTTATACCTTCTTCTTCTTCTTGGACGGCTCGGCGTCGGTATCGTGCTTCCGCTTCTTCTTCTCGGATTCGCCATCGCCGACGGACTTGCGCTTCTCCTTCTTCTCCTTCTTCTCCTTCTTCTCGCTCTTCTCCTTCTTCTCCTTCTTTTCCTTCTTCTCCTTCTTCTCCTTCTTTTCAGCCTTGGCATCGGCATCTTCCATCTCCTCATCACTGCCGGCAGCATCGATTTCCATATCAGCAAGGACCGAGTCCATGGCATTTTTCTGTTCAAGAATCAGCACTCGGGTTTCAAGTCATAGGGAAAGGGAAAAAGAAAGGGGGAGGAAAGAAAAGATCGGTTTCAACATACCATGGCGACCTCGTTCTTGGTGGGGGCAGCACCAGTGGCGTAGAAGTCAAGACGCTCCTCAACCTGCTTCTTCAAGGCCTCGCCGAACTTGGTCGAGGGCTCCTCGGAGAAGTTGTCAATTCTGGAGGCGATGGAGCACTTGTTCGCAAGGAAACGCGAGATGCGGCCCTTGTTCTTGGGACCAGCCCTTCCAATGAAAGACGAGTGGTACAGAAGACCATACTTGGGAGTGTTACCCTTGGTCTTCAGGGCACGGAAAAGGGCCTTCTCGGCACCGAGAATCTGCACAGTAGACGCGGGGTACTTGGACAGATTGGTCAAGCTACCGGCGTGAGAGATCAGACGGGCACCGACGATGTCACCGAGCAGGGCAGCAAGGTTGGGCGCCACGACATTCATCTTAGAGACTAGGTAAGAGTGCAGGGACTTGCGGTACTGGGAAAGGCTGACGACTCGTTGCGCGAAGGAGGTGACGTTCTCCATGTCAGTCTCGGAAATCTCCTGACCCATGCTGTGCTTGGCAGCATCAATGATGCTCTGGGCAACACCCTCATCGTCCTCCACCAGAGCAGCCAGGTCGTGCAGTTTCTCGTCGTTCAGCTCATTCTTGTCCTGGATGAACAGGGCAAGCTGGGCATAGCGCTGGTTATCCGAAACAATCTTGACCAGTTCAGGGAAATGCCAGGAGTACCACTCGCGCACACGCATGGCAAAGGTGTTGATCGCCTTGTCAAGCCCGTCCAGGATAGCAATGGCCTGGATGATATGATTGTCGTCACGCTGGACGGAGAACTTGACCTTAGCACGCGAGTAAGCGTGACCAAGACCCAGTTGGGCGGTGTTCATATCACCTTCGCGGAGCTGCTTCAGCAACTTAGAAGCATGCAGCCTAGTACCGCGGAGCATATCCTGAACGACTTCACTGGTGTCGCCGGTTTCGCAGTCCACGAAGTCGAAGGCAGACTTGATGCTACCAGCCAAGGCCTTGTCCGCGACACCCAGAACAACCTTCTTCTTCTTGTTAGGCTTGGGAAGGTTCAGCTCGAGGAACGAGATCAAAGTGTCCGAAGCGACACCTTCCGAAACATCGTTGATTTCGCTCAGGGCCTGCTTGTTGTTCCTGGAGATAGTCAATATTTTTTTGTCTTTTTTTTTTTTTTTTTTTCGGCTTCAACCTCCAAATAGAACATACTCAAAAGGCACAAAACTGGCCAAATCGACCATCTTTCCAAACTTTGCGAGATCATTCACACCCTCCTGAACTTCCTTCAAACTGTTTCCAACGGTGTCGCTCTGGTGGGCGACCTTGAAAAGACCGTAGCCCACAGGGCTTTCGAAAAGCAGGAAATCGGCCATCTTGTGCACAGGGGGCCAATGACCCTAGAAAATTTCTTTAAATAAAAGAACGAAAATGCGAACACACAGGGAGACTCCTCAATCCTATGAATTCGGCGGGGGTGGGTTGGCGTGGACCGACGTGGATTTTCAGAAGGAGACGAAGGACAAAATTGGAAGAGTCGAGCCGTCGAAGCTCTTTTTTTTTCTTCTCACGTCGGCGCTAGTGCGAACACCGAATGTGGGCTTTTTGCCAAAACCAGTCGCTCACCGCCTTGGACGGCAAACACCCGCACCACCACCACTATCGAGTTTGTGCAAGCCCCGGACTGCTTCTTTGGTGCTTTGCTACTAGAAAATATCGGCAAAGCGTTGTCTTTTTAAATCTTTTTCGTTAGATTCTGCTGCCTGTCGCTTTGATTGCCGCAGAAAATGTCGGCTACTCAGTTACTCAACCCCAAGGCCGAGTCGAGAGTAAGTGGCAGAATCCCCATAGCCCCTCAGTCGCCGGACATAAAGCTAATAGCATATACAGCGGCGCGCGGAGGCTCTGAAGGTGAACATCAGTGCTGGTGAAGGCCTTCAGGATGTTCTGAAGTCTAACCTGGGTCCTTCCGGGACGTTGAAAATGTATGTCGCTGCCCTCGAACGACGCTGGGTTGATGCTAACCTGCACGAAACATAGGCTGGTGGACGGTTCAGGCGGAGTATGTCACTTCTACAATTGTTGGAGCATCGGATTTGGTATCTGACAGTGGGTGTGAATAGATCAAGTTGACTAAGGACGGAAATGTGCTGTTGCGAGAGATGGTAAGTTTGAGTACACCCTCAATACCCAAGGACGACGACTAACGTGTGCAGCAAATCCAAAACCCCACGGCCGTAAGCTAGTTTCCTTTCCTTCGAGAAGTGCCTTTAAATTGATATTGTGAAGGTTATGATTGCCCGAGCTGCTACCGCACAAGACGACATCACTGGTGATGGAACGACGTCCGTTGTCTTGTTGGTGGGAGAACTCCTGAAGCAGGCGGAGCGTCACATTTCCGAGGGGCTGCATCCCAGAGTTATCACGGATGGCTACGAGATCGCGAAGAATGAGGCTCTCAAGGTCAGTGGAGATTCTTGGTTTCACGGCGACCTCATACTGAATTGTGTTTTGCTATACAGTTCCTTGACCAGTTCAAGATTGAGCGGCCTATCGACCGCGAGCTGCTGCTCTCCGTTGCTCGTTCGTCGCTCAGCACGAAATTGAACACTGCTCTCGCCGAGAAACTTACCCCCGATATCGTCGATGCCGTCCTCGCCATCCATAGACCCCCTACGAAGCCGGATCTGCACATGGTTGAGATCATGACGATGCAACACCGGACGTCTTCTGATACCCAGCTCATCCGCGGTCTTGCCCTGGACCATGGTGCCAGACACCCGGATATGCCTAAGAGAGTCGAGAATGCCTTCATCCTGACATTGAACGTCAGTCTGGAATACGAGAAGTCTGAGATCAACTCCGGGTTCTACTACTCTTCGGCGGAACAAAGAGACAAGCTGGTGGAGAGCGAACGTAAATTCGTGGACGCGAAGTTGCAGAAGATCGTTGAGCTGAAGAAGCAGGTTTGCGGCACTGACCCGAACAAGGGCTTCGTTGTCATCAACCAGAAGGGTATCGATCCCCTGAGTCTCGACGTCCTCGTGAAGAACGGAATCATGGCCCTCCGGAGAGCCAAGAGAAGGAACATGGAGCGTCTCCAACTGATTTGCGGAGGTACTGCACAGAACAGCGTGGATGACCTCACGCCCGATGCTCTTGGATGGGCTGGGCTGGTCTACGAGCACCAGCTTGGCGAGGAGAAGTTCACTTTCGTTGAGGAGGTTAAGGATCCCAAGTCTGTCACCATTCTCATCAAGGGTCCCAACGGCCACACCATTGCTCAGGTCAAGGATGCGGTCCGTGACGGATTGCGTTCCGTGTACAACACCATCGTTGATGGATGCGTCGTCCCCGGTGCTGGTGCGTTCCAGGTCTCCTGTGCCGCCCACCTGGCGTCGGAGGGTGTGAAGAAGTCCGTCAAGGGCAAGGCCAAGTGGGGCGTTTCGGCTTTCGCCGACGCTCTCCTGATCATCCCCAAGATCCTCGCCGCCAACTCCGGCCATGACATCCAGGACTCTCTCGCTACCTTGGAGGACGAGCGCTCCGATGGCAACATCGTCGGCTTGGATCTGAACACGGGCGAACCGATGGACCCCATCCAGGCGGGTGTCTTTGACTCCTACCGCGTCCTGCGCAACTGCATTGCCTCGAGCACAGGCATCGCATCGAACCTCCTTCTGTGCGACGAGCTGCTGAAGGCCCGACAGATGGGCAAGGCGGGTGGACCTGGCGACATGGAGTAATGCGGTTGCTACGTACAGAGGTTTATCGGTCACATAACGAGCTTGGAGGGTATAGAGTGGTTCCAACAAAAGAAAACCAAATTTATTATTATGTATTGTCAGTCTCTACGTGTACCAAATACACACGGGACGCCTTATCTTAATCAACCATCCTAACAAGCCAATTTTGGACAATCTCACAAGCTTAACATATGCATTGATGGTGAATCCGAAGACCAAATGGTATCTATCCGTAACGCGTGCCGAGTAATATAAAATGATGCAAACCCCACGCCGCAAAGAACCCAGTGAACGAAAGAAATTGGTATCATACATGTGCGAGGTGAGTCAGAACAATCTACTCGTCCTCCTCTTCTTCCTCCTCTTCTTCGTCTCCATCCCCTTCATCGCCTGACGTACTGTCTCGTGCGTATATGTTTTCTGGAGCCCATCGCCCCAGAAAACCATCGTCTCTTACAGGATCCCGTAGAGAAAGATGGTGGACGTTCGCCCAATCCGATACCTTGGACATCCGTAGGACCACTGTCTCCTTATCAACCGTCTCCTCGTTTGTTTTCGTCTTCCGCCTCTTCGACGGGCTAATGGGCTCCATGAGCCCCAGACCCTTGAGCGCGGTTATAACATCCTCAGCCAGCATGCCTGTCGCCAACCCGATGTCCTGAACCGTCATCACTTCCGAAGAGCTTCTCTTCCGAGACGCCTTGGAAGGTGTCTGTTTCTGCTGCGCAGTCTCCTCCAAGTCTCCGGTCGCATCCGTGCCCCGAAGCAAGAGATATCTGACAATCCGTTCCTCCCAGAAACGACTATAACTCCTCCGCCCCATTTCACTCAGCGGCTTCTCCGGCCCACCGATTAACCCAGTATCGCGCTCCCAGTCACTCAGCTTATAACTCACCCCCATCAACAGCTTCCCGAGTTGCTTCCGCTGATAAGGCGGAAAGACCAGAATACACGCAAGATTATTCGCATCCCACGAGAGTTTCTCCTTCGAAAAGAAGCCCAGTATATGATAATTTTCAGGGTCGGCAGGGTCCGTAAAAACGAGCAGGTAGTAGAGGAAGGAAGCGACTTCGAAAAACACCGACTTGTGGTCTAGGAACAGCTTCGCGAACAGGGACAGGTTCTGTGCGTACAGCTTGTGGTCCTCGCCGTCCAGCTCCCACACTGAGTATCCGCCATGCTCGTAGATTTTATTACCCGGGGGCGTCGAGCGGTGCGCGCAGAGGCGCGAGTGTTTCGCGTAGCGGTCGACGTCGCACGAGTAGCGGAAACAGTAGCGACACACGTACAGTCGGTCGGTGTCCTTGCTGACGAGGTCCTCTGGGTAGATGGACTGGTACCATGTCCGGAAGAAGAGGTCGCCTAGTACGACATGTTTCACGTTGCGAACGGTGGGAGGCTTCGTGTGGGACGAGGGCGGGTCGCTAGGAGCCATTCGGCGACGGCGGCCTCGGGAGAAGATTATTGAGAAAAGGGAAAAGGAAAGAAAAGGGGCGAGGAATCAAGGAGTGATGAGAAGACCTCAGGGTCCTACCGAATCCAGATGTGGATGTCGTCGAAGGGAGGAGGTCATTGGCGTTGGGAGAGCGATTCCGGAAGTTGGGTGTGTCTAGTGGAGCCACGGTTCTATAGAGACGATTTTGAGAGGAATTATCGCAAGGTCATGAATGTAAGAGCCATGGCGACCACGACGTCCATTCCATGGCAAACAACAGGGAGGGAGTAGTAGGTAGAAGTCAATCTTCAATACTATCAGGAATACTTCACGCCCAGTCCATCCCGTGCAGTTTAGTTTACTGCTGGTGGATGCCTGAGGCTGGACTCCGCCATTTATCTGACTCTCGTTTCCCTTGTTGTTCCCCTCACTCTCATCTCATCATCATTACCACGTTCCACCTTCCTCTTGCTCTTTCTGATCAATAAATTTTGGGGCTTGATGGTTGTCAATTCACATACATATATCGGGTTACACTACTGATCACATTCCCTTTTGTACGATGACGGGCGGAGTTATCTGCAACTCCTAAGATATTCAACGGCCGCCACTCGCCCATAGGCAGCAGCATACGGCCTTCTTTCTAGCTCTACCATTCTTTCTCCTTCCTCGTCCACTGCGGCCATCTTTGATCGATCTTACGTCTTTTCTCCATCTACTCAACCTGGGGCATATCAAATATCATCAGTTTTCATCCCCTTGGTCTCTGTGGAGCTCTGTTGACGGATTCTCTGTTGTTCACTTACCAAGCTCCCCGCTCTAGTCCCGGGCTATTGAGCTACGACCCTTTACCTTCACATCGATCGCCTTATCGCCGACGATGTTGAATCCGTTTCAGATAAAAGGTCTTCATGGATCTCCGCCCTTACAGGAGGCGAGCGAGCCTGCAGCTCCCAGCGAGCATATCGGTTTCGGAGACGACCATCTTATAGTAGAAGACCGCCTCGGCCCCCAAAACCGTGCTGCGTTAGTCCAGCTGTCTACATCAGAATACGACGATATCGCAACGAATCATCCTCGCGCTCGATTGACCTATCTTGATGAAGATGACGGGGATCTTATTACAGTGAGTTCTTTGGCCGTTGAAAGCTTGTTGCCCAGATTAACGGTGGATCTAGGTTGGATCTTCTCTCGAGCTCTCCCAGCGTCTAGAAGAACCCGCTTCTATTTCCGCCCGGCCTACCGACCCCGATCCTGTGCACATCTTCGACATTCGCCGTTCAAACTCGGTCACGGAGCTGTGGAGGAAATATGAAATCGGCTCGCGCCCGCAGAATGCAGATAATGTGGCCGTTATCCAACCCGGCCTGGCTGGTGCCGATGCGCCGCAGGCACCTGCGGAAGAGCAATCCAGCTCAACTAATAAAAATGCAGCGCCTGCACCAAGGAGTGAGTCCGAGTCACTCATGGCCGCATTTGAAGTCGAAATGGCTAGGATTCTACGCGAATCGAATGCTGCAGTCTCTGCACAAGCAGACACTCCTTCCCAGCCAGAACCGACGCCGGGTGGAACCAGATCTCCCAGAATTCAGAACCCGGCGGATGCTTTACTCCATACCATATTCAACCTGCTCGACGGGGCCGAGACGGTCAGTGCTGGCGTGAGATCACGATTCCCGGAACTAGAGCAGCAGCTACAGAATGCTCAACGAGCTCTTCCTGGACAGGTCGGATCATCCGTTCAGGTTGCCCTCTCGACGTTGGAACTCCAAGCAAGAAATCTTGTTGGCGCTCTCAATAATGCCTCTACGGCAACCGGTCAGAGAGCTGAGAATGTCCTTCAAAGCGAGTGTCCGGTGGCCGCCAATACGGTACAGAGTCTGCGTTCTATGGCCTCCGAACTTGGTAACATGGGGCAGTCTCTGTTCGAAACCTTTGAATCCGAGTTCGGTTGCAATCGGCCCAGGGGTCAGGGCCGGACATACTCAGGAGAGAACTCTATCTCGCCTCGTCCCGAAAATAGAGAACAAATCTGGGGCCGTCCTAACGACGCTCCAACCACTGAAAATACCAACCAACAGTTGCTGTCCAATGCTAATGGCAGAACTGAGGAGGGAACAGTGACGAGCAACCCAGGAGAGCCATTCGGCAATTTTCAATCTCACGGACATGAGCAGAATGCCACCGTATCTGACAGCAGGCTTGCTAGCCCGTCAGAGTCACAGCTCCCCACTGAACCCCCGTCGCTGAGACCACATGAGCTGCTTCATCCTTCTCATAATGACTCGCCACAGAGACCTCCTCAGCACCCTGCTTATCACAATTTATATGATAGTGTGGCGAATCGCCTACCTAGCCCCCCGAGTCTGCCTCCGCCTTTTGTCCCGTCTTCCCCCGCTCCGTCACGGCGATGTGCCCCACCCAGGGATACTCTGTTCATTGGTAATGTTGGCTACATGGCCAACGCGGACTCCATTCGCAGCCTTTTTGAATCGAAAGACTTCCTCGTGGATGTTGAACTGCCATTTGACGCAAAGACGGGAGATCACGTTGGATTTGGCTATGTGTACTTCCCCTCGATCCATGCTGCGGAAATGGCGCTGGACGCCTTGCAAGGGACCCGTGTCGATGGCCACTCTATCAACCTCGAGTTCAGTGACCACATACCTATCGCTGGCCTTGGTACAGCTCACCACACTGGAGAGGGGTCTCATCATTCCGTCTCTCCTGGATTTACCCGGAATCATACTCAAGGAGGGCCAGATCTCCATTCGATTGATGATAGGAGGCCGGCTCCGTTGGCCGTAGCAGATCTATGCTCCGGTGACATCCGTCGCTCAGGCGGTCAGGCGATCACAACGGGGGACAGGTTAGTGGGCAGTAGCACTTCGTTGGACACTGAACGTCTGAACTCGCTTTATCCTTCACTTCTCCCGGAAAGCGCAGCTTCACGGTCTCTCAGCAACAGCGGTACCACCGACCGACTTCCCGAGCTGACACGAGACCTCGACTACCGCTTCCCTCCTGTATCTCAGCTGGACGCGCGTCTTCTCGCTGAACAACGCCAGTCTAGGTCCGGAGGAGCTTGGGAAACATCGACTAGTCCGGTGAACGGGGCCACTACCCGGAATCATGACGGACGTACTCCTTCGTCGCACAATTTGCCTAGCGCACCTGCATTGGGTGCTCCCAGTGGGCGTCCGATACGTTCGGATTTTGCTAGAACTCCTGCTTCAGAACGCGTCGGTGCAGGCCCTTCTCATGTCCCGAACCCTCTTGGACGATCGAATACGTTCATGAGGCACCCCCACAGACGCGATCCTTGGAATTCGACCCACCCAGATGTGCTTTACAATTCTGACCAGCCATTGAGAAGACGAGCCACCGAACGCCATTCTCCCCGAGGCCTTGGTGGATTACACAGCCGGTCTGCGCACAACAACCCTTCAGCTCCGCATCTGGCCGGTGGGGTGGAAGGAAGTGGCCCCCAGCAGACTGGGCCACAGCAACGGATGATTGATGAATGCATGTCAACTTTGGTCGCTCTCGGATACGGGAGTGTGAAGGATGGTGGTCCTCAAAGACTCGCGATATATGCGGCCGCGGCGGATGGCAATATCGAAGATGCGATTGAGATGATCGAAGAAGAGCGGAAAGTCTACGAACAGCAAGGATCGCGCCAATGATTGCAACGTTTCCTGATCGTCCTTTCACTTTGTGAGAAATTGTGATATAGTGTTCACGTTGGTTTTTCTTGCGAGGGTATTTTGATGGCGTTGGATTTGAGGTTTTCCCCGGCTGGGCGTTACTTTTGGAAGCCTTGTTTTTCTACTCTAGTAATGGTGATAGTTTGACGAATTGAAATGCAATAGTTAGGTTCAATTGTACGTCTTCAACTTTTAGGATAGATGGTAGTCCGGCCCTCGTGGCATACAAAGTAGATAGGCGGGCATCAATTATATTTCCTGATGCGGTTAGTTACTACGATGCGGAGTTGAAATCGGACCGGACCGATCGACAGAATCAACAACCGTCACTGACAAGATTGACCAAATCAATCCAGCTTTCACTGCTTCCCTTCTTTCAACTCCACAAGCGCGAGCTCGTGTTTCGCACGCTCCTCGAAGCCATGCAAATATGGCGGCGCGCCTTTACTACGTCGGTCGCCAGGCTGCAGACTAAGCCGCGTACAGCACCCGGCGCGGCGCTTCCCCAGGGCGCGCAAATTCGGTCCAAGCCGCCGCCGGTTAATCCTGAAATACTGGGCAAGGACATCACTCTCCAGGGTTCCGTTCGCTCTGTGCGGAAACACAAGCGATTTGCCTTTGCGGAGTTGTCTAATGGCTCTTCGATCCACACCATACAAGCCCTCCTCACACCGGCGCAGGCTGCCGAGTACGTTGTCGTTGATTATCCCGCGCAGGAGACTAGGAGACCGCATGCTGATTGGGATAACCGTGCAGTCTGTCTACAGGGGCCGTGGTGGCGATCAATGGTACAGTGAGAGAATGCCCGCCTGGCAAGGAGCAGAGCTTCGAGCTTCACGCGAAAGACGTCAATGTCCTCGGAGAATCCGACCCTGAGGTAAGCTAGCATTTGGCTCAATTCCTTAGAAAAAATAGACAAGGTTTCTAACTACGATTATTCAAATCGCAGACATACCCCATCCAAAAGAAGTACCACAGTCCCGAATTCCTCCGTCAAATTCCACACCTCCGCTTCCGAACGCCCTTCAACTCCGCGCTCGCGCGATTCCGCTCGGAATGTCTGTATCAGCTGGGACAAGTGTTGCGAGAGGGTCCGCGGGAAATGCCCCCCTTCATGCAGGTCCACCCGCCCATCATCACGTCGTCGGACTGCGAGGGCGCCGGCGAGACGTTCACAATTACCCCGCGGGAGACCCAGGCTAAGGGAGAGCACTTCTTCCGGTCGCCGAAGTACCTGTCGGTGTCGTCGCAACTGCATCTCGAGGCGTACGCGGCGGAGCTAGGCCAGGTGTGGACGGTGACGCCCACGTTTCGGGCCGAGAAGAGCGACACGCCGCGGCACCTCAGCGAGTTCTACATGCTCGAGGCAGAGGCGAACTACCTATACAACCTCGATCAGCTCACCAACCTGGTGGAACATATCATCCGGAATCTGGTCTCTCGGCTAGGCAACGGGCCGGGAGTAGAGATCATGCTCCTCAAGCGACTCGACGAATCCGGGCAAGACACGACAGACGCGACAACGTCCATGATCCGCAACCGGTGGGACAAGTTAATGGCCCCGACGCTATGGCCACGCATAACCTACACGCACGCGATCGAGGAGCTCCAAGCAGCGGTCGAACGCGGCGAAGTCACCTTCGAGCACGCGCCGACCTGGGCGGGCGGGCTGCAGCTTGAGCACGAGAAGTTCATCGTGGACGTGATCCACGACGGCAAGCCTGTGTTCGTAACGGACTACCCCAAGGCCGTCAAGCCATTCTACATGGCGCCGTCTGGCCCCAGCACCTGGAACAAGGACCCCGTCAAGCAGGGTGACACCGTCGCCTGTTTCGACCTCCTCTTCCCGGACGTCAGCGAAGTCGCTGGGGGGTCGCTGCGCGAGCACCGCCTGCCGGAGCTCATCCAGAACATGCGGGAGCACGGGATGGTGCGCAAGCGCTCGCCCGAGGAGGGCGCCCCGAATGAAGCGACTTATCCATGCCTTGAGCCCGGCGAGGACCTCGGGCCGCTGCAGTGGTATGCGGACCTTCGACGGTGGGGGTCTGCGCCGCACGGCGGCTTCGGACTGGGTTTCGACCGGTTCGTTGGGTACCTGGCGGGGGTGTCGAACGTGCGGGATGTGGTGGGATTCCCGCGGTATTTCGGACGGGCTGATTGTTAGATGGACGGGTGTATATATGTATGATATTTTCTACGTGATCATGGTGATCTAAGTCGATGGAACATATGAAGCTATTTTTGATATACGCATCCTGTATCTTGTCGACTAGGACAAACTAACAATGATACACCAATTATACAACTCACCAAGTATTCACTACAGTACTACCATCAATCCACTAAGCAAGCGTCAATAATATATACAACGACCACGAAAATTTAAATTACTACAGAGAGTATCCCGAACGACCCCCTTCCCAACCACGGCTCCATAGGCACTAGTTACAACCATATAAACTCAAGTGAGAATGACTAGCAATGAGAAAATCCACTAGCAGCAATCCAACGGATCAAAGCGTAAGCATAATCCGAAGATGATGACATGATGAAGTAACGAAAATGGTTGAAGAAGCCTCCTACCACTGTTGCCTGGATAGGTTTGAAAATCCGGACCAGATTTTGGGGAAGTATAACTGGGTGGACTGGTAGGGGTTGGAGGGGGTGTTCCTGTATCTATCTATCTATATATTTATTGATTTTTATGTATGCGTGAGGGCTATATAAATTTTAGGACATTGGCTCGAGTGTATATATTTTCAAGTAGCGATGCTAATCTGGTAAATGCTCTATTGATATTTATATTTAGTATGGTGAGACAGCAACAATATATACAATACGAATTAGCCTCAAGATGCAATAAGATGCAATAAGCAGCAGTAAGCAATGAAAACACACCTCCACCCTAAACCTCGTATGAGAAGACGACATTTGACTTCTCTCTTTATAAAAAACATTCTCCTCTCATTTCCGGCCCCAATCTTTATGGACCTAAGGTACCACCCACCCTGTCATCTCGACCAGATAGTACCTACCTGGGTAATATAAATTGAGTTATAACAGCAGCCTACCACGGACAAGGAATTCCAAACAAGCGCGCCACAGGTGTCACTATCACCAAAGAGGAGAAAATCCTCCATGAACATGAACTTCCGGCCGGAAGCACGGAGTACTGGGTGATTGATTGATTGATCATTGATTGATGACACGTGGAATAGCCTCATGAAGAAAGTAGTAGCCTGATAGCCTCGTCCATCCATATCGAACCCAGCCTCCCCCCCTTCATGTCCCGAAAACGTATTGCAACACTGCACCGCCAACCTTGTGTAGCCTTCCGACCGCCGCACAACCTCTCGCAAACGGTCTGTGCCATCGAATCAAACGCCCCCTCGCAGCCCAAGCGGCTGATAACAGGGGAGTGTGCGTTTGCAAGGACAGGACGAGAAACCCGCCCCCAGCAGGAAGGACTTATTTACTTAAATTGCCATAGCCACCGCCATTTCCTTGGACCGGATTGGAAAAGAGAGTAGGAACAGCAGGGAAGGAAGGACCCAAGAGGATCCGATCTCGCTGCGGTGTTGATTAAGGCGGGCCGTTCGTTGTGGCTGTGAGATTACATTACCGGTGCGCGTGAGGCTGGCAGAAAACGGCGCTGGTTAGATTATTTGCCTTGTGGGCTGTGGGCTGTGGGCTTGTACTATAGTGGTAAATGCGATTGCGACTGAGTCTGGGTTCAGACTTTGAGGGAGTAGAGATAGATTGTGGTTGATATGGGGGCTGAAAAGGATGCCCAGCAGGATGAATGCCCAGAAGGAATCTTCATCCAAGGCAAAACCAAACCAAACCCATTAGTCGTGTAATAAGGTTGCATAGCGCAGCGCATACCCCAAGGAGACATCGTCCAAAGGAGCATGCGGGAGTTGTGCTAGGATGTTATAGTGAAGCCACCAGTGGGTCTTATTGGGCGGGCATGGACACCAACCAAAGGTGCGAGGCAGACTAAGCATGGTGGCTTAGTTCTAGAGCTAGAGATAATTGCTGGAGTAGTTTCAACTGAAGGGAAACGGTCCAAATTGAAAAGAATAATCATTAAAGTAAATATCTAAAGTAAGTAAAGTCAAATAAGTCAATACAGTCTATACAGCCGATCACGGGACTCTGCTCCGTCTGATTATGGTTTGTTGACGATCGTCTTGTCTCTCGCTAACATCCCTCCCCTCACGCTCAGCCTAGAGGCCCAACCGCTTGATTTGGAGAAGTCGCTTGTTGTGACTGGTGGAAGAGTACTCCAAATGATATGATTGTTTATGGTTATAATTATGGCTGACCTGACAGTGGACCGATCGGAAATACGGAGAATTCCTGATCACTCCTCCCTCCCTTCCCTTCCACGGTTGATTCTAGAACAAATCATAAATCATATCCACTATGATTTCTCATATAGACAGATATGAGCCGAACATGGATATTGATTGGAAGACCGGATGAGAGAAAAAACAACCAAAAAAAAAGGAGGGGCAAAAAACAAGGAACAAGGTAAAGAAAAAAAAAAAAAAAAAAGTCAAAAACATCCGACCAAAGCCGCCCAGCCTAGCCAGAACAGGGCGAACAAGACATGGATCCTGACGGACTGACGGATTACTTTAATCCCTCCAAGCTGCGGTCTGGGCGGAGCCTCGCTACGCCGGTTGCCCCAATGTGGTTGGTGCCGATCCACCTCGTTTACCTTTGAGGATGGGATGGGTCGGAAGCGCAAGAGGTCCGACTGCCTTGGGTGACACACGAACTCTGCTATTCTATTCTTGGGGACAGAATACGAGTTCACCAGTCCTGTGGAGTGGGACAAGACTATTTATTGATTCGTGTTAGAGGGAGGCACGAACGATGGATTTGACTATCGTGATGGTCGAATGATGACTGCTGGCATTTCCTCATTCTCCCAGCAGTCTAAGCGGAGGAATGCCACGCGGGGGACAGTGCCAAGTTGCCAACCTTACTGGTGTTAAGCATATCCGTTCTCGGTCATTTCCCGGCGTTGGCGATGACAAGTGCCCAGCCCAAGTGGACTCTTTTTGTGGACACTGGACTCAGTAGGTATTATTGCCGTGACGGGGAGGAGATGGTAATACTGATGGTAATGCTGGTAATATTGAGATTAATATGGGTGCCTGGATATCATGGATACTTGGCATCTGACTGACCAATTCCAATAGGGCAATTCTTTCCATTAGTCACATTGATCCTGATTAACTCAGGTAACCAAATAATCAATATGCAGACGGAGAAGTGAATGCACCGCCTTCAGTCAAGGCTCATACTCATCTATCGGGCCGTCCGATCCGTGCAATCCGCTTTACAAGGCATTATTTGCCTTATCCATCACCTTATTGCCATCTTCCCTATTTCTTCTTTCTTCTTTCTTCTTCTCCCTCCTTCCCCACAATTTCATACTTTTTAGATAATTACGTTGTCCCAAAGAGGCAGACCGAGACAAGACTACACTGCAGGCTAAGCCTTGGCTATCTGGGTAGTATCGTAGTACTCGTACTACTGTACAATACGATGCACTGGTAAATAGTAAGCACCATGTAGTAAGTACGGTAGAGTCATAAAATCGTTTTTGGACAGCCGAGGCAATGGAAACGGCTTGGCTCTGCAGCGTTTCGACTCGGTTTCTCTCCATGACGGAGTATTGTGTCTCTACTCGAGGCTTCGTATGTAATAGACCGGCGGTCTCCAAACAGAACAAGGGTATCCGCTCGACTGTACCTTGTCAGGAAGATGTAAGTAGGAAATATAACATGAATAATGAATAAAAATAAATAAATAAATAAATAAAAACAATGTAATCCCCAGACGATCCCAGAACAAGGAAAAACACCGACCTGCCTCTAGCCAAGGATGCTGGTTATTATTACCTAACATGACTTCTCCTCTCCAGTGGATGGATAGACGAGATTCTAACCATTAGTATGGACACTATTAGCACGAATGGTCAGTAGTTACTAGCCTAGCACCATATATGATCGATCATCATGGCCATCACAAAGTTACCTCCAGTTACACTTACCACGAACGGGAATTTTGAAAAGAGAAGACCGATCATCCCGAGTCAGGATTGTCTCTGTCAGGAAGTTGATCTGCGATGCGACTGTCTCAGGATTAGTTAGGGCTGCTCCAGTCTTCGGAGTATAGACACCTCAGATACATTTATCTTAGTATACGGTAGTTTACTAGTTATACTCATTCAGTATAATGGTCTACCCTCTCCCCTATCATCAATCGGTCAAGATCATATGAGGACTGACGCTAATTCAACTCAAGTGGGAATAATTGATGAAGCTGTGGACCATTTCCCCCCCGTGCCCGGTTTCACTACCTTCCCCAACTAAACCAGACCCCCCCCCCCCCCCCTCTCCCCTCTTGGCAACCTAACCTGTACAAGTAACCTACCTTGATATCATCAATCACTACGTAGTTAGGTCCTTGGACTTGTATTCAGTAGTATTTACTTCTTACTTACTGCCTCTTTAGCACTATCTACTGACAAGGAAGGGAATCAAGGGTTGCATCGCCCCCTCCATACCAGTGGCCAACCCTATCAGACCAAGCACTGCGCTAGTGTACCCTTTTCTTCATTTTATTTGATTTTCTACTATTTCGCTCATATTGAGGACTCGACAGTTATGCACCGGGAGATGCAAGGAGGGACATTCCTAAAGATTCACCACTTCTGCCCGGTTATAACCCATTTTCTTGTCGCTAGGATGGAACAGTACACATTAAAGGGATAGACAATTGATTCTATTATATAAAAATATCAAATAGGATTATCAACAATGCTTAAATCAAACACACATCAAGGACAAGACACAATCATAAAATACAGTGCTACATTTGTGCTCAACCTTATTTACACCAACCAAAGTCGCATCCATTCCTTGGTTCTCTGATTCCTGAACCTGACCAGTAACTAACTGTCCACTAACGAACAGGGTTACACCGCGTGAGATATGTCCTACGGAAATCAAAATAGTATATCAAGAAAGAAAAAAAAAAGAGAGAATAGATTAGGCCAATCCTGTATCACTGGGATAATATTATACTGTGCTGGGATGATACTAACTACTGTGTAGTGTGTACCCAAGCGACAAACAGTGTCGGTGGCCTGCAGGTGATATGTAATGGAGGCAGGCATGTATGTCAAATAGGATAGAATAAATTAATCAAATGAAATAAAAAGGAAAGAAAGAATGGAAGAAGAAAAGCCACCGTAGGGCCGCCATTTCCGCGGAGGGTTTGTCTCAGTGGGAGAATGAAGACCGCCTTGCAGCTGCTGCAGACGCTGCACCGTCGCACTGTACACATCTTATTTATTCTTATCTGTCTTTAATTGTGTTAGGGTTGGAGTACGGGGTATAACATGACATGACAAGACACTGACAAGAGGTAAAAGAAAGACATTCATACAAGTCAAATAGGCGGTACGTTACCAATGCTCACTGCCTCGTCTGATATCATCTGGATACGAGACTTGCGAGTGGATGTACCTACTACCTTTGAATAGAACAATTAATTGATTGATTGATTTGATTATGCTTATTATATGTACAATGTATAATGTATTATTGTCTTGATTCTATTCTTATGATATTCCCCATGTGAGACATCAAATGCAGTAACTAACAACTCCTGACAATCCTACCCAAGCTCTTTCTTCCTAATTTCTTACTTTGACCAGTTATGCTTTGATTTTAATTTGATTTATTTGATTATTTTTTTATTTCACTCAAGTGGACCAGCCAAGGCGCGCCAAGCCAACCGGCACCGGTTTGGACGGACTTTGTTGGCGATACGCTTATCCGGATAGTCCAGTCCAGAGTCCACTTGTGACTCACATAGAAATTGTATTACTGTATGTAACATGAAAAAAATAAAAATAAAATGAAATAGAATAAAATAATAAAAATGGGAAAAGATTGATCCAGTCAAGTGCGCCCGCAACTTTATCGGTTCCCCTGGCTGTGACTGGCTCTGGGAAAACCTCCGACCGCCCAATCGATGCGATTGGGGATTGGACATTCGACCTCAGGTTCCTGTGTAGCTGGACCAGGTCGTATTGCATATGACCGCTCGAGAGGATATATATAGAATACGGAGATGATTATAGATTTATTGACATTGATTATGGTCTACTAGAGTATTAATGTATATATCATGATGATGATGATGGATAATACACAACGTATCCGATCGGGTCAAATGGCCGGAATACGAGTTCGCCACAGTGGCTGGCACAGACACTGTCACGGGATATAATGAATAAATAATAAAATAAAGGTAACATGAATCGGGAAGTCGGAAGAGAGAGTGGGCTTGGGCCCAGGGTCAAGTGAATTTCGGGCGGAACCGCTACGTAACCTGGGGGAGAGTTTAACCCTATTTGATTATGCATAAGACGGATAGGTTTTGACAGATGCCTTGATGATGATATGAGTAAGATTCAGGTGGAGATATCTAGGGTCAGGATTGTTATTGCTATGTGACCTTCCTCCAAAGAAGATGACGGGAAAAACAAGAAGGAAGAATAGATAAGAAAGAGAAGACTGGAGAGAAGAGAAGAGGATAAATAAAACCAGTGGATCCGGATCCGTTTTCTCTAAGCGAGCTTAAGGTTTCCTCGTGTTGGATTAAGCTTAAGCTTCAGAAAGTCACGCACTATACCGGATGGAGTTGGGATCAAAGCGATCAGTGCGCCACCCGTATCTTCCTAGCGTATTACCGTATCTCTCTGGAAAGATATATCATGAAATCCAACAGGGAAAAAAGAGCGATGCCTCGACAGGAGGGAAAGGGCATCATTTGCTGGTGCATAATCCACCCGTGGCTCTCCCTCCCTTCTAAGCTTAATTCTCATTCATCTTCTGTCCAGGAAGGGGATTAGAAGATGGTATTCTGGTCAGGGTGAGATGGATCCGTTGGCAGGGATGGATGGATTTGGCTTCTGCCTAGAGCCTGATCATTATTAATGTATGATTATTATTGATCATGATTATATGATTATAATTATTACAAGAATTGGTTATTCCATTGTCTGTTACTAAATTATGTCGTATCTGTATGTGCAGTATCCGTTGGAGTCGTCAATAGATGACAGTTCATGATCCCCAATCCTTCTCAGCATGATGATCAAGTCCAGCACCAAGATGGATAAGAATAGACCGATACTACCTCAGAAGTGGAAAGAAAAGACCAGGTGAGATGAAAGAAACATCGAAGAGGCCAGATAAGATAGAAGATAAATAAAATACCAGAAAGAAACCAGTCAATACCGAAACTGAATTAAAGTCAAAGTTGGACCCAGAAAGTCTGAAATAAAAATAAATAAACGTAAGAAAAGAAACTAAACATTTAACTAGAAGATTTAAAACTAAAACAATCAAAATCAAGACAAGGAAATAAAAAAACAAATGATAAATATTAATAAAGTAAGAAAGAAATATTTTATTTTTATTAAACAAAAAAAATAAAATAAAATAAAAAAAACCTGTGGGGAGGTCAACTTGTCCCCACCCTTTGCTTTGCTTTACTTTCATTCTTTCTTTCCTGTCTAGTCTATCTATCTTTCTCTCTATCTTTCTCTCCATCTCTTTTCTTGTTTCTTCATCTACTCTTCTCATCGGATTCTGATATCCCCATCTTGTTCCTCTCCTTCTATCCCCTCCCACTATCAACCAAGTCAACTGATAACCCCTTCACTCCATCTCCCATACAATCTCGTACAATCTCATACAAGACATCGACGTCCTGGATATCGTCATCACTCAGTAAGTTTCATCCATGAAGCTATATTCCATCTGACTCCATTCCCTGGATCCCCCCTCCCTCTCTCTCCTTCCCTTATCCCCCTCCCCCCATCCCCTTCTAGCCCTCTTGATCCTTGGACATTCCATCCAACTCCTAGCCTCCCCTCTGTAGTACTTGTAGTCCTGCACTTGATCAACCTCTCCTGTCTCCTGTCTTCCCACATATTAACCCGTCATTCGCCCGCAGATTAATCCCGACATCTCACTCCTGACGTCGGCCGATATTTCCACTTCGGGAAATATCTCCTCAAATCTGCCTTCCACGACATCAGGTCAAGATCGGGAGAGAAGTTCATTCTCCACCCTCCGTCACCATCAACGCCGACGACATTCCTTTCTTTCCCCCCCGCCCGGCCCTGGCGCTGAAACCCTCCGCCGTCACGGGCCCCTACTCAGATCATCGAAGGTGGATGGAGACGTATCACGGCCACGTCCGCACCCCGGCGGACGCTATCATTCTCTTCGAAGCATGTCGCATCGGTCTGCTGCCCCGCGTCCAACGCCGCCTCTCCGAAAAGGAGCGCCAGATGATCCGCTCCGGTTCCGTCTTCGTCTGGGACGAGCGGGAAGCCGGGATGCGCCGCTGGACGGACGGCAAGTCCTGGAGCGCCAGTCGCGTCTCGGGCAGCTTTCTCACCTATCGTGAAATGGAGGGCAAACGGGGCGGCACCGGTGTCTCCCAGCCCTCCAACCTGACTCGCGCCGGCAAGACCCCGGACAGCACGCGAGGCAGCGACGATGATCGCCTGGACGGCTTGGAAGAAGGTCCCGATGGGTATCGATATAAGCCCGACGGCTTGATGAAGCAGTCGTTCAGCATCACCACCTCCCAAGGCAACCACCTCCACCTGATCAGCTACTACTCGCGATCCCACCCCTCCGCCGCCAACCTGCAACAACCCTCCACCGATCACGCCCTGCGCAATGTCCGCCCGCAAAAGGGTCTCTACCCGGATTCCACCGTCAACGACCAGCAGAATCTCCCCGTGGTGACGCGCGGTCCCATGCCCGGCACCACCTACCCCATGCCTCACCATCTGGGCTTTGCGCGGTCACCCCATCCGCAGCAGGCATACCCTCCCTCGTACGCTTGGCCGCCGACCCCGCTGGCCACGCCGCCCACCGTCCCGGTGCATTACCCCTCCTATCTGCCCCCCGTCTCGGGCCCCAACGGCCCGGTGGGCTACGGGCATCCGCACCACCCGCACCATCACCATCATCATCCGCCCCCGCCGCCCCATGCCGCGCTCCCTCCCCCGCCTCCACCGCCGTCACAACACCACCACCCGCACCATGTGTTGCCTCCACACTACGAGCGCGCCGTCCACCCGGCGGAGGTGACGCTGCCGCCAACGATGCCGACCCAGCCGGTGCCGCTGGTCGCGGGGCGCTCCCCGCGACCGATCAGCCTGCACGACCCGCATCAGCGGAGCCCGCAGGAGTACGGACCGCACGATATCCGGCGGGCCTCCCCACGCACGCAGCCGCCATCCATCCCGCACACTAATGGCTTGGCTGCAGCCGGCCGAAGTCCGCACCAAGCGCCGCCCAGCCCTTATATCCCGCCCCCGGGCATCCTCAAGCCCGAATCGGGCCACAGCCCGGGCAGCGTTCCAGGGATCGGGACCATGATCAACGGCGGCTTGGCTGGGAGTTCCTTGCCATCCATCTCCGCCGGGGGCTCTTCCGGCGGACGTGCCGAAGGCCCGCGCGACATTCCCAGCGAGAAGATCGGGTTCGGCGGCGAGGACATGCGCGCATTGCGGCAATTAGACAAGGTGTTTTCCGCATAAATTGGGAAGATCGCAGAACCTAAACTTTTGAAAAAGAAAAAAAAAAAAAACACTTGCTGGAATATTTTGGCTTGATTTGGGACCCCGCACCGCACCGCGCAGCGTTTGTTTTCACCCGCTCCTTCAGACATTCTCCAATCCTTTTACTCTACGGAGTATCCTTGACACGACGGTTCAAGACACTTGCCACGAGAGTTATCGTTTTCCTTTTTCTTATATCTTCTTTGGCTTTGCATTTGACTTTCCCTTGTTATCGTTTGGGTAGGATTGGAACTCGGCGTTATACAAGAGGTGCATAGCTTTACAGCATGGGTGGGGTTCTTTTGTTCATTTTTTTCCTATCTTCCATATCTCCTATATCTATCTATTGATTTATGACTTACCTACCTAACTAGCTATCTATCTTTTCAACTCCCCGTTTGATGTGGGGATTCTTCAGACTGCAGTGTTATCTATATGATTATATGGCTACAATGGGGCATTCTGCAATGGATGGGGCACCGGATTTGGATTTTCTTGTTCTTTTTCTATCGGCCGTCGTTATGTTATCGCCATATACCAGAATTGATTGATCTGATGTGATATGACATATTCATGATAGTATTTGCGTAGCATGATATTTTAGCTTTCTTAAGGTAGATATTATTGTTCGGTATAATTATCCTTATTATCCGTACATGCATTCACTCTTTTTTTTTTTTTTTTTGGATAAGCCATGTGATATGAAATGAAACTATATAACTTTACCATTACAACCACCATCACCAACAACCATGAAAAACAACAACACGAAAAGTCCAAAAAAAAGAGAAAGATCAACGACGTTCCACACCAGACCACACCCCACCGGTCCCCTCCTCCGACACTACATCCCCATTCCCAGGCTGCACAACATACTCCATCCGATGAGTCGTAAGGCCCAATCCACTGTTCGAAGAGGAGGAAGGCGTCGGCGCAAGCGTAGTGCTAGTAGTAGTCTCGCTAGTCGAGCGGACCGTCACGCGAGGCGGACAGTCCACAGCACCACCACCAGCACCGACATTTCCATCCCCTTCTTTGCCTTCTTCTTTCACCTCCTGCTTCGCGTCTTCCTGAAGACTCTCCCCCTCTTCCTGCGGGTGAGGCTTGATAATACCCAACTCAACGAAACGGGTCATATCGTCGTGGTCGGTGCGCGGCGAAGAGGAATAAGGGATGATCTCACGCGCGATAGCACGGAGCCGATCCTTGCGCCACCAGGGGGGTCGTTTCCCGGGTATGCCGACGTCGTCGGCGAGGGCTGTTTCGAAGACGTCGCGGTTAGCGAGGAGGGCTCTGTCTTCGTTGAGCTCGCAGAAGCCGCAGATGTTGAAGAGCGCTATGATGAGCAGCGCGGGGGTGTAGCCTAGCCCGTAGAGATATCCGCTGGGGACGTCATAGCGGAGCGGGGACACGTCCCAGATGTAGGCTCCTGCAATGGCGTAGCCGACTTTGATGCCCAGGAGGGCGAGAGCGACTAGGTATTGCGAGGGCGCGGAGCGGACGTAGAATTTGAGGATGGAGGACGGGGTTGTGGGCGGCGCCTTGTAGCGGTAGATGCTGTGTTCGAGGCTGTAGCAGATGAGGAGGGTTCCTGCTAGAGCGGTGAATCCTGCGGCGTGCCAGCGGGTGTCTGTGGCCATGGGCTTCGCGGTGTGGGACTGTTGGTGGGGGCTGCGCTGCATTTCGATGGCGGACCAGCTGCGCAGGACGGTGAGGAAGAAGGTGACGATTGTGCAGAGGTAGAAGAGGATGGGGAGGAGGAATTCTTGGTATTCGCGGGTGCTGCGCGTTTGGAAGGCGTAGGGGTCGCGGTCGAAGATCTGGCGCTCTTGCCAGGAGCCCCTGTTTTTGAGTTAGTGTATTTGATGTCATTTCTCTTCTTCTGGTTTCACTGTATGTGGTGTGGTGACATACCAATGTCGAACCCCCTCCCAGACGGCTGCCATGCATAGTGGTGTGAGGACAGTGTAGAAAACACTCTGTAGGATGAGCGGCGTGTGCTGCAGATAGTCCCTATCGACATCAACGCTCATAAAGCAGCTGATCGTGCCGCAGGCGGCCAATGCCATCAGCCAGTACCATTTCCAACGCCGGCCGATGATGTTCCAGCGGCGGTCGACAGGCAGGTATTGCCGGCCGTGCTTGCGGAGGTTGAGCCCCGAGAAGAAGATAGACGCGACGAACAAGATGGCGAAGACGAGGCCCGTCGAGGCGTGGTGGCCGATGTCGTTGACGGGCGAGTAGCATGAGGTGCCGTTGACGAAGGTCCCGTTCGCGGGGGTCAAGTGCGGTCGCCACTGGTTGAAGACTAGGTAGCATTCTGTGCCGTTGGAGAGCGTGCCGTTTGAGTAGAGCGTGTAGTTGTAGTGGTCTAACTCGGCGCGGTTGAAGTGTACTTGGTTGATTATCACGTCTGTGGCATTTGCTCCTGGGGGGAAGGGCGTCCGGCCCCGGATGTAAAGGAGAGTCATTTTGATCTCTTTCTTCGGACTTTTTCTTCTGATTGCGTTTCTTTCGACACTGCCTGTCGTTCTGTTGGTAGTGCGACGTGTCGATCGACTCAACGACGAGTACCAACCATCAATGCGCGGTGATCATCGCAGAGGTACGGAAGAGAAAGAGATATCGGCATAGCGTAGGGGAAGAAAACCCCCGCTGCGGAACGACCGGAGTTGACGAGACATGACAGTGGTGAGGTTGTATTCAGGGCGCAGTCGATGATGCGCGGAGTGTGCCTCGATCCAACGGGAAGCCCGCTGATGAACCGTGGTTGCACATTGACAGGGTCAGGAGAGTCTGATGAATTTAAGGGTTCCGTTGCAAGATCAAAGAACATCTACTGATATATAGAGAGATATACAAATGTCTACCGATATATACTGTATAAGAAGAGATATAAAAGCGAGATCATGATATAGAAAGATGAAGCTGTACCGATAAGATAAGAAGCTGTATATTACATAATACACATTAACCGGTTGTGGCCTGAATTATCACGTGACTATATGCTCCTGTTCACTCCTCAGGCACCATCTTCAATCCAATCAGACTACCATATCCTCCATTTTGATCAAGTGAATCATCCAGTCCAATTAAGACAACAAAGGCGAGAAATCACGCCTAATGCATCCTGCATATCATCAATTACCTCAATCTCTCAATCCCTCAGGTCTATACCTGTCTAGATCGTCATCTGCAGGGGGCCAGGGAGATAACCCGCTTAACAATGAGGCATTTATCACTGGCCAGGCAGACACGCTCTGTCCTCCCACAGACATGCATGTGGACCTCCCTGGGTTGCAGGTAGATTCCACGGCAGGGTGCTGCTGTGTTTCAATCTGGATCGAGAGACGGTGCCATGCTGGACTCGTCCCTCGCCTGTGTTTTGCTGGAGTTGTCTTCCTTCTTCGAATTTTTCACTCACATCTCGTATAGCACTGGAGAATCTAGGCAGCAGAGAGAGCATCCGCCTTGCACCGGCTTGGTGAGTCGCGATGGTGGAACACAGCCTATAGGATCTGATGGCTGTTCTCGTCCCGGCGCGATCTAGCTTGTGTGGTCTGGACTGCGCAAAGAGCCCCCTACACTCCCCGTTAGCAGACCAAATCCCAAAGGCTGCCCGATCAAGGGATGTGTCTGTTGAGAATAGGCGAGAACGTAGGGAGTCGACTACGTAGGTACGGCCTTTCCTGCCGCCTGCGACTAACCACACATGGCGACGGCGATGAACGCACATACTGCCAAATGTATCCACAGTGTGAGAGCGCAATGGTCAGATCGCCGAAATATCAGCCGATGCAGTGGGAAATTGAGCCACGCCTCGTGTCTGGTCAGACTTGGCTAGAGCCGCGATTGGAGCCTCTCAACGTCGTTGCTGCTCTCGTCATCCGCGAGAAATCGCATCTCCACGGCGTATAGTAGATGGGATGAGGACGGAGGGTAAACCTCAACACCATGAGCAATGAATAAGAACCCATGCGAGGAGGCAGATCGACGCTGCATGCCCCTACACTTTGACAGATGGTGTTTGTACCGTGAGTCAAGCAAGGTGTAAAGGGCGGCATTCCTTCTCCGATGCGCCCAGCATGGGGACTTGATCGAGCTTGATTGATGATGAGTTGCGCAGGATTTACTACCAGTATCACAGTACCGGTAGAGATGAACAGACAAAGTAATGTACCAGAGCAAGGGATTGCGCCGGCATGCGCCATTTTTCAAAGCTGAGCTATACATGTCTCATGATATGACTCTATAGACATCGGTATGGATGTCTGTGTGAACGGAGTGTAGTCAGCTTTCTTTACTGATGATGTGGCCCTGGCTCATTCCGAGCTCGTAGGAGTAGCATTTGCATGTAGATCACGATAATCAGTTGAATCAGCGTTGGGTCTATTCCGTCTATGCCCATTCCCATAATTCCAGGACAGACTCACAAAAGGCGTTGACAAGAAAAGAAAAGACAAGATGAGAAAAAAAGAAAAGAAAGGCTAGCAACGGGCTGTCAACGACTTAGAAAACCTGGCAATCGACATCACCTGCAGCGAGTTCACTAGTTTTAATCGCATCTACATTGTCTGATTGTGATCATCACAACTACTGAAATTGAGAGTAGACCTATCATATTTGTAATAATATAGAGATCATATAGTATAATATATTATACTGCAGTGTAATATAATATAGCTTCACAATGAACACAATATACTATAACACAGTTAATATGAAATAATACAACCAATCCAACAAAACCAAACCCCAGAGAGAGACGGAACCCCTCGCATGGCCTGCACACCATCTCCATCTCATCTCCAAATTAAAGAAGCCAATATGACAATCCACCCTGATAGGCAGCTCACCGAATCGACAACCAAATCCTGCAGAAACCTGATTCAATTACCTTACCCAAGTGAGAAACCTTCGGAGGTACCTCCCATCCTGCAGATTGTGAGCCCTCTTTTGCTGTACCCAAGCTTCTTCCTGTACATGTAACATGATCTAGGTGATGAGCAAGTCGGAGGTACTGTCGTGCCGACCGGCATGCGCCGACATGCAGTTGTAGGTACCTAGGAGGTGGAGGAGTATGGGCTTGGGCATCAAAGTCGTTTTGGCTATTGACGGTACGCGTTAGTCTGCGGTGGTGATGCAGTTGGACAGGTTGTATACGAGGTGGCGCATTTTTATTTCATTTTACCTACGGCGTATATTTTTTTTTCTCTAGGTCTGGATTTGTTTACAGTATAGTTGACTGTAGCTGTGTTATGAAAGAGTTACAAAGAAGGTCGAAATGTAAAAAGAATCCTAGCGGCTATCTGCATTGGTGCCGGGCAGATATCTACCTTTTTGCTTTATATCCATCCATCTATCAGTTTGTCGTGATACAATAATAATCTTAATGTGCACTATTATCGACCAGACTGGATCAATGCCCCCATGCAGCTCCTCCACGCTAGTATTTGGTTATTATTAGCTACCTGGCTATGTGCCTGTGCCATCAGTGAGAATTTAGATATTGACGTCGACATTTGTCAATGTCTAAGATTGTTTCTCTTTCAAAGCAATAAATTACATAATTGAATGGATTGTACTTGCCTCAAATACGAGTCTAATTTAAGTGTCCCAGTGTCTTGGGATACTGAAACATCTTTTAGTTCCAACCTCACTTGTTCCTCAACACACACACCAGCCAATTTCTCCTACATTGATGGAAATCTCCACGAGGGAAACATGACTTACATATATGATCTCCTCCATTTCCGCAGTGGATAGTCCCATACTATCAATATCCACGTAGTAGTAATTTCCAGAGGCAATGAAATGCGCACAGATGTATATATGTACGTAACCCTTTCCGGAAATCCGACAGCCCGATCAGATCTATAACATAGCATCGGCCTCCCCGCAGTCAGGTGAGAGGGTGGCAAACCAGGCGTATTGAAGACCGGTCCTGAAGCAGACGGCTACATACTCCGGGCTCTATTGAGACGAGACTGTGGCACCTTTACGTTCGAGCCACTTCGATGGCCAATTTGTATAGTGGCTACCAACACTGATGTGGGAGGTTGGTTATTTGGTAAATTCTTTGAGTAATGGGTAATTTTATCTAGAGCTGTGGAGACCTTGGGGAAATTAGGGTTCATTCCTTATTGGATGTGTACGATATACATCCCACATTATGGGTTGTGTAGTGTAGTGTAGTGTGGAGTGTGGACGCATCAAATTACCCCGCAAGTCGGACAAGGTTGGGAGCGGGGAGGACCGGATCTTGATTTGGTTTGGGTTGGGATTAGACTTGATTTGTGTGAGGTGGTAGTGCTAATTTAACTACTAACTAGGTACTACGGGTATAGGTAGCAGTAGTAGTTACTTTGTAGGTATAGTACAAACACACGGTGGTAGTACTAACAGTGGACTTATGCAAGTAACGAAGTACTTTTGTGTCCCAGCGGAGACTGGACGCCGCTGGCACCAACCCCAGACTTCAATCCCAAGACCAGTGACTCACCAACTGCAGGAGACAGTGCAGACCGAGAAGAAGAAGAAAAAAAAAAATCCAACAAAAGAGACATGAAGAGAAAATGAAGAACAATAAAGCAAAATAAAGCAAAATAAAGAAAGCCAACAGAAGCAAGGCGAATCTCATCGAAGACCGATTCTTCGGCAACCCACAGACAACAAACCGGTAAACTCCTCCCCGGCTGATTGGACAGAGCGCCTCGATCTTTATGCGGGCTTTCAGGGACATGGGTGGTTGGTGCGTACTCCGTAGTAGGTAGATTACCTACCGACTAGGTAGGAAAAAGAGATCCATTTCCAGGGAAAGGAAGGGCTTTAATTCAGGGTAGATGCATCACACCATCGTTGTCGCATGTCATAGGCTCCCCCACTTCTTCCTCCCACCCCCCGGTTGATTTTTTACTTTACTGCTTTCCGTGTGCGTTGCGAACGACTTGACACGAGGTAGGTAGGTAGTAGGTCGGTAGGAAGGTCATGGGGTGGATGGATCGTCTTATTTTTCTGTATGTCGTAGTTAGCTGGGGAAACCCTACTCCGTCTTACATGGAACCGACCATTTTCGTGGATGCACAAGAGCAGGTCGTAGCCATAGACGAGCTCATGCTCATACAATTGGGGAGATCGGCCGATACCGGGATTACGCGTTGTATCAATATACTAGATACCCAGGAATGGATATGTATACATATAACCCGAAACCAATAAGCTGGTAGATCGTTGCGCGGCTCAAAGTATATCTTGGGGTTTGAAGTTTATGGCTGATGCCAATCGCAACTGGTTCTAGCGTTCGGTGTATATCTATATAGTTAGATCTGCTCATCGAGGTCATGTGGGGGGTCATCCTGAACTTTGTGCTCCGTTCGGGGGACGCCGTGGTTTAGGACCCCGTGCTTTAGTAGGGAAGTTAACCTTTTTACATTTTTAATTGGGAATGATGGAATTAAGGGGAAGGAAGAATTGATGTAAGAGCAGGAAATGACCATGCATCCCTTGTCACCTCCGCATTGATGCAAGGAGCAAGCAACAGCAAGCACCGAGTGACCGACCGAGCTTGGGCTTGACATGAGGGTTGGTTGGTATGGTTGTAGGTACGGTAAGGTCACCTGTATGGCTAGTTACCTACTGCTCTTGGGAAATTCTTTGTGAACATCCATTGTAGACAACTGATATGTAGTCTATACGTATACCCACTGTACCTAGCAATGTTTGATGCCAGCATCCAGTTAGATAGACAAATACGTATGATGTTAAATGAATACATGTGTGAATAGATGAATAAATGTGTGGTCTCCACAGAATGAATGGATACACGGGAATACCCTCCCGCGGATCCACCTGTCATTTCGATACATTCGTATCCTTCATTCTCCATCCCCATTCCTTTCTTTTTCCTTCCCAAACTTTGCATTGAATATGATTATCATCCCACCTGTAAACCCAGTCCATCCCTTACTTCCCCCAGAGCCTTAGTTTGAGGTTCCCCGCAACGGATAACTAACATAACGTGTAATCAAATGCGGGAGGGCGTCAGTGCACGCGTATACCCTTTCGGAATGTGTGTCTTCCCTCCCTCGCTGCAGTGGGAAGGTTTCACCAAGTTCCCAGAGATCAATGCTTATTTTGCGAGTCCGGCTTGGGTCTGTGAGGGTCATCTCCACCATGGATGTGTCGAGTCCGCGGAGAATGATTGAATGCTATTGTGAGTCGGGGTTTGGGACGCCGTTGTCCGACTTATACGACTGGTATGGGCGTATTGTAGGCTTTCGTTTGATCTAGTTCATTCTGATTATTCGGGTTGACTATGTAGACTGATTCTGTTGAAAACTACGAGTACGATCATACCGTCCCTTTCCCTGACTACTACTACTACTATTACTACTCATAGTGGTAAGTGGTAACTGAATCTTAGCGCCTCGCATGACTGACTCCATCCGGCATCCCAGGCCATGATCGTCACGCTTAATCGCTAGGACCCCGAAAAAAGGAAAATCCAAGCGAGGGTCTTTAGTTACCATTACTTCATACCTTTCTTTCTCTTTCTCTTTCTTTCGAGTCACAAAATCACCCCAATCATCAAGAGGTATCGTCAATCAAACAGTCGATCCAGCAGAAACGAAGTGGACTCCCTCCCCCCAATAACAGCTGCTCAAGACGTAAAGGAAAAAACCCACTGACGAGGTCCAAGCACCCGGAAACTCCACCGACCAGTAATAAAACTCTAACCCCAGGTCGGTCATCTTGGTGCGAGTAGGTTAGCCAGGTGGAGGTACCTACCTAGGTCAGACTAAGGTAGTCGGGAGGGGCGGACAGAACCAGTCGGGTCGAATGATGGCTGTTGCTGACGACTCCCACTGGCCTCGGTGTCTGCCCTGGCTGAACTCAGTCGAATGATGGCCGGTGCCCTGACTTGACCTAGGTCCCCGTCTTGACTTGAGCTCCCCGGGGCCCGGAGGCAGGTTTGAGGGTTGGAGGTTGGTGGAGGCGCTTCTCACCTGATCCGCTTGAGAGAGGATCCATTGGGTGGAGAGATTCCCTGTCTGGGAGGATGATGACAGGCGGTGGATTGTGACTGGTAGGTCTGGGAGGGAAGAAATGGGGTTGTGATCGTTTAGGGGGGATTCTAGATGGTGATGACCCGATTCCGTTCTTGAGATTCTCTGCACTTTGCACTCTGCATGGGTGTCCGTGCTGGAGGAATATAATCTCGTAATAAAATATTAATGATATAATAATAATAATTAAGAGTAATAATAATAATGATCCCAAGATCTGGCCCACTTTTCCCCAGATTGTCAGTATGAGTGACTTTTCACAATTTTTTCTTCTTTTCTTCTTTACTTTTTCTCTCTTCTCTCTCAAATGAAATGTCTTTGTCTTGTTCAA